ACTCTTTGGCAAATAATTGGCAATAATGCATTAATTTCGACCAAATTTGATTACCATACAAAAGGTTATATCGTATATTAGGTTAAATCGTATTGTATGCCCGATGTATGGGTAGGCTGTTTTCCTTTAAGACGTTAATAACATCTTACGTAAAATTTGTAACGTACAGCTCACAATAAATATTTATTCTATTCTATTCTATAGTGAGACATATACTATCGCGGACATTTTTTTTTAGGATAATAATATAAAAATAATAATAATAAGAGGTATAATTCTTTCATACATATTTTTTTGGGTTACTTGAACTGTTTACGCAGAGCACGCAACGGAAGTCCTCAAATATGAATAACTTTCCCCGTTTTTTCAACATTTTTCACTAATGCTTCGCTGCTATTGGTCGCAGCGTAATGCTATATAGCCTAAAACCTTCCCCGATAAATGGACTATCCAACACAAAAAGAATTTTTCAATTCGAACTTGTAGTTCCGGAGATTAGCGCGTTCAAACAAACAGACTCCTCAGCTTTATAATACTAGTATAGATTGTGACTGATTTAGCAACTGTTTACTTGCTAAATATGAACGTGAGTCGAAAGCAGTAGGGGAAATATCACAGTTGTTTGAGAAATGTGGTAATGACGATGTTTCTATGTTGAAACAATACTATACTATAATTATAAATAAACTAGGCAGAAGAGACATTCATGTACCTACTATCCTATGTGAATGTCGCCGAAACGTATCCTGCATCCCTTCAGATCTTGCATGGTTTTTTTTTGATGGGTGAAAATAGAATGGTTACTCCGCCCGCGCTAACGGGATACGCCGGCGGAGCACCAGTGAAGGGTGATAGATGAGAATGAAAACAGGCCAGTTAGCCCATCATGATGAATTTATCAGGAATTAACCATGATAGGAGGTCGACCTGGTTGGGTATATTGCTAGCAATGGGATTCTCAGTCTCCATTACTAACAATCCCTTTCCCCCCGATCTTGCATAGTTTGAAAGGGTTATAATTTGTGTAGGCATTTAACAATTTTTTTTGTCACTTTACATTAATATTGTTATTTTTGTAACTGGTGCTATAGAATATAAATTAAAAAAATAATTATTTCACGATTTGACGTGACTTTTGCGTTAGTGTCTGTTTCAAGCAAGTCTTAATTGAAAAAACGCAAGTTGGATGCATGCGACCGTCAACGCACCTCTCTATTAAAACAAAAAAAAATATATATATATATATATATATATATATATATATATAACATATAGGGTTCTTCACTATTCTGTCATATTCACACCTTCATGGCGTAGTAGTGGACACATTGCTTTGAATAAGTCTCTGGCTTCGATTCCCAGTCGATATAATTTAAAGGTGCTCTGAATTGACTTGTTGTTTTTTGGGTGTTCTGGAATATAACCCCAGTTGTTTACAGCATAGAGTATAGAATACTTTGTATATGCCGAGAAGCAGATATAAGGAGTGCAATGCTTGTGTTGAACTATATATGTATAGGCGATAGCTATTATTATAATATATTATTATAATTAATATATATATATATATATATATATATATATATATATATATATATATATAACATATAGGGTTCTTCAAAAGGGGGGTAAAGAGGTTTCTTCAGGGTCAGCACCGCGCGCGTAATACTTCTGGTACAGCAGGTGTTCATAGGCTACGGTAACCACTTATCATCAGGTGGGCCGTATGCTTGTTTGCCACCTCAGTGGTATAAAAAAAATATGATTTTCTTTCTTGAATATTAGCATGAACTTAACTAAATATATCCGGTCCTTGAAAAACGTGCAAACTTTATAAATAAGCTATGTGTACTAATACATTTTTTTATGGTAATTAAAGCGACAGGCAAACTGATGGCCTACCTAATATACAATAATAGCTATCGCCTATACATATATAGTTCAACACAAGCATTGCACTCCTTATATCTGCTTCTCGGCATATACAAAGTATTCTATACTCTATGCTGTAAACAACTGGGGTTATATTCCAGAACACCCAAAAAACAACAAGTCAATTCAGAGCACCTTTAAATTATATCGACTGGGAATCGAAGCCAGAGACTTATTCAAAGCAATGTGTCCACTACTACGCCATGAAGGTGAATATGACAGAATAGAGTTCTTTTAAATCTTTAAAATAACCGTAGACGAGTCTCAGAAGGCCAATTTTTGTCATTGCAAGACATTATCAAGTAATTACATCGTTTACTATCAGATTTTTTTTATTCAACTTAGAATGGCAAACATGCTGACGGCTCATCTGATGAAAAGTGGTAACTGTCGCCTATAGACATGAACAGTACCATGGACATAACAGAGTATACTGTTTCGCCCATGATACCCCCCATACGTTGCCATTCCTGAGGACTCAGTTGTTATTCCTCTGTACCCAGTAAATTCACGCCATATCCCACCCTTCAAACCGAAACACAGCCATGCAAACACAAATGCTTTACGGTTGAAACACGAATGGGACAGAGGTACACAAGCAAACGACTTTTGTACAAAGTCTCCCTCTGGTAATATAAGTCGCCAGTTTGTCTGCACTCTTTAATAGTATAAAAATATACATATATTCAAATGTATGAAGTACCCAGTGATCTAAGTAACTTAATATACCGATGTGCAGACCCGCCGCCTGCCCAGATGTTCGTGCACAGGTGTCGAGACGCAGCCAATTATTGCAACGTCGTGTTTCTCTGACATTTCAATCGTGAGCATTGTGATTTGCGATATACAACTGTATTAGTAAACGTGCATGGGCATTTAACTAATTGCTATTCATTATTGTTCGCCGAAGTAAATGTCATGGGAAGCCGAATAACTAATAGTTCTTAGTGCTCCAGCTTTTAGCCATAAACTGGAATGACTGGTGTTCTGTGAAATTTATTGCGATAGAAAGAAGGAAATTTGACTGTAAATAAGTTATGTATAAACTCTAGTTTATCTATACTTCGTTTGTTTGAAAATTGTCACAATACTGTACACCGCTCTACCCGCTGACATTGATGCTCCTTTCCACTTTGGGTGTTGCTGGAAGAGAACTCTTTTAGAGTTAAGCTCGCCTTTGTACATTTAATTAGATCTGTCATATTTTTATGTATAATTAGTGTCTATTCCTATCTCTTTATGTAGTCCATTTAGATGGAGCACTGGTGACTTGTAACACAGGTTCTTCTAAACCTACCGCAAGCACCAGTCTCTCACAAAATTGGTCTTCATATCAAATTGTACCTCAAGTTGTCACTTTATTCGATCTTTTGTGAAGAGAAAATAAACCATTCACTCATTCATTCATTCATTCATTCATTTATTCATTCATTCATTCATTCATTCTTTTATACCACGCTTGTATTTCAACGATCAAAACAAAAAAACAGCTGAGAGAAGAAAAACATTACTGTTTTTAGTTCTGTGCTTATTTATCTTTCATTATTTCAAACAGAAGATATTTTCATCATTTATTATCACATATTTTCATCATCGTCATCATATCAGCCTTTAACTGTCCACTGCTGAACATAAGTCTCCTCTTCAGAGGTTTTTCCAGTAGTTGCCACGCTTGGAAGGCGGATTGGCAGCCGCAGTTGGGCCTTGGAGATGTTTTAAAAGGGACGCTGCTGCCTAACCCTCGTCCTCTTCCAGTCTCCTCTTACGACGCCCATGGAAAAGGAAGATGTGCCCTGTTCTATGCAGGGAACACATGGCCAATAATAATAATATATTTTACTATCAAATAAAACATTTAATATCTAGTTATTTTAATGCAATTAAAATAAAACATCAAACTTATTAAATCTTATATATATAAAATTCTCGTGTCGCAGTGTTTGTTACCAAACTCCTCCGAAACGGTTTTACCGATTTTTATGAAATTTTGTGTGCATACCGGGTAGGTCTGAGAATCGGCCAACATCTATTTTTCATACCCCTCAATGATAAGGGTGACCTACTCCTAAACATTGTTTTTTATTTTTTTGACAAATTTTTTTATTTTTGTTTTACTATGATTTAGCATTGAGAAATACATACAAATTCAAATTTTAATATTTTCACGCTCTTACAATTTATCCCTGTTTTTTATATACCGCAATAGGGTTGCAAGATGGCAATCGAATATAATAATTGTAGTAGGATAAATTTTCATGTATAGTTCTCGAAATAATGTATATGGTAAAACAACGTTTGCCGAGTCGGCTAGTAAAACTATAAAACTTTCAATTCAGATCAAAGCGCAAGTTCAATGGGTGCATATAAATTACACCTTTCTAGTATTGATTGCATAGTCGATCAATAAATCAATGTTCAGACGTGAAGTGAAACAGACGTGCACTCGTCTTTAAATAAGACTTCTATTCTTGGAGGTTGCCGGTTCTACTCCCGGCATACTTGTGCGTCGACTACGTTTTTGTGTAAGCATGTACCTAGTTTGTATTCTAAGACCACACATACTATGACCGACTGAGTACTAAGTTGAATCAAATGAAAAGCGTTTTAAAAAATACAACTTAGAATGGCAAACAAGCTGACGGTCCACCTGATGGAATGTGGTAACCGTCGCCTATAGACATGAGCAGTACCATGGACATAATAGAGTACACTGTTTCGCCCATGATACCCTCCATGCGTTGCCATTCCTAAGGACTCGGATGTTATTCCTCTGTACCCTGTAAATTCACGCCATATCCCATCCTTCAAACCGAAACACAGCCATGCAAAAACAACTGCTTCACAGTAGAAACACGAATGGAACAGAGGTACCCAAGCAATCGACTTTTGTACAAAGTTTCCCTCTGGTAAAATTTTCCTGCAATCTATATGGCGGTGGTAATAAAATAGTGGCTACAGTGACCGTTTACCATCAAACAGGTTGTTATTCTTGTTTACCACCCTTGTGGTATGAAAAAAACATAGTTATATCAAATCTACGATTCAAACAAAATATTTATTATTTCCAGGAGCTGCAGGATCTAGTGGAGGGCGAATATCCAATGGATTGGTATCCAGACGATGAGCATGATGGCACGTCGACTTCCAAACCTGTTATTGGAGTCACTCCCTCAGCATTTACCAGGCAGGATCCTGAGTACCAGGAATCCGTATTGTCTGCGGTGGACCCCATAGCTGCAACCAATGAGAGGCCCAGGATTCTTGATGACTGTAAGCTGTTTTTAAAGATTATTGATATTCGAAACTATGAATATTGATGCATAACCCAGAGTTTAGATAAATTCATGTCCCAAATTGACCCAAATTCATCATGATGGGCTAACTGGCCTGTTTTCTTTCTCATCTATCACCCTTCACTGGTGCCCCGCCAGCGTATCCCGTTAGCGCAGGCGGGGTTACCATACCATTTTCACCCATCAAAAAAAAACATTATCTCATCATCATCCGTAAACTGACCATTGCTGAACGTAAACCTCCCTTTTGGGGGGTTTTCCCAGTTGTTGCCACGGTTAGCAGGCTAGTTGGTAACTGCAGTTAGGTTTTGGTATCGGTTTTTCAAAGAGACGCTACTGCCCATTCCTCGACTATTCAATTCCCTTAGTCATCTCTTACGACGCCTACGGGAAAGAAAAAGGTGGCCCATTCTATGCCGGTACCACAGGACAAAACGGTTAACATTATGTGCATTTATTTAAATGTATTATGTCTAAAATAACATGGTCATTTAAAAGCTCGAGCGTGTGATACTCTACGTATCTTCTGTCTCTATCTCTCTCTTTCTCTTTCCTAGTTTTTTTTTTATACCACTGAGGTGGCAGACAAGCATACGGCCCACCTGATGGTAAGTGGTTACCGTAGCCTATGAATACCTGCAATACCAGAGGTATTACGCGTGCGTTGCCGATCCTGAAGAAATCTCTTTACCCCCCTTTTGAAGAACCCCATGCTGTAGTCTCTTGGGAAAACCTCGGCAGGGAGCTCATTCCACAACCTGAGTGTTCGTGGGAGGAAACATCTCTGAAACCGTGATGTACGCGACCATTAAGGCTGTAGGACATGAGGATGAACTCCCTGTCGATGGCGAGCCGTACGATGGTAGAAAGTGGCTGTGGGCATCATATTGAACAATTCCTCTGAGCACAATTCATTGTACATCCTAGTTTCACGATACCTTCAAATATACAAACCTTACTGTTATTCTGTCTAACTACGTAAACTGTTTCAGCGTCCCTCACAGTAGCAGAGCGGACAAAATTGAGACGAGCAATATTTGCCAACGTAGCGTCGGTGGTGCGGAAGGGCAAGTGTAGGGAGCCACAGGCGAGATGGCTGAACGTACGCCAACTGGCCCCCGCCGCTAACATTGTGTAAGTTGCTTCAGTTACTAATCTATACTAATATTAGCTGACCCGGCAAACGTTGTTTTACCATAACATTATTGCTAGAAATTAATTTTTGGTTTCTAAAAAAAAAAAACTAACACTATAAGTGTGTGCCTATTGCGGAATATACTTACCTACTAATATACCAGATGGAGACTGTACAAAAGTCGATTGCTTGGGTACCTCTGTCCTACTCGTGTTTCTACCGTGAAGTAGTTGTGTTTGCATGGCTGTGTTTCGGTTTGAAGGGTGGGATATGGCGTGAATTAACTAGGTACAGAGGAATAACATCTGAGTCCTCAGGAATGGCAACGCATGGGGGTATCATGGGCGAAACAGTATACTCTATTATGTCCATGGTACTGCTCATGTCTATATGCGACGGTTACCACTTTACATCAGGTGGTGTTGAGAGCAATCTTTTCAAGACAACCTTAGAGTAATGGACCTATTGATGAAACGTTGCCGATGTCCAGGTACATGCCTCCGTGCGTGCAGCTGCACCGGTGCGCGCCGGACGCTGGCTGCTGCTACGACGAGGCCGAGGTGTGCGCGCCCGTCGCCGGCCAGTATATCGAAGTACCATTCTATGTAAGTGACGTAAACCAATCGAACATTCCAATGGGTGAAGCCTAGAAATGCTGTAGGTATGCTAATTAATTTTAATATAGCCAATATAGGATTTATTTTTTGGAACTGCATTCAAAATCTTTGGCACTTGTCAAAGATAGATCCGATAGGTATTTACCTACCAGAACCATCATTTGATTTATTCGATGCGTCTATTACAATCAGCCATTTATTTGCATAAAGCACAATTATAAATTGGATTTTGTGTTCATACAGAACGCTATGTTTTTCCACCATTTTTTTTTACAGAATAGACTTCGAAAAACCTTTAGTGTTCGTGCATATAATAAATTTCTAAAAAAAAAACAATGTTAAAAAACGAGCCTGTTCTTTCTATCTTGTCTGTCTTCTGAGCTGTATTCTGAGCGCTCTGTAAATCATTTGATATCATAAACTCTGAGACTATTGTCAGCAAAGATATCGGCCAAAAAATACTTAGTAATGCTAACAACTTTATCCCCAAAATATCCTATTAATCAATTTGATCATAAACAACTTTACAACAATACGAGGCGAGGCAAGGGACCTCATGGAGACGCCATTCATACAAATCTCTTTCGGCAATTAATCAGGTATTGTTTAGTAAATTGGTGTCCAATATTCTTTTGCAGTTAAACAGAGCGAATGGCAACATGAGCATGGCACGAATGCTGTTTTTCAACCACACGCAGTGCGCTTGCGTGTCCCGCGAGACACTGCAGAGCACCGTGCATGCTAGAGTGGAACACCAGAAGCGAGAGAACCACGAGACGAGGAAGGCAGTGACAGAACACCAGAGATACGACCGGCAGCCGACTGAGGAGCCGGCTTTAGAGAAAGATGAGCCCACCGCACCACCCCAATTGAGAAGGTCAGGCAAGTTCGTTTTCATTTAAAGGGCTACCACATGTTTACATCAGCAAATAAAAATCGAAAAAGAATGTTGCGTTGGTTTGGGGCCATTTGGATAGGATGAATGAAAGAAGCATTACGAAAGAGATTTATCGAGCAAGAATGAATGAAGATGTCGGTAGGGGCCGCCCCAGACGGACGTACATATGTCGACCAAATAGGCGACGTGCTGAAGAAAGGCCAAATTAAAAGTACCCGTAACCGGCGAGCGTGTATGAAAAAATTGATGAATGTGGAGGAAACGAAAGAGGTTTGTTTGAATCGAAGCATTTGGCGTTCCATTGTTTCTGCCTATCCTAATGGAAGAGAGGCGTGACAGATATGTATGTATGCCAGCCAGTTAACTGACGATGGCTGAACATAGGCTTTCTCCATAAAGGTAACCTAAAACACACTCATATTGCATCCACTTTTATTATTTAAATTGTCACATCTAAAAATAGTGACAGGGTTTGATCATGAGATTCGTCATCGTCATCATATAAACCTTCTACTGTAAGTGGACACTAGTTTACATGGCTGTGTTTCGGTATGAAGGGTGGGATATGGCGTGAATTTACAGGGTACAGAGGAATAACACCTGAGTCCTCAGGAATGGCAACGCATGGGGGGTATTATGGGCGAAACAGTATACTCTGTTATGTCCATGGTACTGCTCATGTCTATAGGCGACGGTTACCACTTTCCATCAGGTCGGCCGTCAGCTTGTTTGCCATTCTAAGTTGAATAAAAAAAAGGTGAAATAAATAAAAATAAAATAAACAATAAAATAGAGAAAGGCGTACTGTTTCAAGTATCTGGAAAGAATATCGGATAAAAGGACTAGGTATGTCACGACAATGGTAGAAGGACTATCCTTATGATGAAACCCTGCCCTTATTTTTAGATGTGACAATTTAGATGAAAAAAGTGGATGCAACAATAGATATGTATTAAAAAACTTCTGTCTGTCCACTTCGCAATGGACCTGACTTGTTTATACTTATTTATAACTACTCCTCTCCATCCAAAGGTCGCCTGGAAGAGATCGCTCTTAGCGATAAGATCGCCCATTGTTTTCTCATTGTGATTATTTCTTGTAATTATTTATATTTATAATAAGTTTACTATTGTAATCTTTTGGAGGAAACAATAAAGAGTATCTATCTATCTATCTATAGAGCGGTTCTCGTAAAGTTAGAAATTTATCATTGGATAAATTATTTCAGATGTACCTGCCCAACGCTGTTCCTCGCTCGGATAACTGAAAGTGGTTACTGCACGTGCGTTTGCGACTGGTCTGAGCTGAACCGTCGCCGTGACTGCCTCTCCCTGGCCAGGGGGAGGGAGCACTTCGGCCTGAGGGACAGGGTGTGCGTCGTGAACGGAGACTGCACCACACCGACGTGCGAGTACGGCGCTTACGACCGGAGTACCGGGATATGCCCCCTCAGGAAGTACAGGAGAATTAAGTACCATCACAGGGGAAGAATGTTAACTGAGAAGTCTGTAGAGGTTTAGAGACTGTTAATCTATTGTCAGACTGCAACAATGGCAAGTTCCAGATTGAGGGTTAAAATGACAATAATAAGGGTCTAAGCAGACGAGAGATTTTTTTAACCGCGGAACAAAATTCCTTGTTTTACCACCACGGACTCGCGTGTGTTATGCAATGCAATGCAATTTAAGTGTTCTATACAGGCGAAAGATTCACTTTTTTTTATACAACTTAGAATGGCAAACAAGCTGACGGCCCACCTGATGGAAAGTGGTAACCGTCGTCTATAGACATGAGCCAGTACCATGGACATAACAGAGTATACTGTTTCGCCCATGATACCCCCCATGCGTTGCCATTCCTGAGGATTCAGGTGTTATTCCTCTGTACCCTGTAAATATACTAAGATTGCCCCTCGTCTATGAGGGCTTTAAATGATCAGGAGGTCTAATTTGGTATTTTATTAAATAAAATTCCATAACTAGGTGTTAATATTTGTATTTTTTATTTATCTATACAAAACTGTGGCTATTACAGAAGTTTACTAAATAATAACTTCACATAGATTTGAATAGGCAGGTCTTTGATTTGGTAAAAAGGTAATTTTTCATATTACTATGGTGATAAACATGTTTCGTGACCATGCACTGTAGTTTCAGAGGATCTTTCTCCCGCACATACTCAGGTTATGGAATGATCTTCCTGCCTTGGCTTTCTTTAGAGGCTACAGCATGGAGTTTTTAAAAAAAAGGCGTATTAGGTTTCTTAAGGGTCAGCAACGCGCACGTGATATCTTTTGTGTTAAAGACGTCCGTTGGCTACGGTAACCCCGTTTACCATTAGACAGGCGTATGTTTACCAGAGGGAGACTTTGTACAAAAGTCGATTGCTGGGGTACCTCTGTCCCATTCGTGTTTCAACCGTGAAGCAATTGTGTTTGCATGGCTGTGTTTCGGTTTGAAGGGTGGGATATGGCGTGAATTTACTGGGTACAGAGGAACACCTGAGTCCTCAGGAATGGCAACGCATGGGGGGTATCATGGGCGAAAGAGTATACTCTGTTATGTCCATGGTACTGCTCATATCTATAGGCGACAGTTACCACTTTCCATCAGGTGGACCGTCAGCTTGTCTGCCATTCTAAGTTGTATAAAAAAAATAGTAACGAATTTAGAAATTACTGAGAACTTAGGATTTTCAGCTACAGTGACCGTTTACCATCAGATGGACTGTATATTTGTTTATCACTATTATAGTAGAAGAAAAGTAGTTCATTGTACTACTTAAGTCAATGCAAAATACTAAGTTTTGTATCTCTGCATTAGAAGTGCCTATATATAGAAATTTATCCGACTGTAATCGGTTTAAACTGGATTCAACAGGTAAAGAAACATTCTAAATATAAAATGTAAACGTTATAAAGAACAGTTTAATTACAAGTATGTAGAGACACCAATAAACTATCGATTATTTTTCCTTGATCATTTACCTACTTTACCTACTCCGTAAGTCAAATAAAGTATTATTTACCTATTTACAAACACGTGCTCTACACTGTAATAATGAAAACTGAAAACATGTTTTGTTCAAGAACATGCTATTGTTTCGTTGCCTATATATAATTTTGTAATCTTGTCTATGGATTAAAATATTAAGTAATTACATACATACATATCTGTCACGCCTGTCTCCCATTAGGGTAGGCAGAAACAATGGAACGCCAAATGCTTCGATTCGAACAAACCTCTTTCGCTTCCTCCACATTCATCAATCTTATCATACACGCTCGCCGGTTACGGGTACTTTTAATTTGGCCCTTCTTCAGCACGTAATTATTGTATAAATTATAAAAAAAAAAAAACTATATAAGCCAGAGTCGTGTAAAAGTAATACAATTCCGTAATCGGACTAACTCGTTTACGTAGACTGTGAATTATTTTCATCGTACATATACGTGCAAATAGAACACAAAATTATAATAAATTTCCTTAAAAAAATTACGTAAATATAAATAATTTCTGATTTATTCAAAGTTCGTGGCAAGTCTCCGATAAACAGCGGAAAATATTCTTTGCGAAAAAGTCTCTCGTCTGTTTCTATATGACAACATTTTTAAACCATTTTTAAGACAAGCTTTCATAATGTAATCCGCCGTCTTGTGGCTGTAGATATTTTAAAATGATGTCATTTATTTTATTGTTACCTATTCTTTAAACTGCATTTCATACATATATTAAAAAAAGCTGACAAAATATACACCATCCGCCATCTTGTGGCGGCGGCCATTTTGAGAATATTGCAATATTGAATAAAGATTGTATATAGTCATCAGAAGAAAAGATATGCAAAAATTCAGTAAAAAAAAATTGAGCGTACAAGAATGGACCTAAAATAAACTAAGTAACAAAGATTGCAAATTAAATATATTCGTGTAAAAAGTATTTACTCTGAGAATTCACGTCCATAATGTGATTTACATTACAAGCAAGTGGGAGTGACGACCTTACCACGCTCTAAGTAAACTTGTATGCTAACACAAACGTTACGAGTGTTTCTTTGTGAATTTATTTATACTTAAGCATAATTTCTTTAATTCATGTTCAATACATTAGTATGTAACATGAATTAGATTAGATACTAATCAATTATAACGATAAAATATTTATTATATTTTTCTATACAACATTGTTAAATGACATCGATTAAGTACTTAGATTTTTTTATAATTCGTAATCTGTAAAACTAAGGTAGTGCCATATAAGAATGAAGTCATAAAGTAAATTCGTATTATTTAAGTATTTGTATTTATTAAGTGATTGTAAGTAATATATTTAATTTAAAGAAGGGAAGGGTAATAGCAATTAGTAAAGAATGTTGCCAGTACAAGTAAATTTTGTAAAATTCGAAATATTCTAAAGAGACTATAAACGTGCATTCACATAAAACACATCATTGTAGTAGACGTTATATTTAGACTGGGAATAATAACAAGGATGTAATAATGTACGAAAAAAGAGCGACTTTTTTTCTTTCCTCTCTCCTACCCTGACACACTAGGCATTTGATGTAACCGCAGTATGCAGTAATAAAACATATATGTATTTGAAATATAAAATAATCAGTTTAGTGTAAAATCACATGGTATTTTATAAAAGACTGACAACAAACACACAACAAATTTAAAAACAATTCATGTTCTAAAAACCACAGTGTCAACAGCCAATATTAAAACTACAACAGCATCCACTGTCTCAGTGTAGGAGTAACCTTCCTATCAAGATTTGTTTAAATCTCGAATCTGAATCAGAACCTGCGGTTAAAAAAAAACACAATGTTATTAAAAAATTAAACAATTTCCAATTATTTTAATATTTTATACTAAGGTTTTTAAAGAATAAATCATTGATTTTAATTTAAAAATGTTTCATTATTCATACGAAATTGGGGTTCGAAACTTCGGAAGTTTCATGGTAGAGCTCTTGTTTCGAGTATGTAGTATAAATGCCTATATGCCTTCCCTATTCTGTGGTGAAGACAGGATGTAAATTATTAATAGTAGAAATATATTTGTAGTAGACCTATCTGACGATTCACGAAGATCAATGCATAATACCTTATTGTATTAAATCTTCATATAAAAATGTATTTAAGTTGACAATAATTGTAAATAAATTTATTATTAATAAACGTATTTGTTATTTTAGTAATGTACTTACTATGTAATGTAAATGGACCTCCTTTTTCGTGTTTTTTTTTATGGATGAAAATGGTATGGTAACCCCACCTACGCTAACGGGATACACTGGCGGAGCACCAGTGAAGGGTGATAGATGAGAATGAAAACAGGCCAGTTGGCCCATCATGATGAATTCATCAGGAATTAACCATGATAGTTTCCAGGGGGAACCGCGAGGAGGTTGACCTATTTGGGTATATACTTATTACTAATATTACTTTACTAACAATCCGTTCCCCCCCCCCCCCTTTTTCGTGTTAAGCCACTCATTTGGACTGTTAAACGTAGAGTCGTGACTAATACAAGCAGCCAGGAGATTGTTAGCAATGGAGTTTAACAGCCCCATTGCTAGCAATGTGTCCAATCAGGTTGACCTCCACGTGGTTCCCCCTGGAAACCATCGTAAACAATTCTTGTTGAATTCGTCACGATGGGCTGACCTGCTTCATCCTCACATATCATCTCTCACTGGTTGTTTAAAATTTGCTAGATATTGCTATTGGATTGCTAATCTCCATTACTAACAATCCCTTCTCCTCCAAATCAGACAAGTTCACGGTCCATCTAATGAAAATTGTATTTTATTCTAATTGTACTCGTATTGGTAGCAATACAATGAAAATCATGCGTCATTGCTGAGGATTAAGACGTTATGTCCTGTGTGCTTCTACTGTGTAACCTTTCTAATTAAGTTCATACTTAACAGCCTAACGCATATTGCTCCACGGCAGAAGCAAATGTTTTTTTTTTTTATACAACTTAGAATGGCAAACAAGCTGAAGGCCCACTTAATGGATAGTGGTAACCGTCGCCTATAGACATGAGCAGTATCATGGACATAACAGAGTATACTGTTTCGCCCATGATACCTCCCCATGCGTTGCCATTCCTGAGGACTCAGATGTTATTCCTCTGTACCCAGTAAATTCACGCCATATCCCACCCATCAAACCGAAACACAGCCATGCAAACACAACTGCTTCACGGTTGAAACACGAATGGGACAGAGGTACCGAAGGAATCGACTTTTGTACAGTACAATAAATAAATTAGTAAATTTATCTCATAAAAGAAATATCTTCCAGTCAACCTTTGAATGTCTGACCGAAATTGTGAATTGGTGGAGATAAAAAAATAAGTAATAAGCGTTCTTGCTTTAAATATCTTTAAATATTCATAAAAACTTCCATGACTGCATTTTTTGGGATGCTTTTGTATTTTTACAAATGTTTTGCAGAACCGTATAAACAGTTCGATGCGCGTTACACAATTACGTCTTTGTTTGTACGGAAAATATCCGTTTACACAAGTGAAGTGATATATATATGCTTAATTTATTATTAACATATTCCATGAAAATGTTAATAACAAATAATATACCTACACTTTTCTTGTTAAGGGGCAGACAAACACTTTTATACAAACTATGCTAACAGGATTCTTTTATACTACATAAAATGGCAAACAAACTGACGGAATCCACCTAATGGAAAGTGGTAACCGTCGCCTACAAACACATGGACATAATAGAGTTTAGTGTGTCGCATGTGATATTCTTCATGCGTTGTTATTCCTGAGGACTAAAGTGTTATGCCTCTGTACCCTGTAATTTCACTGCCATATCCCACCCTTCAAACCGAAACACAGCCGTGCAAACAACTGCTTCACGGTAGAAATGCTAATTGTTCTATTAGCATTAGATTAAGTACCTAAACAAACGATTTTTGTACAAAGTCTTCCTCTGGTAATATTATTCCATGGGACTACGGGGATAAGTCACAATAGTTCCATCCAATAAGATATAGAAAATTAATTCATTTTAATATAAAAGCCAAGGAATAGAAAGGATAATAGGATATGAAATAGGAAAGGAGTTCTTTTTTTGAAAATTTAATTTTATCTGTTCGTATTCATAAATGTTATGCTGGGAGTTGGTTCCATAATCGCACGTGTGTCTGGTAAAAACTATGGTAAATGACTACCGCTTATGCAGATGGCCTAGTTGTAACTTTTATGCTGGCTAAATAAATTTTGTCGTCTCTTGCCTCGTACTTGAATTAAATGTACGAAATTGAGGAAAAAATAATAATGGCAGGAACTACGAAGATAGGTATATGACAACTGAAATAAGTTAAAATTAAAAACAAATTGCACATAATTATGTCCCTAAGTTCTCGCCCAGATGGCTTAGTTGGGATTTTTATGTAATCTAAATAAATTTGGTTATCTCCTATCTCGTACTTGAACTCGTACTCGTACTTAAACTGAATCTACGGATTTAAGGAAAGAACAATAATAGTAGGAACTAGGAGCAGCATCATAAGCGGTTTGTTTTTAATTTGTGTCAGTTGTCATAGATCTTTTACAGTTTATTACGTATCCTAATATTATATCCTAAATATGTTTTATTTTGGTTTTGTTTTTCTCAAAAAAAGAAGGCAAAGGGCCCTGTCCTAAACAGCTCATGTCTATTGTAATTTTTTTATAGAATTATATAATTTTCTTCAGTTTAAATATGTTTGCCTAACAATATAAAACACGGAAGTAGTACGTCTGTTGATAGAGGTAAAAATCATATATAACACTACTTAGAAACTAGCTACTCTTCATCTCTCGGTTATCGCAGGAGGTGACTAAAGAAATAAGCATAAAATACTACTATATGAGAAGGAAAACTTAAAATAAAGCCCTATATAAAGCTGTATAGTCAGCGTGATACTTTAATTTAATATTATTTTCTTATGAAGTAGGTCCCTTCTAGCAGTGAGTCGGTATATAGAAATCCGACAAGCATACAATCCCAGGGGAATGGGATTGTCAGTAATGGGAATTAGAGGACACATTGGTAGCAATATACCCTGTCAAATCAATCTTTACACAGTTGCCCTGGAAACCATCGTGATTAATTCTTGTTGAATTCTTCACGATTGGCTAACTGACCTGCTTTCACCTTCACCTATCGTCTCTCACTGGTGCCACATTAGCGTATACTGATAGCACAAGCAGAGTTACCATTCAATCCCCGAGACAGTATAGGACAGTATTTAACTCTTTGGACACAGCAGCTCTTAAACATTTGAAAGCAGAAGCAACAGGCACGTCTTGTGGCTTGCAGTCACATTTTACTATAATGCCTATGCAAACAACTTTGAATAATATGATTCGATGGTCGGAAATAGACAATTTGTAATTTACAAATCACCACCTTAATGATATTGATTTATTGTAACCATGTTAGTCCAGGTGTTGCGATGACGTGTACGGTGCGAGGAGACAATTATTTTATTTTAATAAACTACTTGCATTGCGAATTGGAAGGCGCATGTTTATATAATAATGATATATAATGGAGCATATATATGAAATGATTTTACAGTGTCGAGAATCACGAAGGCCATAAAGACGTTGTCTTGGGCCAATCAAGATGAAGTCACCAGGATTTTTGACGTTTACCTGTCTACTTGTTGCTGTAAGTACTTTTATAAAAGGATTACTTGTGAATGCCCCTTCATCTGTATGATAGTCAAAATTAATGAGTAAAAACAAAGATTATTTGTTTAGAATAATTTAGTACATTCTTCGTAATCATGACTCTTCCACGACAAAGTTTTACGCGATTTAATGCAATAGAGGAATTCGACTATATCGCATGATTTAATTCATTCATTCCGATTAAGCAGACAGGAAATTCTATACAGCCATTTTCATGGCAGTGTAACAGTTAGAAGACAATTATAAAAAATGATTTCATTACATATATCTAGCGTCTTTAATATTATGTAAAAATTCTGTTTACAGAACTATTGCATAAATATGTCACAAATCAGGATTGTAACGTAGGTTTGATAAAAATAATAATTTGAAAAATAAGAAAACCCATGCAGGTGACAGGTGACAGATTTTCGTTAAAATATAACCCCAAATTGTATTGCTTAACATTATGTCTCGTGTCGTGTCTGTGTCTGGTTACTAGACTAAATACAATGAAAATTTTTGTCATTCTCGAACAAAAGTATCTTGTTTGCACAGAGCTGAACAAAGAGGTATTTATTAGGTGTTATTTGCGAGTGTCTATAGACGAAAATTATAGCTTAATATCAAATTATTACCATTCGCGTGCTTGCTACATTTATGGTAAATATACTTAGAATCATAAACGCAGTGTAGGACGACTCTCCACTAGATACGAGTGACGACCTCCAATGCGTTGCAGGGAGGTAGGATGCAGGTAGCTCAGGACCGTTCCATATAGCAGTCTAAGGAGGAGGCCTACGTCCAACAGTGGACAAATAATGGCTGAAATGATGATGCATATGATATCCAACCAAAATTAAATATAGTAAAACATGGCGCAAAATTTCAAGCGGTTAAATTGTATAATAAATTACCCACTGCATTAAAAACTATTGAAGATTGGAGAATTTTGAAAATAAAACTTTATACTCTTTTGTTGGAAATGTGCATCTACTCAATTGATGAATTTTAAAATACTCTTTTAATATTTTATGCCTTACTAATGACATTTGTAAATTGATTGTAATGTTATTTTTGACAATTGTTATTGGTTATTTTGTTGCTTCATTTTTTTTTTTTGTTATATTTTATGATATCTTCTAACAAGAAAATAAAATAAATTATCAAAAATATTCAACACAATTTTGTGTTTTTTTTGTAGCGTTTTTTTTTTGTACAAAGTTTTATTGTAGCGAATAAATAAATTGAATTGAACTGAATTGATGATGATGACATCGAGGGATAGAAAATTTATTAAACTTAATCGTTATAATTTGTTTAATATAATAATACATCAATATTTGGAATAAAAGGAAAATTATTTGAAACTAAAAGATGAAACTTTTTTTAATATTTTTTTTTTTTTATTTTAGGCGAAGGTAGCTTGGTGCAACGATGGAGACAACCAAAATGGACAGGTCGTCACTAGAGGTAAATTAAAAAGTTACATTTGACGATAATTCATAAAGAGCAATATGAATATTATTAAATATTATTATAATATTTTTATTATTAAAAAATAAAATTCTCCACAAAAATATGAATACAGACATTCAAAACATCATGTTAAATAAATCAAATTGTATTTAATTTTATGACTTGTCTTGTATCAGATAACAATAACGAGATAAAAATTAGAGAATATATTTTATGCAATTAATATAACATCGACCAGTAGAACTAATTGGAAAGAATGTTTTGTCTGCACATATAATAGTAGATTTGTAATTACTATTTATATTTAATTAGTGTTTAAAATTTAGTAATGTATTATTATACTTCCACAGAATTCAGATCTTATGGGCCGGGTCAAGTAGAAGAGATTACTATTACATCTAATAACGCCAGCAATGTCCAGTCTCTTCAAAACGCGTCAGAAGTCAAACAATATGTTGCTGAACAACAAGAAAAACAGCAAGAGAACATAAAGAACATTCAAGAACAAACCGATAGAATCTATCAAATCAATAAAGAACGCAGTGAAGGTAATTGGAATCAAAACCAATCTTCCAATAGTCAACAGAGCTCTTCAAATGAATCCGAATCAAATTCTTCTTCAAATCAAGAACAAAACTCTAGTCAAAGCCAACAAAGTACTGGAAGTGAATCTAATTCAAATTCTTCTACAAATCAAGAACAAGACTCTAATCAGAGCCAACAAAGTACTGGAAGCAAATCTGAATCAAATTCTTCTTCAAATCAAGAACAAAACTCTAGTCAAAGACAACAAAGTACTAGAAGTGAATCTAAATCAAATTCTTCTACAAATCAAGAACAAGATTCTAATCAAAGCCAACAGAAAACTAGAAGCGAATCTGAATCAAATTCTTCTGCAAATCAAGAACAAAACTCTAGTCAAAGCCAACAAAGCACTGGAAGCGAATCTAATTCAAATTCTTCTACAAATCAAGAACAAGACTCTAATCAGAGCCAACAAAGAACTAAAAGCGAATCTAAATCAAATTCTTCTTCAAATCAAGAACAAAACTCTAGTCAAAGCCAACAAAGCACTGGAAGCGAATCTAAATCAAATTCTTCTACAAATCAAGAACAAGAGTCTAATCAAAGCCAACAAAATACTAATAGCGACTCTGAAATAAATTCCTCCTCAAATCAAGGAAATACACAGTCATCTTCTAGTAATCAACAAAGTGAGAGTCAGGCATTTTCTGATTTTAGTAATGCAATAAAACAACAATCTGAGAGTATATTTAATGCGACTCAACAAAATATTTTGGAACAAAACAGAAATCAGCAAGAAGAAATTAGGAGAATCCAAGAGCAATCTGACAATATTTATAAACAAAATAAGGAACGCAGTGAAAGTTATTGGAATCAAAATCAATCTGATTATTGGAATCAGAATTCAGATTCATCAGAGCAAAACTCTAGTGAAAACCAACAAAGTACTCAAAGTGATTCCGAATCAAATTCTTCTTCAAATCAAGACAACACACAGTCATCTTCTTCTAGTACCCAACAAAATCTGAGTCAAGCATCTTCTGATTTTAGTAGTGCTATACAACAACAATCTAAGAGTATATTTGATGCGACTCAACAAAATATTTTGGCACAAAACAGAAATCAGCAAAATGAAATAAGAAGAATCCAAGAGCAAACTAATAACATTTATGAAATAAATAAAGCACGCAGTGAAGGTCGAGTACAAAGTCAATCTCAGCAGCCAGCGTCGAGTGAATCAAGCAGAGGCGCTTCTACTGCAACTTCTGAGTCATCTTCGCAATCATCACAAACGGTAAACTCTCAATCTTTTAATAATTGTCATACCTTTTAATAATTAAATCCAGGTTAATGTCATCCTATACCACAAGTGTCCAGTAAACCTGAGCAGCCTGACCAAGTAAGTAAATCGGGTATTTCTGCTATAAATTTTTCTTAACAATCTTTTCAGGAATCATCACAAACGACAAATTCTCAAGCTTCCAATACTTCTGTTCAAGAAGTACGTCCAACATACAGTCAATATGAGCAGCGCTCTCAATTATCTTCCCGAAAATCTTCCCAGCAGTTATTAAAAAGTGCAAGTACTGCAAACGGCACTCAAACTTCCAATATTAATACTACAGGTCAACTTAGGCGTCTTGGTCAAAGCCAACCTAAGCAACCAGCATCAAATGAACGAAGACAGCCTAAGCAATTTAAAATAGTATCTTCATCTCAAATACCTGAACAATTTTCTCAACATTCATCAAAGAGTAAGAGTACTGAAAATAGTTCTCAATCTTCGAGTATTAATACTTTCGATCAATCCAGGCGGCTTCTTGGACAAAGTCAATCTGAGCAACCAGAATCAAGTATACCAACACAACCTGAACAATCAATTAAACCAAGCAATCCGACAGTGTCTTCATCTCGGACATCTGAACAATCTTCTCAAAAGTTATCACAGAGGGCAAGTTCTGAAAACAGTTTTCAATCTTCGAGTATTAATACCTCGGTTCATTCTAGGCGTACTGATCAATCTGAAAAACCTCCATCAAGTACGCTAAGACAGCCTGAAGAACTAATTAAACCAAACACTTCGACAGTGTCTTCATCTCAAACATCTTCCAGACAACCTTCTCAGCAGTCATCACAGGATACGATTTCTGATAATAGTTCTCAATCTTCGAGTATTAATACTTCAAGTTTTAGGCATTCTGGTCAAAATCAGTCTGAGCAGCTAGATTTAAGTACATCGATACAACCTGGACAACCAACTAAACCAAGCACTTCAATATTATCTACATTTCAAACATCCGGACAATCATCTCATCAGTCATTACAGAGTACAAATTCTAAAAATAGTTCTCAATCTTCGAGTATTAGTACTTCAAGTCAACCTGGGCATCCTGAACAAAGTCAATCTGAACAACCAGCATCAAGCATACTAACACAATCTGGACAATCAATTAAACCAAGCACTTCGACAACGTCATCATCTCGGACATCTGGACAATCTTCTCAACAGTTATCACAGAGTGCGAGTTCTGAAAATAGTTCTCAATATTCGAGTATTAGATCTCCAAGTGAATCCAGACTTCCTGGTCAAAGTCAACCTGAGAAAGCGACTTCGAGTGCGCCAAGACAGCCTGAAGAACTAAATAAACCAAACATTTCGACAGTGTCTTCATCTCAAACATCTTTCAGACAACCTTCTAAGCAGTCATCACCGAATGTGAGTTCTAATAATAGTTCTCAATCTTCGAGTAATAATATTTCAAGTCCTAGGCAAACTGGTCAAAATCAGTCTGAGGAACTAGGATCAAATACACCAATACAACCTGAGCAACCAACTAGACAAAGAACTTCTCAAACATTTTCTCAACAATCTGCTCAGCAGACATCACAATATGCAAATTCTGAAGGCAATTCTCAAACGTCGAGTATTAGTACCTCAGGTCGACTCAGGCGTCCAGGTCAAAATCAACCTGAGCAGCCAGTATTAATACCAAGGGAGACTGAGCAGCCAAATAAACCTAGAACTCCGATAGTGTTCTCATCTCAGACATCTTCCCAACAACAATCTTCTCAGCAGTCATCACAACTTCAACAACTACAACAGCAACAAGAGCTTGATGCCACCGATTACAATACATTACAAACACAATTTTCTCAATTGTCACAGAGCTCTTCTGACTCGTCATCTACTTCAATCCCTGGAAAACCTATACAGCCTAAACAATCTGCATACTGCGAATCAATAACGCCAGCAAAAGTTGTGCTGCCAAGTCAACTTAGATATCCTAATATTTTAGAACAACCAATATATTCAGAAGAAATATATCAACCCGATACTGCTACTTCGACAATAATACAGACACAGAATTCCCAATCATCGCAAACATCACAAAGCGATAATGATTCCAACTCTCAAACGTCATCTAATTCAATCTCTGGAATATCCCTAGAACCAAAACAACCAGGATATTGGGAATTAATTGCTCCAGTTCAATCAACTTTACTAAGAGAAGCAGGTCAACAAGAACAGCCTACTGTAGCAATACAACCAGGTCAACTCGGACGGCCAGTTATAGTGGAAGAGCTTGGTCAAACAGAACAGCCAACTATAGCAATACTGCCTGATCAACAAGGACGACCAGTTATAGTAGAAAAGGCAGATCAACCACAACTGCCAACTATAGTAGTACAGCCAGGCCAATTAGGACAACCACCTACAGTAACACAGCAAGATCAACTAGGACGTCCAATTATAGTAGAACAATTGGGCCAATTAAGACGGCCAGCTATAGTAGTACAGTCAGGTCAAGGACAACCCGTTATAGTAGAGCAAGTGGAGCAACCAGGTCAACTAAACCGACCAGTTGTACCAGAACAGCCAGCACGATCAGCTACGCCAATACTAGATCAACTACGGCAGACAGTTATAGTAGAAGAGCCAGGTCAATTAGAAAGATCAATTATAACAAGTCAACCATGGGAATTAAAACAACCTTGGGAGTCCGGAGTACCTCAGTTTCAACAGTCAGCACAGTCGTCTCAGATTACTAGCGCACACCAACGGAGTATATACAGCGACGAGGAAAATGTAAAAAGAGGACGCTATGATCTTAATAATCTACCTACAAACAGAGGTAAGTGCATTTGTTTATACTTCATGGCATGATTAAAGAAAACAACTATAAATAATTGAGGAAGATGACCTTATACCTGTAATGAAAAGCGCGAATTACTTAACAAAGGTCTTTTAAATGTAAATTTTAAGTAATATTCTTTTGATTTTGGAAATCGATCTCAGTGTATCATATCGTGATTTTTGTTCTAAAAATTAGTTAATAACCTCGATCACATTTTTAGTCAAATAATTATATTTTCGGCAAGGAACAAGGTTTGTTATCTAAACTGAGATCCATCTATATAGAAACCAAGCGTTAAGAAGCGTAAGACCTTCATACAGGACTTTTATGTTTACAAAATATATATTACATCAACAGACAGCATTTTTACTTACAATTGATATAATTAATAAATACAACAAGAACCAACATAGTTTATAAACATAAAAGTTGTTCCTTGCTTAGGTACCACATAATTATTAAAAAAGAATGTTCACTTTTAAATGCAGGGGTGGAGTCAGACATAAACTTGAGGACGCTATTCGTCAACGACGGTTCCAGGGACGGAAAATGCTTCTGCTCCTGTGGTGTCAACCGTCGTCCAGTATTTCTCACCGTTGACCAAGACCAGATCGTCGCCCCCAGATATTAAATTTACTTCTATAATTGGGATTTCATTTACCATTTTATTGCATTTAACTCTCTGTATATGTAAAATCGATTTGTTGAGCTGTATTTATATTATTAAATGATTACGTCAAACGAGACGTGATTGAAAGGACAAAAATTTTAGATTATTAATCAGCATCCTTAAAACCCAACGTGGTTATACCTTTTTTTTATGCAACTTAGAATGGCAATCAAGCTGACAGCCCACCTGATGAAAAGTGGTAACTGTCACCTATAGACATGAGCAGTACCATGGACATAACAGAGTATACTGTTTCGACCATGATACCCCCCATGCGTTGCCATTCCTGAGGACTCGGGTGTTATTCCTCTGTACCCTGTAAATTCACGCCATATCCCACCCTTCAAATCGAAACACAGCCATGCAAACACAACTGCTTCACGGTAGAAACACCAATAGGTCAGAGGTACCCAAGTAATCGACTTTTGTACAAAGTCTCCCTCTGGTTTATACGCAGTAATAGCTTAGCTATGATTTTAGGCCTACCTACATATAGAGTAAAAATTATAATAAGTAATATAATTAATTACTTGCTAAAAACTTGAATTATCGATATGTTGGACTATTTAGCTTTAAAATCAAAACTGGATACATTTAAGCCGATGCATATTTGTCAAGATCATCATCGCATAACCGATACTAGTTAAAATATATGTCCACAGTATTTCATTTCTATGTTAATATTATACCAGGATTTTAGAAAATACCTACTTTATAATCAACGTTATGAACATTTAACCGATATAATTCGCCTTTGATAGGTATGTGCGGCGGTTTGTACTTTGTATAAGATGAACTACTTTAGGCAATGTGATAACTGCCGTCGTGAGTATGTAGGCCACGGCTATTGGTAAAATAATTTGGGGCACGTAGAGACAAGTAAAACTACAGGAAGAGATGACTTGTAGGGAGATATTGGCTAAAAATGGCTTGGTATTCCTCGTTGCAGCCTATGGAGGCTGAAATTATTATGATCAATTTTTAACCAATATTTGAAGTTGATAATGAAACAAATCAGGTGGTACATGAAGCGAGTATATTGTCTACTGGGTTCCTAAGTAGCGAGGGTACAGAGCAAGGCGGTGCCGCGCTTGACCCAGTAGTCGGGCGGCTCCTTGCCGGACGGCAGCTCCACCGCCACCACGAACGCGCCCTTTCGCATCGGGTAGTAGTAACACGGGCACGTGTAACGATCTGTCATCGAGATTATCGAGATATTAGTAAGGACAAATATTTTTTAAATCGAATAAGTCTCAATTCGATTTTCCTTTTATGTGTTCGTTTTCAATTGTGAATCGTTTTGATGATTTACCTTTATTTTTATAGAGTTTGGAATGACGAACAATTTATAAATACTATAATATTTTTTATTGCACTTGTAAATTACATAGATAATACATTTTTAAAGGTTGTTAGCAAGGGTAGACTTTTCTCTGACAGAGATCTCTTCCAGTCGACCCAATACAGTTGGAAAACATGTCGTTAGCGGGCAGCTAAAGTACACAAGGGCTGTATGAATAACTAATAATTTGACAGTCCACCTGACAGGAAATAGTAACCGTCGCCTATAGATATTGACAATACCAGGAACACCACAGAATATTCTATGATGATCATGCTTCCGATTCCTGAGAACTATGATTTTATGCCTTCGTACCTCGTAATTTAACTGTTATAATTCTACCCTTTAAATTAAAATACGCCAGAAAATAGCCAAGCAGACCGCGTTTCTAGAAAATCTCCCTTTAGTTGTTTCTAATGCACTAATATTTTTATTTACCTTTAATGTTTGTATGTTTTTTTATATTTTAGTAAGAAAGCTATCACGATTCAACTACGAACGATACCGCGAAATACAATTAGTAATAGTAATAACTGAGTTACGATTAGAATTTGTACATACTTTTCAGTCGTCTGCCACTAGCTCGTATAGGTTTAAAATGAATAGGCGACATAGGGAACACCAGCTGCATCGGTAATGGTTCTTGTAGATGTCCCTCCTTTTTGAACCAGCTGGCACCTTCTAAGTATTGACCTCTGAATCAATAAAAGAATCACAAATGTGAGAAGCATTCAAAATCACAAGTATAATATAATAATTTAGCAGTAGTCGATTGATAGCAGAGTAATTACGGTTACTTCCCAGTTACAGCCATGGACATACTGGTTCATGGCCGTAAATGGGGGGGGGGGGGGGGGGGGGGGGGGGGGGGTAGCATTGAGGCGCAATGCGCATACCTTGAATACCATAAAATTAAAGGTCCCAAGAGAATTAGACTGATTCGCTTTTTTAATTATGGTTTCTGTCCTACCAATTTATTTATATATTATTATTTATTTATATATATTTATTCAGTATTATTGGTGCTGCTACTAGTGTAAAAAAGCCATGTATCGTAGAAAAATTACCTAATATAAACTCCACCGTCACGTGGTGGTCTGACGAAAGCGGATTCCTCTAACGGCATCACGGTAAATTCCCAGCAAAGTGTATCTATCGGCCAGCCTTCACCACGAGCCGTTGTCTGTAATAATAATTTCAAACTAGATTATAGTCTATTTGTGTCAATTGGGAAAGTTCCTGTGTACAATGCTGTAGCATGGGCACGAACAGCCAGCAGAGCGTAGGTGGCGGGGGCAGCGACTGGGGCGGGGAGAGACGAGGGCAGGGCGGCACCAGCATAACGCCGGTGAGGAAACCGGCAGTCAGCACAAAGTGGGGGGGGGGGGGGCGGCACCTGCATGACGGCGGTAAGGAAGCCGGTGGGCGCAGCGAGCGCGGGCAGCCAGCACAGCGTGGGCGGGGCGCGTGGCGCGGCGGCCCAGGCGGCCAGGTGACCGCCGCGAAGGGACAGCTCGCGGCACCACGCGCCCAGCGGCTTCATGGACGGACGACCTGTCGACCGTCAATGACATTGGTAAAGCTTCCTGTCCACTAAACCATATTTTATTGTGACCACTCAAGAACCGTTCGGAAACGAAGAAAATACATTTTTAACACTACCTATTGCAGTAGATGAACACCGTGTACATTTGTATACCCGTATACAATTCGTAATATACCGATCGTTACAAAGTCTGCAAGTGATGGCAGCAAGCAGATGTGCTTCAGTAGCAATATTTGAGTTTGAAGAATGTAAAATGACCTAATATAAAATGGCCTGTAGCTATTTGCTACGAAAATTTGTGGTCAATAACCACACCCAATAAAAGAAACTCAAATAATTAGAGTAGCATCATTAGCCCAAGTCCCAACGATAAATAAAATACTGTTGAAGTAACCTTTTTGCCAGAAAGATGGCACTTTTCCCTCAAAGATGCAAGAGTACATAACTTCAAGCATCTCTGACATCACAACCAAACCTTCGATGGCTCGGCGCAACTCCTGTGATAATAAATTTATTCGATTAACATTTGGAGATTGGAGAGATAAAGATTTGGATTAAGACAACAATGAATGTAAGGATTTTTAGCACTGGAGAGTATAAACCAGTTTGCAATATGCTACAATCAGGTCGACTTTCATGCGATTCCCCCTAGAAGCCGCTTGGCGAGCTCCACTCTCCATCTCTACTCCGCTTAAAATCTAGACTTCAAAAATTAAAAATTTCTTGATTATATTTTTTAGTAAATTCGTCACGATGGACTGCTTTCATCCTCACTTTGATCTCTCACTCTCTTATCCGCCAATAATTACCAGACAAATTACTAGTTGTTACTCATATGTATGTAAAATGTAATTCGCGCGAGGAATTTTTGTATTTTTCCATTTATTTACTGATTAAAACATTTATTCACAGTAAAAAGTAGTTGTTATGTTGATCCATAAACTATAAGTGATACATATATCGTGTACTGTAATGCAGAGATGTCTGATATATCAGTTTATATATATCATATTCAGCAAAATAGATATTGGATTTTGAAAATCAAAAATTTTTATGACCAAGTTGCATTATTAACATATATGTACCTTGAGACCAGCGGTAATACTGCTTATAAGCACGTTAAAATACCCAATTTCTTGCAACAGTGAGACACACATCGGCATCACAATCTCGGGACCCATTAATTTCTCTGTTGTCTCCACGTCAATCTTCGATGGCAACTTTTGAATCATCTCGGCTGCTAATTCGTCAACCTAGATAAATGGACTTAGACAACATCTGATTACGGTTTGGAGATTTCAATTAACAAATCCCTTTTCGAATGGATTATTTAAAAAATCGGTAAAAAAACTTTTAAGTTAAACGGTTTTATTTTATGTGCACTGAAAACTACAAAATAAATAAATAGTTACTTACCTATCAACCTACGTAGGTGATCTCGGTCATTAATATCTCTGATGGTAGTGGTTGTCATAACATGAACCATGTCAGCGGCCGAAAGGTAGTTCATGAGAGAACACTAACACCAGGGTTTGCTTGGTAGGTAAACTAAGCAGCCCGCACTATAACAAGTAGGTATTTTGACCTTCTAGTTCAGAAATATTTTAGTACTAGGCAGAATAGCTTTTAGGCATATTAGACTAAAATAAAAACGCGGGGCCCATTAACTATTTCTGTATTACTTTCTACTATACTAAGTGTGGATTGCATCGACTTATTATAATCGTCATCATCATCATCCTAGCGGTTTATCCCGGTCGCATCCGAAACCTCATAGCTCCGGAGTCCAGGGTCCGCTGAATCGACTTACTATAATCGTAACTGGAGGTTTTGACCATCAATAACCAGCCGTTACGGCTTCACCAGCGAACGCCGAGCTCATGATCTACCAAAGTATAAGATATGCTCTGCTATAGGTATGATTTCAGAGGGGCCCAACGTTTTTATTTTAGTCTAATATGCCTAAAAGCTATTCTGCCTAGTACTAAAATATTTCTGAACTAGAAGGTCAAAATACCTACTTGTTATAGTGCGGGCTGCTTAGTTTACCTACCAAGCAAACCCTGGTGTTAGTGTTCTCTCATGAACTGCCTTTCGGCCGCTGACATGGTTCATGTTATGACAACCACTACCATCAGAGATATTAATGACCGAGATCACCTACGTAGGTTGATAGGTAAGTAACTATTTATTTATTTTGTAGTTTTCAGTGCACATAAAATAAAACCGTTTAACTTAAAAGTTTTTTTACCGATTTTTATTTTCTTGTTTTTAGTATTTAGTGAAATTGTTTACCGAATATTCCTCATTTTATTTAATTCATTCAGTGCATCATTATTACATGGTTTCTTACCTGATAATTTAGTACAATCTAATTCCTCAATACATAGCCCTTCCAGAGACTTGACTCGACTTAGAGCCACGTATGCTTGTCCTTCCTCAAACCATTTTGAGCCCAAATATACTACTGCATGGTCGACGGTGCTGCCCTGCATTTTATGGACGGTGAATGCTCATGACAAAACTAAGGGCAACATCCTTTTTTCAGCCGTACCATAATTGAATTTTGCTGGAAACTGTATGGCTTTAGGGTAAATAACGTGCATGCCGTCTGTGCCAAAGTCAATTAAAACTGATGATATATCTGTTTCGTACATTTGGGTTCGACGGAACTGAGGCCAAAAAGGTGTCTGAGTGTCAAGTGTCTGAGAGTCTAGTGTCTGAGTGTCTTGTATCCGAGTGTCCAGTGTCTGAGTGTCTAGTGTCTAGTGTTTAGTATCTGAGTGTCGAGTGTCGAGTTTCTAGTGTCTGAGTGTCTGAGTGTCTAGTGTCTAGTGTCTAGTGTTTAGTGTCTGAGTGTCGAGTGTCGAGTGTCGACTGTCGACTGTCGAGTGTCGAGTGTCGAGTGTCTAGTGTCTAGTGTCTGAGTGTCTGAGTGTCTGAGTGTCTAGTGTCTGAGTGTCTAGTGTCTGAGTGTCTAGTGTCTGAGTGTCTGAGTGTCTGAGTGTCTGAGTGTCTGAGTGTCTGAGTGTCTGAGTGTCTGAGTGTCTAGTGTCGAGTGTCTGAGTGTCTAGTGTCTGAGTGTCTGAGTGTCGAGTGTCGAGTGTCGAGTGTCGAGTGTCGAGTGTCAAGTGTCGAGTGTCGAGTGTCGAGTATCGAGTGTCGAGTGTCTAGTGTCAGAGTGTCTAGTGTCTGGGTGTCTGAGTGTCAAGTGTCTGAGAGTCTAGTGTCTGAGTGTCTTGTATCCGAGGGTCTAGTGTCTGAGTGTCTAGTGTCTGGGTGTCTGAGTGTCTAGTGTCTAAGTGTCGAGTGTCGAGTGTCGAGTGTCGAGTGTCAAGTGTCGAGTGTTGAGTGTCGAGTGTCTAGTGTCTGAGTGTCTAACGTCTGGGTGTCTGAGTGTCAAGTGTCTGAGAGTCTAGTGTCTGAGTGTCTTATATCCGAGTGTCTAGTGTCTGGTGTTTAGTGTCTGAGTGTCGAGTGTCGAGTGTCGAGTGTCTAGTGTCTGAGTGTCTAGTGTCCGAGTGTCTAGTGTCTGAGTGTCTTGTATCCGAGTGTCTAGTGTCTGTGTGTCTAGGGTCTGAGTGTCTGAGTGTCTAGTGTCTGAGGGTCTAGCGTCTGAGTGTCTAGTGTTCGAGTGTCTAGTGTCTGGGTGTCTCAGTGTAGTCCTATTATTTGATACCCATATTGTGGTGGTTGTGGAAAAATATGTACCTAGTCCGCCATATTGGAACGGCGTCCATCTTGAATTTTAAATTTTGACATAATCATCGTGTTTTACTAGTGTAGCCCTTTCATTTGATACCCATATTGCGGGGGTTAAGGAAAAATATGTAATCCGCCATTTTGTATCGGCGGCCATCTTAGATTTATAATGTTATTGATTTTATTATATTGTATTGTCATCTAAATTAAATGTGTGTACCAAATTTCAGATCAATCTGACAACGGAAAGGTGCTTAAATTCCAATTTCTAATTTTGACCCAAATAAATAAATACCGTACAGGTCGAGCTAAATAAAACCGTTTAAAAAACCGTTTAAAAATGATCGTCGTACTTTACATGGCAAGTAAAGATGCTTGCTTAACTAAATAGTTTGTAAACAAGTGTACTCGTATTTAAATAAAGATTTCAATATGAACGTGTTGTTGTACGGTAAGCAATGTCAGTTTTTCTCATATAACGAAAGTAACCTAGAAATTTTTGAAACTACAGGGCGAAATCCAATTTTTGATGCTACATCAAAAGCGGATTAAAGTTACTGCAGTCAACGGTTGTTCCATTTTGAAAGCATCTATCAAAAGCAACACAGAGAGGGAGCCTTACCTTTTGGTCTTCTCCACCACCGGCTCCATCTCCTCCAGTAGACGCCAATGCAAACAATGTGGAGCACATAATCATTGCATCCTGATGATGATGTATATATTAATATATATGATCACTAAATATAATTACTAAAGAGCATAATCGATTCTATTTCTTCCACTGAAGAAATAGATTCTGTTTCTATCGTGAAGCAGTTGTGTTTGCATGGCTGTGTTTCGGTTTGAAGGGTGGGATATGGCGTAAATTTACAGGGTACAGAGGAATAACATCTGAGTCCTCAGAAATGGCAACGCATGGAGGTGTATCATGGGCGAAACAGTATACTCTGTTATGTCCATGGTACTGCTCATTTCTATAGGCGACGGTTACCACTTTCCATCAGGTGGGCCATCAGCTTGTTTGCCATTCTAAGTTGTATAAAAAAAAATATAGACCTGCCCCTTATTTTCCCAAAAAACCAAGGTCATGAGTTACGATTTTATTATACGATATTACCTTACAGTGCTCTAGATTATATGAAGTCGCTATTCGAGAACATTTCATCCCTTATGTTTATAATAGATACGGTTATTTCTACTTGTCGGTTTTTTAGCTTTATATTTTTTCTTCAACAGATATTGTCAAGTATATAGTAATAGTATTCCCAAAGAAACTCTCGAAAGACGTCAGACAGGCGGCCGGTCGTAAAACTATAAGCCAAACCTTTTTATAATATGGATAAAAAACATGGAACGAAGTTAGTGATAGTAGTGGTACGACCGTAAATTCGAGCTCGCACACAGATATGAGATGGTAGCTCAGACCTGCGCGAGCGTGGCGACGTCAGCGGAGGCGTGCTGCCCGACGGACTCGGCGCGCTCGGCGGCCGGCAGCAGGTCGAGGAAGTCGCGGTACGACTCCAGGCTGCCGTCGCGCGGCACGTGGTACGCGGGGATCGACGACAACCTGTCGGACCATCACCACAAATACGCTCACCACATGCTCACACGCAGGGTGCGTGTGAGCATGTGGTGAGCGTATTGGCTACTGTCACAATTATATTGTTTCCTTAGATAGTGTCTCCAAGCTTCGAGAAAAGTAAGTCAACTTTTTCATACAATTTTGCGTGATAATTACGATTGATTCCTTTATAAAATCTTCCTATTATCCTTTATATAATATATTTAATTTTGTATATTGTTATAGAATTTTTGCACCTTTTTAATGCGTAAAAACTTGTTTATTGAATAATACATCAAGGTACATTGTATAGAACATTAATAAATACGCGATGAAAAGTTGACGCGTTTTTGAGACTCGAGGATCTATCTATAGAATCTAAGGTTGTGTGTTAAAGTTTGAAGCAACTTAAAAAAAGACATTTGCAATATATCAACAAGATCAGAACGAGTAGTTGCAAAATGACATACGTCATTTTAACGTAATTTTTTTATTGACAATAAATCAAACATTAAACAATCATTCTGTTATTTAAAGTAATATATTTATATCGTAAACTATAATGCCAGATCAATATACCAAGAAGCTTTGTATGCTGAGATAGTATTACATAAATTCTTCATATAAACAGTCTTGTCTATGGCAACTTATGAAGTGTCATAAATTGTCATTCCTAAGAATCCTTCCACATCCTACAATCATTCTTTTAACTGCTTAGAAGAAATACTGAGCACTCTCGTACATTAGCACTAATAAACCAGCATAATTAAGCAACGTTTTTTGCTTCGTTCTATCAAACTGCACCTTTAAAATATCAGATACGCATACAGATATCTTTTAAATAGAGAGATAGATAGATAGATAACCTTTATTACCAGTATTAAGAAAATAAAAAATTAAAGCAATAAAAAGAAGAAAAAATTAATGTTGCTGGTAATAGGAGCCGCCTCAGCTGTTGCTATATATGTACAGCTCCAGCGAGAAGTACCTATATAGCGCTGATTTTCAGGCGGCCCCTTTACGCAAAGTCTCTCCACTTTAATATCAAGATCTAACCTATAGAATGGCGTATCGTATGCCTCCTCGCAGAAGAACTGGTTGATATACGCAATGAGCACTCGTTTGTCCCAATCGTCCGTTATATGGCCGCCATAGTTGATGATTGCGAACAGGTACCGTAATGCGTCCCACGGGACCTCTTCGTACTCCTCCAAGTAGTTCGCTAGTAGATTATCCGATACCTGGAGAAACGTCGATATCTTTCACACCTTTTACATTATGAGTGTAGTTTATGTGCACTTAAAAATTTTTAATTAATAATCTCAGTTAAAAGTCAATAGGTTTTTTATGGGAATGGATATTAAATATTATAATAAGATACCGAAGGATATTTCTGTACTGCTTTCTCATAAGTTTAAAACTGTTATTAAAAAACACTTATTGAACAAAAACCTATTACACACTAAACAATTACTCGAATGACAAAATTGCATGGTGTTAGTCGATCATGCACGGGCTTTTAACGACCATGTAATTTTAGACATATTACATTTAAATAAATACACATAACGTTAACAGAGATTTAAAAGTGTAACTGTTCAGTTTCTTGCAGGCACTACTCGATAGATAACAACTATCCAAAACTCTAGAGTAGATTAAAAAAAAATTGACGAATTAAAAATACTTGTGAACAAGTCTTCTTGAATAAAAATTATTTTAATTTAAAATTGAATTTTTTGTTAATACATACACATTATTCATAGAAAATTATAAGACCAATACAGAAAAATGCATAAATACAGAAGTTTGTATACAGAGAAAATCAAATCTGCCACTATCACCAACGTAAGGCAACGATTTAGTTTGATGACCTTGATAGTAATGCGACTTGCATTACTATCAAGGTCATCAAACTAAATCAGCCTTTTCCAAAGTAGGCGATAACGCTCCCTTGTGGCGCAGGCTTTAAGGGGCGTCCCCCTTAAGGCCGTCGTAAAAGATATGAAAAAACCACATGATGAACCACCATGAAAAGACCAGAAAAAAATGGGGGCGTTGTGTATAGGCTTGGAGGGTGATTTGTTGATCTTGAAGTAATAGTGGTTTTTAAATAGGTGAAAAATGGGGGCGCTAAAAATAATTTATTCTCAAAGTGGCCAATAGACAAAATAAGTTTGGGAACACCTGAACTAAATGGACTCACATCAAAGTCGGCATCATTAAAGCTGTAGACGGCATTGTACCCGAGCTGCCGGAACCGCTTCCTGGCGATGAGCGTGCAGTGGAAGAACGACACGCAGAACAGCAGCCGCCGGTACTTGGGCGTCGCTTCGTCGAACTTGTCCTCGTTTATGTTCGCGAATAATCTGACCAGGTTGCCTTTTAAGCCCTGTCGAGTGTCGAGAGATGATGATGACATCATCATCATCTCAGCTGTTATCTGTGCTCTAGTAAACATAGGCCTCCCCCATAGACTATCATAAGGAGCAGTCCTGAGCTACCTTCATCCACTGACTCCCTGTAATGCATTGAGGTCGTCACTCCATCTAGTAGGGTTTGCCTGTTTACCTATATGTGGTCGTCGCTCAAGAATCTTTCTCCCCATTGGTTGTCAGTTCTTCGAGCTATGTGACCAGCCCTTTGCCACTTCAGCTAGCTTATCCTTCGGGCTATGTCGGTTGCTTACGTTCTTTTGCGGATATTTTCGTTTTGGATTCTATCATTTCATTGAATGGTAAAATCCAAACATGACCCTTTTCATAGTCCGCTGCAAAACTTGAAGTCTTTGCAAACGGACAATTGAGTATTCGCTTCGGCTTTATATAAACTTCTAAGCTTGCGAATGGCTGTTTTTCGGTGTGAATATGACAGTGAAATTACAAGGTACAGAGACATAATAATACACATTAGTACTCAGATGTAGTAATGTAAGAAATTGGGGGGGGGGGGGGGGTACTATAAGCGTCAGTGGATTCTGTGATCATGATAAATAGGGAGGAAAGGGATTGTTAGCAATGGAATTTAACAGCAATATGCCCTTTACGTCGACCTCCGCGTGGTTCCCTCTGGAACCCATCGTGAACAATTCTTGTTGAATTCGTCACGATGGGCTAACTGACCTGCCTTTTCATTCTTACCTGTCATCCCTCACTGGTGCCCCGCCAGCGTACACCGCTAGCGCAGCCGGGGCTACTATTCTGTTATCATCCATTAAAAAAAAAACTACAATAAATATGTCCATCATTACCTTTTACCTGCGACTTCGTCCAAGTGATCGAGATATGTTAATTGTCCGAGATGTCTACGTTTTTGTCTGTCGCATATAATACGTGTATACCAAATCTTATAATTATTGATTAAGCAGTTAAAATACCAAGAGGTGATAAACAAACAAACTCACCTTTACATTTCTAATATTAGTAAGGATTTCGATTGGTTATTATAATCGTAACCGATAACACGGTTTGATATCTTTTAAAAAGAGAGTTACCTGTGGTGGCTCCGTGGTCATCTTGATGCTCCTCTGCAGAATGTTGAGCGGGAACTTGTCGTCGGGCATGGAGGACAGCCAGAGCCTGAACCTTGGGTGTATTTTGGGGTTGTCGAGGCCCCGAAGAGAGCCCAGCCACTCGCAGGCCAAGTGACAGTTCGCTAAGAACACCCATCCGCCCTCCTTCATACCGTTTGTTAGCATTCTGTATAGTGATTAGGATATTTTGACAAGCAAGCTATATTATTATTTTTGTTGTACCAGCCGTTAATTGTCCATTGCTGAATATAGTCTCCCTCATTAAGGGGCATTTTGCCAGCCATTGCCACGCTTGGCAGGCAGATTGGCAAACGCAGTTTGGCTTTCGATATTTTTTAAGAGGGGCATTGCTACCCATCCTTCCTTTCTTAGTGGCCTCTTAAGACACCCACGGGAAAGGAAAGGGTGGCCTATTCTATGCCGGAACATACATGGCTATTTTTTATTGCATGTTCATGCTGCATGCATCATTCATTATATTAGTTATTAGAGAGTCTATGCTGAAAATCACGTGTGACTTAAAGAATAATTCCTCTTCCTTTTCAATTCACGAGTAGATCAATAGATATTTTTTTTTCTTTTCATCTGTCACACTTTACGATCCATGTAATACAGACATATATCGTAATAGATTTCGTAATTTCACGAAATTAATCCTAGCTGAATTCAAGAGGTTATGGGCCCAGTATGCCTTTCAACACACTTGTACTATTAATAAGTAAACTCAGAAACTGGTGATATACCTGGCAGCGGTAGGCGCCTGACCCTGTCCGAGGCTGAGCGAGTGAAACTTGTCGAACATTTTGACGTCAACGGCAAGCTGGATGAGCGCCGCCGTCGGGTCCACGCCTGGTGACAGCACGAACAGCAATGACGTCTTCCAACACGACTCCTCCCACGCCGCCTGCATCGCCACCGCAATAACTCATACATACATACATGTGCTGGTTGGTGACTGTCAATTTAACTCCAGGTGGAACAACATATAAACTAGTATCGTACCATTATTATTTCAGCTTTTCGTTATCTACTGTTTACTTTTATTTTTCGTATGGATTCGTCCTATTTTTGTTTTCAATGGGTGAAAATAAAATGGTAACCCTGCCCGCGCTAACGGTATACACCGACGAGGCACCAGTGAGAGATGATAGGTGAGAATGAATGCAAGTCAGTTGGCCCACCATGATGAATTCGACAAGATTAATTCTTGAAGATGATGGTTTCCAGTGGGAACCGCGTGGAGGTCGACCTGACAGGGTATTTTTTTATTTTTATACAACTTATAATGGTAAACAAGCTGACGACCCACCTGATGGAAAGTGGTAACCATCGCCTATAGACATGAGCAGTACCATGGACATAACAGAGTATACTATTTCGCCCATGATACCCCCCATACGTTGCCATTCCTGAGGACTCAGGTGTTATTCCTCTGTACCCAGTAAATTTACGCCATATCCCACCCTTCAAACCGAAACACAGCCATGCAAACACAACTGCTTTACGGTTGAAACACGAATAGGACAGAGGTGTCCAAGCAAACGACTTTTGTACAAAGTTTCCCTCTGGTTACTAACAATCCATTTCCCTCATATAGATTGGTCATGAGCAAGCTGACTATTGTCTCGATGTGGTCATGGTGGTAGTGCTACTTACCCTGATGTCGAGTACGGGCGGCTCGACGTAACGCGGCCCGAGCGTGTTGACGACAAAGGCAGTCACGCACGCCGACACGCGATCCACGCGCAGCGACCGCACCAACAGGATCTTCTGGAACTCGTTGCAGATCTCGTTCCACTCACCTGCCGACGGAGACAGCATTCGTAGACTCACTTAAGGTCAAATTCGAACACTGACAACAGTATTCCTGAGAAACCCTTTTGATGATACTAACAATTTACTTTTGAGCAAAAATCGTCCAATTGTCCTAACGACGGAGGGAAAGGGATTGTTAGCAATTAAGTTTGACAGCCCATTGCTAGCAATATGCCCTACCAAGTCGACCTCTAGGTGGTTCCACCTGGAAACCATCCTGAACAATTCTTGTTGAATTCATTACGATGGGCTAACTGACCTGTTTCATCCTCACCTATCATCCTTCACTGGTGCCCCGCCGGTGTATACTGATAGCGCGGGAGGGATTACTATTTCATTATCACCCATAAAAAAAATAGTCCTAACCGAATACGAACATTAAGTTACTCCATATCGGTGGATTTTGGAATAATGGTTTGACGTATTTAAGTAAAGAAAAACAATAGACTGAAAAAGCGACAAAGAATCACAATTCTAACCAATGAGCGGCTGCAGTTCCGGCTCCGGGTGCAAGTACCACTCCTTCCACTCTTTGGAGAAGGTTTCGAACGAGTCGATGACGCCGTGGAAGCCCGGCAACTTGTCCAGCTCCGTAATGTTGTCCCAACATTCGTCAGGCATCCAGTCTGTTTAGAAAAGATGTAATATGTATATGGGTCTTCTCCATTTATTTCTAGAAGTTGACTGCGAATAACAAATAAACTGACGGTCCACCTGATACTATAAATGTCATAGAATACACTGCGACATTTATGGTACTTCCAATGCGTTGCTATTGCCAAATACTATAGTATATTATTGCCATGTTGTCTCGGTATAGAATGGATCATCCCTTCCTTTCCTGTAAATGTTGTAAGAGGCAACTACGAGAAGAATGGTCTAGGGATGAGCAACAACATCCCTTTCAAAACATCACCTAAAGCATAACTGCAGTTGCCAATCTGCCTGCCAATAATGGCAACTACTGGTATAACCCCCGTTACTGTGAAGGCCTATGTTCAGCAGTGGACAGTTAATGTCTGATATGAATGAATAAATAGTATTAGACCCTGCAAAGTTCCCTTCCCGTGGGTGTCGTAAGAATCGACTAAGGGAGGGCGACGGATGGGTAGCAGCGTCCCTCTTAAAACATCTCTAAAGCCTAACTGCTGTTGCCAACCCGCCTGCCAAGCTTGGCAACTACTGGCAAAACCGCCTAAAGGGGATGCTTATGTTCAGCAGTGAACAATTAAAGGCTGATATGATGATGATGATGTAAATATCAACAAATTTTGTACTTTCTATTTTTTTCACAATAATGAAAATACTGTACACCAGGTACATACTGGTGGGATTATCCGGCTGCTCGGAGCGATCGAGTACCACGCCGCCCTTCAGCAGGAACAGGTACTCCTGCGTGTTCATCTTGCCCATTTGGAACAGTATGCGCGACACCATGTGGAATGACAGCAGCAACTTGTGGCGCTCGAATAATGCACGGCACGTGTTCCTAGACAAGGCGAGACAGAGTTTTCGTATTTTATACATGAAAAATTATTAATTCACTCTGTAATTGTAATGTAACTGCCCACTGTTGGACATAAGCCTTCCCCATAAGGGGAGTTTTGCCAGTAGTTCCCACACTTGGCAGGTGAATTGGCAACCGCGGTTAGGCTTTTAGAAATGTTTTAAAAGGGACGCTGCTGCCCATCCCTAGTCCTCCCTTAGTCGTCTCTTACAACACTCACGGGATAGGTAGGAAACAAGTTTAATGAAATGAACAAAATAAATTAAGAAAAATTAATTTCAGAAATTATTAATCAGAATTCTACATGTTCAAGCTCTTGTTTTAAATCTCCATCCATCATAAAATATGTTAAACACTTACTTGTAGACAGCGTATGTGTGGAACTCGTTCAAGTTACTGATCCGGTCTTCGAGCTCGGTGCTCTTGGGGCTGCGCTCGATAGAGTAAGTGAACAGGTCGATGTAAGCATCGAGCGAGAACTGGTACATGGGGTCGATGCGCGACAGGTCGTTTAACGCGAAGAACAATACTGAGGCACGCACAGCCACCGGCACGTAACCCTGAGTATCAATAAAACTTAGAATGGTATATAAGCAGGTAGCTCACCTGATGGAAAATGGTCACCCTCACCTATACTCGTAGATAAACATACCATGAACATCGTAGGATATACTGTGTCGTCCATGATACAATTCTTACGTTGCCATTCCCGAAGACTAAAGTGTTATGCCACTGTACTCTGTAATTTTACTGCCATATCTCACCTTTCACGGCAAAAAAACGAGTCACACAGAGGTGCTCAAGCAGACGACTTTTGTATACTATTTCTTTCCATAAATGGCTAAAAACTGATAGACCAATGGCAAATGATCAATTCAGTCGATGCTGATAAGCATTTGTGATCAGCATATTTCTAAATATAATATATATAAATACTAGAGGGAGACTTTGTACAAAAGTCGTTGGCTTGGGCGCCTTTGTTCCATTTGTGTTTCTGCTGTGAAGCAGTTGTGTTTGCATGCCTGTGTTTCCGTCTGAAGGGTGGGATATGGCAGTGAATTTACAGGGTATATTGGAATAATATCTGAGTCATCAAGAATAGCAACGCATGAGGGGCATCATGGGCGAAACAGTATACTCTGTTATGTCCCATGGTACTGTTCATGCCTATAGGCAACGATTACCACTTTCCATCAGGTGGGCCGTCAGCTTGCTTGCCATTTGAAGTTGCATAAAACAATCATAGCGAAATCCATGGAAGGCTTCTTGAATTCTTATGAAGTTACTGACTTGTCTGGCTGCGTCTATTTCTTTCTCGGTGACCTGCGAGGTGATAAGAGCTTCTTTCACCTCGAGGGAGGTCCGCTGCGAGGTCTGCAACGTGATGAATAGCTCCTCGTTTTCTAGCAGAGGTACCTGAGACTCGTACATTATACGTAGAAGGTCATTCTCCAAATCCATCTAAAACAAAACAAAAAAATACAATAAAATTAACACTCATTCTTGCATGTACATATAACATAGCATCAACTAAACAAGTCTGTAAACAACTGAACAACTGATAGGCAATTACATAATTTTTTGGATGTACGAAAAGTACGTAAGTTATATATAAGTAAGTTTATAAAAAAAGAAAATTTCTGTGTCTAAGTGTCAAGTGTCCACTGACTGAGTGTCGAATAATAATAAACTTTTAATAGCCTAAAATTGAAATGTATACAAAAAGAATTTATACAGTAGGTGTCAAGTGTCTGAGTATCTAATGTCTGAGTGTCCAGGGTCTGAGTGTCTAGTGCCTGAGTGTCCAGTGTCTGAGTGTCAACTGTCTGAGTGTCTTAGAGACAAGTGTCATAGAGTCGAGTGTCTGAGTGTCCAGTGTCTAAGTGTCGAGTATCTGAGTGTCCAGTGTCTAAGTGTCGAGTGTCTGAGTGTCTTAGAGTCAAGTGTCTGAGTGTCTTTTGTCGAGTGTCTAGTGTCTAAGTGTCGAGTGTCTGAGTCTCTTACAGTCAAGTGTCTGAGTGTCTGAGTGTCAGTGTCGAGTGTCCGAGTGTTCAGTGTCTAAGTGTCGAGTGTCGGAGTGTCCAGTCTCAAGTGTCTGAGTGTCTTAAAGTCAAGTGTCTGAGTGTCTAGTGTCTTAATATCCAGTGTCATAGTGTCTTAGTGTCAAGTCTCTGAGTGTCCAGTGTCTAAGTGTCGAGTGTATGAGTGTCTGAGTGTCCACTGTCTAAGTGTCGAGTGTCTTAGTGTTAAGTGTCTGAGTGTCTAGTGTCTGAGTGTCCAGTGTCTAAGTATCGAGCGTCTGAGTGTCTAGTGTCGAGTGTCTGAGTGTCCAGTGTCTAAGTCTCGAGTGTCTGAGTGTCTTAGAGTCAAGTGTCTAAGTGTCGAGTGTCTGAGTGTCTTAGAAACAAGTGTCTGAGAGTCTAATGTCGAGTGTTTGAGTGTCTAGTGTCTAAGTGTCGAGTGTCTGAGTGTCTTAGAAACAAGTGTCTGAGAGTCTAATGTCGAGTGTTTGAGTGTCTAGTGTCTAAGTGTCGAGTGTCTGAGTGTCTTAGAGTCAAGTGTCTGAGTGTCTAGTATCTAGTGTCTGAGTGTCTAGTGTCTGAGTGTCCAGTGTCTAAGTGTCGAGTGTCTGAGTATCTAGTGTCGAGTGTCTGAATGTCCAGTGTCTAAGTGTCAAGTGTCTGAGTGTCTTAGAGTCAAGCGTCTAAATGTCGAGTGTCTGACGAGTGTCTTAGACTCGAGTGTCTGAGTGTCCAGTGTCTAAGTGTCGAGTGTCTGATGAGTGTCTTAGACTCGAGTTTCTGAGTGTCCAGTGTCTAAGTGTCGAGTGTCTGAGTGTCTTAGAGTCAAGTGTCTGAGCGTCTAGTATCGAGTGTCTGAGTGTCCAGTCTCAAGTGTCTGAGTGTCTTAGAGTCAAGGATCTGAGTGTCAACTGTCTGAGTGTCAAGTGTCCAGTGTCTGAGTGTCCAGTCTCAAGCGTCTGAGTGTCTTCAAGTCGAGTGTCTGAGTGTCTAGTGTCTGAGTGTCTGAGTGTCTTGGAGTCAAGTGTCTGAGTGTCTTAGAGTCAAGTGTCTAAGTGTCGAGTGTCTGATAAGTGTCTTAAACTCGAGTGTCTGAGTGTCTAGAGTCTAAGTGTCGAGTGTCTGAGTGACCAGTGTCTAAGTGTCGAGTGTCTGAGTGTCTTAGAGTCAAGTGTCTGAGTGTCTAGTGTCGAGTGTCTGAATGTCCAGTCTCAACTGTCTGAGTGTCTGAGTGTCAAGTGTCTGAGTGTCAAGTGTGTGAGTGTCTTAGTGTAAAGTGTCTGAGTGTCCAGTGTCTAAGTGTCGAGTGTCAACAGTCTGAGTGTCAAGTGTCCAGTGTCTGAGTGTCCAGTTTCAAGTGTCTGAGTGTCTTCAAGTCGAATGTCTGAGTGTCTAGTGTCTGAGTGTCCAGTCTCAAGTGTCTGAGTGTCTACTGTCTGAGTGTAAAGTGTCTAGTGTCTGAGTGTCTAGTGTCTGAGTGTCAAGAGTCTGAGTGTCTTAGTGTCAAGTGTCTGAGTGTCCAGTGTCTGAGTGTCCAGTCTCGAGTGTCTGAGTGTCCATTGTCTAAGTGTCGAGTATCTGAGTGTCTTAGAGTCAAGTGTCCAGTTGTTTAGTGTCAAGTGCCTGAGTGGCACTTAACTCTAAGACACTCAGACACTCGACACTTAGACACTGGACACTCAGACACTTTCCACTAAGACACTCAGACACTTGACTCTAAGACACTCAGACACTCGACACATAGACACTGGACACTCAGACATTCAACACTTAGACACTGGACACTCAGACACTCGACACTAGACACTCAGACACTCGACACTTAGACACTTGACTCTAAGACACTCAGACACTCGACACTTAGACACTAGACACTCAAACACTCGACATTAGACTCTCAGACACTTGACTCTAAGACACTCAAACACTCGAGACTTAGACACTGGACACTCAGACACTCGACACTAGACACTCAGACGCTCGACACTTAGACACTGGACACTCAGACACTAGACACTCAGACACTTAACACTAAGACACTCGACACTTAGACAGTGGACACTCAGACACTCATACACTCGACACTTAGACACTGGACACTCAGAGACTTGACACTAAGACACTATGACACTGGATATTAAGACACTAGACACTCAGACACTTGACTTTAAGACACTCAGACACTTGAGACTGGACACTCCGACACTCGACACTTAGACACTGAACACTCGGACACTCGACACTGACACTCAGACACTCAGACACTTGACTCTAAGAGACTCAGACACTCGACACTTAGACACTAGACACTCGACAAAAGACACTCAGACACTTGACTCTAAGACACTCAGACACTCGACACTTAGACACTGGACACTCAGATACTCGACACTTAGACACTGGACACTCAGACACTCGACTCTATGACACTTGTCTCTAAGACACTCAGACAGTTGACACTCAGACACTGGACACTCAGGCACTCGACACTTAGACACTGAACACTCAAATACTCAGCACTAAACACTCAGACACATGACTCTAAGACACTTAGACACTCGACACTTAGACACTAGACACTCAAACACTCGACACTAGTCACTCAAACACTCGACACTAGTCACTCAAACACTTGATTCTAGGACACTCAGACACTCGACAGTTAGATACTGGACACTCAGACACTCGAGTCTAAGACACTCAGACACCCGACACTAGACACTCAGACACTAGACACTTTACTCTCAGACAGTAGACACTCAGACCCTTGACTCTAAGACACTCAGACACTCGAGTCTAAGACACTCAGACACTTGACACTTAGACACTGGACACTTGACACTTAGACACTGGACACTTAGACACTCGACACTAGACACTCAGACACTCAGACACTGGACACTTGACACTGGACACTGGTCACTCAGACACTCATAAACTCGACACTTAGACACTTAGACACTGGACACTTGACACTGGACACTGGACACTGGACACTGGTCACTCAGACACTCATAAACTCGACACTTAGACACTGGACACTCAGACACTCGAGTCTAAGACACTCAGACACTTGACACTTAGACACTGGACACTTGACACTTAGACACTGGACACTTAGACACTCGACACTAGACACTCAGACACTTGACACTAAGACACTCAGACACTGGACACTTGACACTGGACACTGGTCACTCAGACACTCATAAACTCGACACTTAGATACTTAGACACTGGACACTTGACACTGGACACTGGTCACTCAGACACTCATAAACTCGACACTTAGATAGTGGACACTATGACAATGAATATTAAGACACTAGACACTTACTTGACACTCGACTTGAAGACACTCAAACACTTGAGACTGGACACTCAGACACTGGACACTTGACACTCAGACTGTTGACACTCTACACTTGTCTAAGTGTAGAATGTCAACAGTCTGAGTGTCAAGTGTCCAGTGTCTACTGGACACTCAAACACTCGACACTTGACTCTAAGACACTGAAACACTTGACACTAAACAACTGGACACTCAAACACTCGACACTTGACTCTAAGACACTGAAACACTTGACACTAAACAACTGGACACTCAGACACTTGACTCTAAGACACTCAGACACTCGACACTTAAACACTGGACACTCAGACACTAGACACTCAGACACTAGATACTAGACACTCAGACACTTGACTCTAAGACACTCAGACACTTGACACTCAGACACTGGACACTATGACACTTGACACTAAGACACTCAGACACTTGACACTCAGACACTAGACACTTTACACTCAGACAGTAGACACTCAGACCCTTGACTCTAAGACACTCAGACACTTGAGACTGGATACTCAAACACTAGACACTCAGACATTCGACTTGAAGACACTCAGACACTTGAAACTGGACACTCAGACACTGGACACTTGACACTCAGACTGTTGACACTCGACACTTAGACACTGGACACTCAGACACTTGACACTAGACACTCAAACACTTGACTCTAGGACACTCAGACACTCGACATTGAGACACTGGACACTCAGACACTCGACACTTGACTCTAAGACACTGAAACACTTGACACTAAACAACTGGACACTCAGACACTTGACTCTAAGACACTCAGACACTCGACACTTAAACACTGGACACTCAGACACTAGACACTCAGTCACTTTACTCTAAGACACTCAGACACTTGACTCTAAGACACTCAGACACTTGACACTCAGACACTGGACACTATGACACTTGACACTAAGACACTCAGACACTAGACACTCAGACACTAGACACTTTACACTCAGACAGTAGACACTCAGACCCTTGACTCTAAGACACTCAGACACTTGAGACTGGACACTCAAACACTAGACACTCAGACATTCGACTTGAAGACACTCAGACACTTGAAACTGGACACTCAGACACTGGACACTTGACACTCAGACTGTTGACACTCGACACTTAGACACTGGACACTCAGACACTTGACACTAGACACTCATACACTTGACTCTAAGACACTCAGACACTCGGCACTTAGACGTCAAGAAACTGGACATTAAGCACTGGACACTCAGACACTGGACATTAAGAAACTGGACATTGAGACACTGGACAGTAAGACACACAAACTACCGACAATTGGATAACAGACACTCGGATAAAGGACACTTAGACACTGGATACTAAGACGCTGGACACTCAGACACTAAATACTCAGATATTGGACTCTTAGACACTCGATAACTCAAATACTGGACACTCGGTCACTCAAATACTGGATACTCGGACACTGGATACTTAAGAGATTTGGACACTGGACACTCAAGACATTCGAACACTAAACATTTTTAGAAACAAAGTTTACTAATAATTATCCGCTATCTTAGGGTTGCGGCCATTTTAAGAGATGTAATTTATTTTACATCTACAACAAAATGTTACACCACTCACGAGCACTTTCTTGTTGTTCGCAATGGTGAGCACGAGGTTGTCCTTCATCTGCTCGAGCTGCGGTCGCTCCTTGCGCACCACGATGCCAAGCAGCTGCGACGTGAGCCCCTGCTCCTTCACCGCAAAGTTCACCATGGTTGTTTTCGTCAACGTCTCCGGCGTGTACACCGGATTGCCTGGTAACGCCGCCGTAGTTATGTTAAACACCACTTTAAACAGTCATGTTGTAACCCCCACATGTGCTATTGATACACTCTGGCGAAATCTCACGGGTGCTTACCCGTGAGGTGATAAGTGAGAGTGACGACAAGTCAAACGTGAGATATACAACTAAAATTAAGTTTATAACAATGTGCAGATGTCTGTATATTTGTTAATAACTCCCGCTTAAATGATTGAACGTATTTGGATGAAATTTTGCAAAATATATAAGATACTTTATACAGTTGATACTGTATATGTGATTAACTACGACAGTTTCTGGAGAAGGGCACACTAGATCATTTTACTAATAATTCTCTCCTCCTTTTCAAAACATGTTAATAAAAAGCAAAAAGAAAAAACGCGGGCTTGTCATGTGGTCATCATAATGATGATTCGATGATTGCTTCTGATTTCTGTTTGTCCCATTAGAAATTACAGTGGAGAGGATAGTTTTTTAACATTTAACATTACGTTATTTACGAACCCAATTTGGTAGTGAGATACATCTTGAACATGCCGTTATATGGTATCATCTTTTCATTGAACTTGATGACCATAGAGTTGCCAATCTTGACGATGGCTTTGTCGAGGATTGGCGCGATTGACGGGTCAAGTACTTCTCCCACGTTCTGGATGAGAATTGGTTTCCCATCTGTTAGTGCCACCTCCATGATCTTCAGGTAGTTCGGTTGACCAAAGTCCACTATCTGTTGTAACATATAAATAAAATATATCACATACCAGAGGGAGACTTTGTACAAAAGTCGTTTGCTTGGATACCTCTATCCCATTCGTGTTTCTACTGTGAAGCATTTGTTCGCATGGCTGTGTTTCGGTTTGAAGGGTGGGATACGGCAGTGAATTTACAGGGTACAGAGGAATAACACCTGAGTCCTCAGGAATTCCAAAGCATGAGGGTATCATAGGCGAAACGGTATACTCTGTTACGTCCATGGTACTGCCTATGTCTGAAGGCAACGGTTACCACTTTCCATTAGGTGGGCCGTCAGCTTGTTTGACATTCTAAGTTCCATAAGCCAAATCCTTTAGTGATATGGATAAAATCATATTACGCTGACCCCAAATAATAATTGGGATTAGGATAGGAAGATGATGATGAAGTAATATTAATAAAAGTTAGTACACCGTAATCGACGAGCGGGTAAGAAAAGATCGATGAATGTGGAGGAAGCGAAAGAGGTTTGTTTGAATCGAAGCATTTGGCGTTCCATTGTTTCTGCCTACCCTAATGGGAGACAGGCGTCACAGATATGTATGTATGTATGTAAATTGGTGCACTCGTCTTTAGTACAAACATATCTTTTTACCATATTACTTCAATGTTTTAATCAACACTATCTGATCTCACCTAGACAGTAAAACTAACGATTCCACCAGGTTTTGACTTGATCAGAGAGTTACCTTTTTAATTTGATTTTACGAATTTCAAAAGACGTTCATGCCTATAAGCGATGATTATACATTCTATCAGGTGGACCCATCAACTAGATTGCTATTTCAAAAAGATAATTACGATATGAATAGTACATATAGAGACCTGTATGTCGTTTTTCTCCTCGAGACGAGAGATCCATATGAGCGCCTGTCCCTGGGGATCCACCGCCAGTGGCCACCGCGTCGCTCGCACCACTATTATGCCATTCTCGGCACTAAAGTTATCGTCTGCACACACATTGCACTATTATCAATGTATACCATCATATATACAGAAAATTCCCAAGAAGAGTTCACGTCATGCAGACGGGCGATTATAAAACTCAAAGCCAATATATTACGGCGACCCCAAAATTTTTATAATTATGATAAGGGTAGGAAGATGATGATACACGTAGAAAAGTACTGTAAGAAATAATTATTACCATCGTCATTTTCGGACAATTAACTGAATTTGATTACTTCATACATTTTACTCTCTACTCTCTCTACTTTTTTTTACAAGTAAAATCTTAAGTCACGATATTACTACTAATCTCCGAAACCGCTCAACTGATTTTAAAGAAATTTTGCAAATGTGCATTGACTGCTCCTACTTGAGAGACAGAATCCTGGTAAATGGCAATAGGAGGTAAAACAACGCTTGCACTCGGCAAGCTCCATTGCCAAAGCTTGTTTTACCTCCTATTGCCAGTAAGTAGTTCATCAGTAGCTTTTGGCACTAGATTCATTTTGCTTAGTCCGCAAAGGGCTTTACATGAAGATTGATATATCAACAGCGTACCAGGCAATCCCATGTAATTCCAGTCTCGTAAGGTGGCGTCGTCAAGTAAGAAATACTTCATGCTCAGGTCCATAGTCACGGGCACGCGTTCATTGTATACCTGTTAATTAACACATTTTTTAACTTCCTTTGAAGGTCGACATTTCAAGTATTCCTTCTCTTGCACTGAAGAAGATAAAAAGGACTGGTACCATGTTGCTGTGTTTGGAAACTTCTTTGGAGCCAATTAAATTGTTCAAAACTAACTTGTTTCAACTCATGATCCTAATATCTAAACGAGTACTACAAATAAGACTATATAACTTCTTAGCCACAACTTATTTTAAAAATGAAAAGGTGATCAACCTCTATGAACCAGTCGTTCATGAGCGCCTCCCTGTACTCGGAGACGAAGGGACCGAGGTATGCGACGAAGCCAGTGGCGATCAGGCAGTCTCCTGGCAGTTGCTCGAACTCGCGGTCCAGCCGCTCCACTGTCATCTCCCACCGCTCGCGCTCACCTGCACAATTCCATTACATTCACCACTAATTCACCTTGACACTATGGCCTATAGACACTGATACTTCGGATAAAGATGAGTTTTTTACATAAAGTCAGAATAAATGGGCGCGGTTATCTGCGACCTTTGTGTATCTCAAAATGAAAAAGGCACAAGCTTACAATTAATCGATCTTCGCTGAAATTGACGTCAAGAAATGTACTTAATCCATTTAACCAATATTCTATACAAAATGGCAATCATACCCGAGAGTCCAGTGATAAGGGCTTCAGCTCTTTCCAGTTTGAGTTGCAACATCCGTGACTTTTTCTCGAGCTCTTCCTTCTGTGCCACCTTCTCATCATACTCTTTTTGGAGCCGAGCGATCATCTCGCTCAACTCTCGCAACTTCGCCCGAGCCTCGGCTAAGATCTGCTGCTTCATACGAAGAGATTCCAAAGCTTCTTCTAGACGTTCTTTCTTTGGTTTTACAATTCTGAATTAAACGACGTGTATGATGTTTATTCAGTAAAAATATTGGCCTACATTTAAAAAATTATCGAGAAGTAACAGTTTGTAATCTCAGTTTTAATCAACTATCAGACAAATCATCATATTAGCCAAAAATCTCCTTCTTATACCCTAGCGAAGCAGCTATTTTCTAGTATGAATGAAGAAGGTCATTTATATAGAAAAAAATAGTATTTTGGCATTACAGAATATAGCATGATAGCAACCCACATGCGTTTCCATTCCTGAAGACAACGGTGTTATACCTCCATACCCTATAATTTCATTACCATATCTCTCACCCTCAAACCAAAATACAGCTGTGCAAGCTTTACGGTAGAAATACAAGTAGACAGATATTTGACAGCTTTTGTACACAGTATCCGTCTAGTTTAGCTCTAAAAACCTGCTTTAGTGATATATACCAATACATACGTACTTGTAGACCTTGCCATACTTCTCGATGGCGCGTACCCAAAGGCACAGCGACTTAGCGGCGGCCGATACCGTGCCCACGATTTCCGGGTCGAAGTCCGGCTTGGCGGTGTACGTACCAATCTTCTTGAGAGTCTTATCCGAGATATTGTCTTTATCGAACTCGCGCAGTCGATCCAGAAAGTACTGGTCGCCGAGCTGTCGCTTCGCCTCCGCCCACGTTGGCTCTTTCTTTGTGGTTTTTATATTTTTTTTTTATTTTATTTAGAATATGAATTCTATCATATTTATTTGGTATTAAATTTCAAAGTTTCAGAAAGATGCGTTAGATCTACCTTTCACTATATTTGTTTTATTGTCAGCCATTTATTAATAATAATACCTTAATAGGCCTTATTCAATAATTCATTCCTTCCTTTCCCGTGGGTGTGGTAAGAGGCGACTAAGAGAGCTTATGTTGGAGGGATGGGCAGCAGCGTCCCTCTTTAAACATTACCAAAAGCTAAACTGCGGTTGCCAACCCGCCTGCCAAGCATGGCAACTACTGGCAAAACCTTCCCTTATATGGGAGGCTAGATTATTACTAATACACACTAAACAATTGCTTACAAGACATATGTATTACACCTGGCTTTAAATGGTCATGTATGGTATAGGTCGTTCTGATCATTTACATTTCACTAGACATAAATATAAACACTAGTATATAAAGTACAATGATATCGAAATTCTTACTTGAAGCAGTATAAGTACAGCCTCCAAAACCATTTCGACCTTTTGCGGAGGTTTCGCATAGGACTTCACTTCGGTTATATCCTTTTTGTTCAGTGCATCCAATGCCTAAAATTATCGAATACGTTTAGGAACTTGATCCATAAGACAATTGGCAAGCGTAAAAATTGTCATGTATGTGGGCTTGGATGTATTTAAATAAGTATTTCATCAACAAACTTATCCTTTGATATCCCATATAACACAGATTTCTAAGTTACGTCCTGTTCGTCATATTTTTTTATATCACTTAGAATGGCAAACAAGCTGACAGTCCACCTGATGGAAAGTGGTAACCGTTGCCTATAGACATAAGCAGTACCATGGACATAATATAGTATATTGTTTCGCCCACGATACCTCCCATACGTTGCCATTCCTGAGGATGCAGGTGTTATTCCTCTGTACCCTGTAAATTCCCGCCATATTCTATCCTTCAAACTCAAACACAACCATGCAAACACAACTGCTTCACGCTAGAAACACGAATGGGACAGAGATGAGACCAAACAAACGACTTTTGTACAAAGTAAGTCCCTCTTGATAAGTCTCCCTCTTATTTATTTAACACTTTATTACCCCAATATTACAGGACTTGTTGATGAATTTTCAGCTTCAGGTTCAGTATAGTTTAATACAGATAGCGGTCTAATCGCTAAGCAATCTCTTCCAGACAATATTTGGGTAGAAAGAATTAAAGAATGATTAGGTAATATTATATCTTTATTTAATCCTAGAAGACAATAGATGGATTGACTCTTTCATGCAACAACTACTAAACGGATTTGAATGAAATTTAATATACGGACAGATCATAACCTAACTTAAGTCACAGGATACTGTATGTATCGAGTCTCATAGGCGAAGCTACGGGATACAGCTAGTAATTTATATTTGCACTCTTCTCTCTGGTTCTCTGTTTTATTATCCTACTTAATTATTCTCAATTAAGTACACTTTACTTCAATCCATAATCAATCCATATTTTGTATGCCAGCTCTGTCTCGCAACTTCGTACGCGTAGATTTTGGAAGTAGGTAAACATTTCTGGATAGATCGTGTAATCTATCTAAGTGTATATACATACACACAAATGCACATGTACATTCGCACACACGCACACATACGCACACACACGAACACAAAGACATCAAATAGACCTGATTACCTTGACGGCCTCCTCGAGCGCGGGCATGGCGCTGGCCAGGTCCCTGCTGGCGGCGTCGGCCAGCTTCCTGCACTGCGCCTCCTCCTCCAGGGTCTTGTTGCTGCGCGCCGCCACGCTGCGCTGCTGCTCGTCCGCGTTGCGCTGCTGCACGTTGATCACGCCCATGTACTCGATGCACTGCTCCGTGTACTCCGCCACTTGCACCTGAATGCAGTTGGAAATTATCATTATGTTATTTTTTTATGCAGACACATGGTTCGGCCATGAATATTGGGAGGAAAGGCGTCAAGAGTATTGAGGTCTAATAGCCCCATTTCTAGCAATATACCCCCTATCAGTTGCAAACACACGCGGTTTTCTCGGAAAATCACCGTGGTTAATTCTCGTCCAATGATGAATTCAACGTCCAATGGTCCACCTGACCTGCATTCATACTCACGTATCATCACTCACTGGTGACCTTTCCCGCCAGTGCATACCAATAGCACAGACCAAATACCATAGAAATACCATTCTATTTTCACCTATTAAATTAAACCCATAAAATCTAGTAATATTTATACAATAATTAATAATTAATGAATAAGATCATTACCTGTCTTATTGGAGTACAAATGCCACTTTCCTGTGTGCCTATTAAATCCGGAATATAACATATAAGCAAGCTATTTAGTAGTAAATTTAAATGAAAAGTATCCAATTACCCTTACAGATTATTTTGACGAGAAGCACAGAATTACTTAATAGATAGATAGATAGATTATTTACATTACTCACAGCACACAAATTACAATGCACACATACACATAATACACAATAAAAGAGATAATAGAATGAAAAACAAAAAAAAAAGCAACAAAAGAAAACAACAACAACCAGAGGGAGACTTTGTACAAAAGTCAATTGCTTGGGTACCTCTGTCCCATTCGTGTTTCAACCGTAAAGCAGCTGTGTTTGCATGGTTGTGTTTCGGTTTGAAGGGTGGAATATGGCGTGAATTTACAGGGTACAGAGGAATAACACCTAAGTGCTCAGGAATGGCAACGCATGGGGGTATCATGGGCGAAACAGTATACTCTGTTATGTCCATGGTACTGCTCATGTCTATAGGGGACGGTTAGCACTTTCCATGAGGTGGGCCATCAGCTTGTTTGCCATTCTAAGTTGTATAAAAAATCTAAATCAGGAAAAATAAACTGCGCATTTTTCCCCTTTATAGTCACCTGTCGGTCCAGTTAATATAAAAGAGTATGAAACTTGGATGTTTATTGACAAAAATGCAGTCACCTGTGCGACAGCTAACTCCTCAGACATCTGTCCGACTAGCTTGGTCGTCTCTTCGACTTTGCCTAGACCGTTCCGCAGTTTGTTCGCTTGGAGAGCGATCTCGTGTCTTTTCATTTTTAGCATCCTGCGCACGATGAATGATTTTTTTTGTAAATAAATTCTTACTATTTAGATATTTCATTGATTGTTAAAATAATTAAGATTGTGCATGACAACAAATCGACTTCAATTGTGGCAAACCCAGTTGTTTTAATTTAAAAATTAACGTTTTGAACTGATTTTGAAAAAATATGGGATCAATCTGAAAATATGTATATCAATTCAGGTAAAGAACTTTCCAAGTTACTTCATAACTGACGGGGTTATGAAGATAAAATACAAGACAATCGAATTGAGAATCCTTTCCCTCTTTAAGGTAAGCCGAAAACTTAGAACATAAAATATCCCCATAATTCAAAAGTGATGGATATAGTACGCAGAGTATTGCAAGCTGGAGTGAAAAACGATTGTTCATATATCTCGAACAACTATTAACCGAAAAGGAAAAAAAATTGTGGAAGCAATCTTCCACAAGATGGAGAAGCGATCTTGAAATGCTGCAAGGAGTCAATGGCTATAGATGACGCGAGTGGACGTAATGTGTTGTAATACTTTTACTACTTCTTACAATAATGTAATATCAAAAAATAGATACGTGTATGCCGTTAAACAAACAACCTAACTTTAACACAAAGTATTACACGATGCACACCCATCTAAAAATGGTGTAGTGTTTAAAAAAAGGATTTGTGAGATGCCACTAACTCCTTGTATCCGGAGACGAGCTCGAGGTAGTTGGTGGGCGTGACGTAGTTGGTGCGGCGCATCTCGAGCCACATCTTGCGCGAGTAGCGGCCCACCGACGAGTGGATCAGCGACATGATGCTGGCCACCGACGCCCGCAGCACGTCCTCGCGGCTCTCCACCACAGACTCCTTGCGACGGACCTGTGGCACCAACCCCAGCTCACCAACTTCTTTCACCAAATCGACTTCACCTAACCGACTCAACTTACACACCTCATCTACCTGACGAAAAGGTTTCTCAGTAATAGAGTCTAATGACCTCATGACTTGTGTGGGTATGTTTATATGTATGTGATACATAACGCTGTCAGGTTGCCTCCATGCAGACCCCCTAGAAATCATCACAGTTAATTCTTGGTGAATTCTTCATCCTCACCCATCATCCCATACTGCTATCCCATTATTGTATACCGATAAAGATCCATTATCATCCAATTAAAAAAATATATTATAATAGCATTGACCTTATTCTATATTAAATAGTAGTCAAAAGTCTTCGAAACCAATGTAATGTTTAAGGCGATTTACGAAAATACAGGAAGCAAGAGATATATGTAAGAATAGAGCAAGCAAGCAAGATATATGCAAGAAACTTGACGTAGAAAGCTGAAAGAATCTACAATAATATGGCATACTTCAGGATTATACAAAAACGTACTCTGGGCCCGGTGATAGAAGCCAGCAGCTCGACGCCGTCTAGAAACTTGTAGGCAACCTCTAGTAAAGCCTCGCGGGGCCACTCCAGGAACCAGTTGATAGTAGTCGCGTTGATCAGAGCCGGATATTGTCGAATACGATTCCTGTTTGAGCACAGATAGTGGCGTATTGACGAATTATATTTTTTTTAACTGTGAACTAATTCCATAGATTTCTACATTTGGATCTCGTGTAAAGAAATAAGTCTGTATTTTATGTTTCTTTATTAATAACGAATCGTCAATATTGGCATCTTGGATATGATATATTTAAAACCCATACTTATGCAACTTGTAATGACAAACAAGGCGACATCTCACATAAGGGAAACTGCACTCTTAGCATCAGAATCGAAAACCAAAAATGTCATTAGACGCCCACTTGGTATGGTACTTAATATTTATAGCATGTGTTCCTTCGTTATATCAGCCATTAGCTGTCCATGAACTGAACAGTCTCCCCTGCGAGAGAGGGTTTTGATAGTAGTTGCCACGCTTAGCAAAGTCTTGGAAACTGCAGTTTGGCTTTCGGTGATGTTACAAGGGAGGATGGGCAGTCCCTTAGTCGCCTTTTATGACACCCATGGAAAAAGAAGGGGTAGCCTATCCTATGCCGGAACCTACATGACTATTTATAGCATTACATATTGCTAAAATGTACTACTGTGACAGATAGACAAGCTGACAAACGGAGACGTATTATATTTTTGATGAGAATGGATACAGAAAGTGTTTTACTTTTGTACAAAACCTTATGTACCTGAATTCGTCTCCTATGGGACTGAAACAGAGTACAATATGCATATTGGCGCGAACTCGATCCACCAGGAACAAGTAGACCGCTTCCACTGTCTGCATAAGATTCGCCGCCTTCATTGGCTTCTCTAGAGCTTGCTTTATCTATAGGGGAATGGAATGAATTTTAGGTCATTCGACCTTCGAATCACAGAATATTACTACTTGTATAAGGATGTCACCGATTGGTTTAAAAAAGGTTACCAAGCTACCTTGTTACACGCGAGAAATTCTGACATAACTTACTGGATGACGGCTTAAGTGTCCTCCAGAGCATGAAGCTTAGTAACAATCATTTAGGAGGTTTATGCTAAGTTTTAATGTTAGAAACCTCGGACCGCAGTCGAGCGCTGTGCAACTGAGCTATCACTATCCAAATACGAATAATAATACCCTGGCTGACTGTGGTTCTGCTGAGGGTTAGTAAGCCATCTCTTTTCCTTAAGAGGAAAATGTGAATTTTGTTTTAAAAAAGAAAAATAATAGTAATAATCTATAATTACAATGCTGGAGATTACTGCAGAATAATTCATTTATATTTCCCATACTGATTTATTTTAATTATCTTCTCAAAATGCTTTTTTGGAGTTCTTCAAGAGGCCGCATTAAGATTTCTTCAGAATGACGTGAGAAATCTATAATCGCAGGCAGCCACAAGCTACAGTAATCGTTTCCTATCAGATAGGTGGTATACTTTTTGATTTGGCGTGATGGTAGTCAAAATCTCACATCCTCAAACTCATCCGGTTTGTAGAGATTGGTGACCTCCCCGCTGCTTAGCAGGTTGTTGATCACTTCCGTGAAGGTCTCCTCCACGATCTGCGTGTCGCAGAATATGAACGTGGTCTTCTTGGCGTCCACTCCGCAGCTAGTGTACAGGGACTGTGTGGAACATAATGGGTGATGAAACAAGAGATCATCGACGTCTACAAGGGTTTATTCGTGTGACTTCCACGCGATATCAATATTTGAAACTAGCTTTTGCCTACAACTTTGTGCGTATGCATTTTGCAAATAGGAAAAGCAATAATACACCGGATTTTAGGTTACACCTTCAGAAAGGTGTAACTTCAGGAACACAACTGTGAAAGTCATATAATTAGTGTGCAGTAGTTTTTGCGTGATGTCGGACTGACAAAAGTTTCTAACGTACGTTAGTATCAGAGATTAATGTTGTTTAAAAGAAAATCACTAACACATTTAATAAATATAAAAGAAAAAAACATTCTTCAAAACAAAACAGTCGGTTGCATACCTTGAGATCCTCTCTGAAGTCCTTGATACCGTACGTCTTGGTGACGACTACTTGGAACGAGTTACACTCGCAGATATACGACGCCACCCTCGTCAAGCTCTGACGCCCGGAGCCGCCTGCGGTATAATTCGCGAACTGATGACATTGCTCGTTTACCAGTAGACGTCAAGTGTATAAACACTGTGGACTATCAAGTAAAAACAGTACATGGTCTATTTTGATCTCTGACCCAGTATCGCCGACAAAATTAGCGTATATTCTGGAGAAGAGTTATTATGATAGGATGAAACAAATTTATTTAAAGCTCTATCCTTAAATCAGCCATTGGCAGGGCAGTATGTCCAATTTAACTTAGCATAACGATAGAATAAAAGAAAATTTACCTCAAAGGTAATCAGTTTTTAAACCTAGATCAAATCTAAGCTAAAGCTCAATCAGATGAGACTCGTTTAATAGATGATAAACATTACTGACGTCGTTTATCCAATTTTTTTTATAACACGGGGCAAATGAGCGTTAGACTTACCTGATGGTAAGTGACTATCATCACCCATGATCACCTACAACACCAAAAGCATTGTAGGTGTGCTGTCGGCCTTTTAAAAAAGGAATATTATCTTTTCTCGAAGGTTACGATGTCGTATCGGTTCGGAAATACCTTGTAAAAAGTTAAAAGTGCTTTGAAAAACGCATGGTAGAAGATCGCCACTCATCCAGAAAGTTGGGATGAAACATTAGTTTTTTAAATTATATAAAAAGACTTCAAGTAACTATGACAACCTTTATAAACTACGATTGGGGACCAGTTTTAATCTCGATTCGAGCCCTTGTGAATACCATTTACTGGCAGTTCTGATATTCTTTTATTATTAGAAACTAACTGGACTGAAGTGTTCCCCTAACCTATGCCTACGCAGAGCATGTTCCCGCGCGGCTGAGAGATGACCCTTACGATGCGGCAGATATGTTCGATGGCATCCTTGAACAACACCAGGTCCATCTTCACCACGCCCGGGCAACTGTTGTACTCCTCCATTTGATTTACGATATACCTATTGGTGATATACAAAGTTATCTTGGAATCTGAATACCATTGTTGCTTGTAAAGAATCATGCAGCCAAAGGCAAAACAGATTACACTGCAATATGCATACCAGACAACTAGTGTCCTAATATTTTCTCTTTTACATTTGAGATACTGTACTAAATGGTCTTTTAGTTAATAGTTCTGACCCGCTTACTGAATCTGTCGCCAAGCGTATCGCTTTTGTTTGAATAGCTTTCATGCCGTGATGCGGCTCGGAGAATGATAATGGCAGTAACTACTGGATAAATACTATAACTCAATATTCACGAACAAGGCGCAAGTAATTTATTTAGTCAAGCACAAGTTTTTTGTGTTTCGTTATAAAAGGAACTATAAAGGTGTACTTTTAATGTCTTAGTTTTTATAGCTTCGTAGTTTTCAGCGGCCATTTACCATCAGATGGGCTGTACGCTTGTCATATATAAACACCAATATTTTTATCAAAATGTCTTTAACATTTCAAACATTTTAAGAAACTCTCTAAACATTAATAATGATGTGTTCTAACTTACTTTCTCAACGCGTTGGGGTCGACGAGATCGTCGTAGACTTCGAACGGGTTGAGGAAGTGTCCGAAGAGCGGCGGACTCTTGGTAGGGCACAGCGCGTGGAACGTCAGCTCGAAGTGCTTGCCCAGCATGTCGCCCATATGGTTCATGAACCAGTCGCGGTCCCTGTACACAGCAATACAGTTTTTTTTATATACACTGCTTAATCAAAATGATTAACATCTGCGTTCCACCAGGGCAACCGAACATTTCGCCCAAAGAAACATTTAACGAAAAAAGGAGAAAAAAATTAAAGTCCTCTATATTTACTCGATAGTTTTTTTTTCTTTTTTTATTATTATTGTTAGGGAGGTAAACGTACAGACGGTCCACCAGATGGAAAGCGAGTACCGTCGCCCATGAACACCTGCTACACGAGAAGAGTTTCTTGTGCGTTCCCGGCCTTTGAAATGTTTGTAGGCACGTTTATTGAAATACCCTATATTATATAAGGGAAAACTGAAGACGGGAGCTCATTTCATAACTTAGATGTATGTAGTTAAACATAACGCGTTGTTATGGGAAGCTTCAAATATGTAATACTTCAGTTTCAATGATGAAAACACTGGCTTAAAAAATCCTAAAGGTTTCGATTTCTGTCTCATTTAATTATTTCTTAATTTTAAGAACTCGTAATAGGCTCAAGAATGCAAAATATTTTGTTTAAAAAATTGGACAGTTCAGTCCAATTTTTTAAACAAAATATTTATTAGGTCAATTTTACAAGTTGAAAAATTTGATACGATACGAGAGTTGATACGATAGTATGTATATATTTGGAAATGTGTAAGCACTCAAGGGCCCCAAACCATGTTTTCATTTGGTTAATAAAGTTATTTAAATAAATAAATGTATATTCAGGACTCAGTATAGTAGTCAGATATAATTTTTTTATAATTCAAAGTAGCTATTTAAAGGCATTTTATGTCCAATAATAATAAAGACTAATATGCGCAACATTAAAGACAGTCAATACAATACTTTTCCTCGGTGAGGCGGTCGCTGAACACGCGGAAGCACTCGTGAATCCAGAGCCGCAGGAATCTCGCCTTCGTGTTGGTGTAGTCCTTGTTGCTTCGCAACAAACCCTGTCATAGAACATTTGACTAAAATATTTTTTTTAAAACATTGTGAAAATGTTCAACTGTTTTAGAACGTAGATTGCGACATTGCTACACTTCGGTAAGCTAAATTTATGAATGCTCTTACAAACTTAAATATATAATATATTCTTTATTGTACTGAAACATACAGTAATAATAATACATACAGCAAAGGCGAACTTTCTCTCTCTCTCTATATATATATATATATATATATATATATATATATATATATATATATATATATATATATATCCTATTTAAGAGCTCTTGTCGGTGGAGCTCTTGCCACTCACTACGATTTTCAGCGAGTCTCTTTACTATCTCCTTTGGGGGGTTTTACCAGTAGTTGCCACGCTTGACATGCGGATTTGCAACCGCAGTTAGGTTTTAGAGATGTTTTAAGAGCGACGCTGCTGCCCATCTCTCGCCCTCCCTTAGTCGACTCTTACGACACTCGTTTGATAGGAAGTGGTGGCCTATTCTATGCCGGGACCACACGGCGACGATAACTTATAATATGTAAATATTAATGAAACAAACCTGAAATATCTTAGATATGTCCCGCAGGTTGAACAGATAGTGCATCTTGCTCGGCGTCGGCAACAACTTGGCGACGATATTGTTAAACATATCAATAGTTGCTATAAGTACTGTCTTGCCTGAAATATACATGTAAATAGTTAGAAAAATGAATGAAACAAATCTAACGGATGAAATGAACGAATATAATTGAATGAAATGAGTGAGTCATTGTCATCGTTACAGTCTATATCTATGCTTGATAAAAAAAAATGTAAGAGTATATAAATCATTATGTTTTGGTAATCCCTTATGGACTAACAAGACAGATTCGCAACGTGTGCTAACATGTACGATTTTCTACTTTTTGTTCTAGTGGTCATATACAGCGTGAAATTTAACTGGTTGATTATCCGCAGCAAAAAGATTTGATCTCGATGGTACAATCGATTCGTAAACCCTTTTTTCCTAAAAGTTCATTCAAAAGTTTCCACGACTTTTTTTATTTTACTTTTGGAATCGATAGTACTACTGAGACCAAATCTTTTCGCTGCGGATAATCAACCAGTTAAATTTCATGTTGTATTATTGATATTTTTCATTAGAGAGTTTACGTCTATGTAAGAATTAAATTTATCAATGAAACGATTGAATGAAATAAACGAATGAAATTAGTGAATGAAATGATTGAAACACGTCTTTTAAGTCCCATCAACTAAAAACAGAACGATTATATTAAATAAATATACAAATTACGAGCTATGAGAATTATCGGTGATCCCAGGCTTACAAGCGGTATCGAACCCTTAAGTCTTAGGAGAGATTTTGCTTTACTCTGCGTGTTCTACCGCTTATACAATGGATTGTGCTCGGAGGAATTGTTCAATATGATGCCCACGGCTACTTTCTACCATCGTACGACTCGCCATCGATAGGGAGTTCATCCTCACATCCTACAGCCTCAATGATTGCATACAGCGCGGTTTCAGAGATCCTCCCACGAACACTCAGGTTATGGAATGAGCTCCCTGCCAGGTTTTCTCAAGAGCCTACAGCATGGGGTTCTTCAAAAAGGGGATAAAGAGGTTTCTTCAGGGTCGGCAACGCGCGCGTAATACCTCTGGTATTGCAGGTGTTCATAGGCTATGGTAACCACTTATTATCAGGTGGGCCGTATACTTGTTTACCACTTCAGTGATATAAATTTTTTTTACAGAAAGCAAAGTGAAGAGGCAGCAATGGACTGTTTTATCGCTAAATACTGGTAATAATCTCCTCAAAGTCATTTATTAGTACCTCAACAAAACTCACCAACAGTCTTAGTCTCCTCGTCGAACTCCTGTAGATGCTGAGTGAGCATGGTGCCGAAGATTTTGACGAGCTGCTGCTGCGTGGGGGCCGGCAGGTAGAAGGGGTGGAAGCACGACAGCAGCCGCGGCGGCAGCGCACACCGGGCACCGCCCGGCGGGCCCGCCGCCGCGCACAACACCATGTCCTGCCCACCCATATTTGATACCATGAATACCTCTTAATCATTCTAAAAAACAGGATGGTGTCAACTTATCCATATTTCTTTTCTTGCTTATTAATATTTTTTATTAATCAACTAGTTTTTTTTTATACAACTTAGAATGGCACACAAGATGACGACCCACCTGGTGGAAAGTGTTAACTGTCACCTATAGACATGAGCTGTACCATGGACATAACAGAGTATACTGTTTCGTCCATGATACCCCCATGTGTTGCCATTCCTGAAGACTCAGGTGTTATTATTCCTCTGCAAACTGTAAATTAGTTATTCGTTTGTTGGTTTGTTCTCTATATTAATTCTTATTTCTTCTATATTGTAATTAGCATGAAAAGAGGCAAGATACTGAAACCAGATATTGACTAGCATATGAAGCGCACATAGTGTAATGATGTAGTGTAGTGTGTGTAGTGTAACGTGAGTCTCTTGACGTACTTGTGTTATTTATTGTCGCAATAGAACCAGATAGTGAGAGTAGTATTTTTAACACATGTAGTGTAGTGTGTGTAATGGTGTAGGGTAGTGTGTAATGGTGTAATATAGTGTAGTGTACGTAACAGAGTAGTGTAGTAATGTGGTATTGTGTGTGTAATAGTGCAAAGTAGTGTGTAATGGTGTAATATAGTGTAGTGTACGTAATAGTGTAGTGTAGTAATGTAAAGTTGGGTGTGTGATGGTGCAGGGTAGTGTGTAATGGTGTAATATAGTGTAGTGTACGTAACAGAGTAGTGTAGTAATGTGGTATTGTGTGTGTAATAGTGCAAAGTAGTGTGTAATGGTGTAATATAGTGTAGTGTACGTAATACTGTAGTGTAGTAATGTAGAGTTGTGTGTGTGATGGTGCAGGGTAGTGTGTAATGGTGTAATATAGTGTAGTGTACGTAACATAGTGTAGTAATGTGGTATTGTGTGTGTAATAGTGTAATATAGTGTAGTGTGTATACTGTAGTGTGTAATAGTTGTGTGTGTAGTGTAGTGTGTAATAGTAATATGTAGTGTAGTAATGTAGAGTTGTGTGTGTGATGGTGCAGGGTAGTGTGTAATGGTGTAATATAGTGTAGTGTACGTAACAGTATAGTGTAGTATCGTACTGTTGTGTATGTAGTGGTGCAGGATACTGTGTAATGGTATTATATAGTGTAGTGTACGTAACAATGTAGTGTAGTGATGTAGTGTTGTGTGTGTAATTTTGTAGTGTAGAGCGTGTAATGTAGAGTACCTTGACATTTTTGCGCCACTGCTTGGCACGATCGAACCAGTACCCGTAATCGTGCCACAGGCGGATCAGCTCGAGCGGCGGCTGCGAGCCATAGTCATCGCGTACCGGCATATTGATGTCGTCCATGAACGCGATCATCTTCTTACCTAAGGCGGGCATACCACCAATTACTAGTATTGGGGATTGACCGCATTACTAGCTATATACGAGTACCTTCTTAGCTTGACTTCCATGCGGCCTAGTAAAAATCGTCATGGTTTACCGACCTCACTTCATCCTCACCTGTCATTCCTCACTGGTACTCCCGACTAGGATAAACCAGTGGCGCAAGCAGAATTACCATTCCATTACATACATTACAAAAAGAACTAGTATATACACCAGTATAGGGTAAACTACCAGGGAATTAAAAAAAAGTTATGACTGCAGCAGTACTGCATTAATTTTTGCCTAGTTCTTTTTCCGCAAAGTTAAGAAGTAACATTAAAACCTCACCCCCAGCTGGTACATAATTGCCCTTAGTCCTTTTCTCTAATCTCGCCTCGATTATGTCCTGTACGTTTGCAGCGGTCGTCTGTGCCGACATGTTGATGACTTGTGTACTATATCTGAAATTAACGGTAGATTTAAAAAAAAACACTGTCATATAACACAATCTAATTATTTTCATACTATTTATTTTTATAACAGCCCTTTAATTGTCCACCATCCTATGCCGTGTGGTGCCATCGAATGGGCAACCCTACTTTTCACATGGATGCCGTAAGAGGCGACTAAAGGAACATAATGGTCGAGGGATGGGCAGCTATTCCTTTTAATACATCACAAATGTCTAACTGCGGTTGCCAACCCACCTGCCAAATATGGCAACTACTGACGAAACTCTCCAATAGGAAAAGGGTTATGATCATCAGTAAACAGTTAACGGCTGAGAACTCCTAATAGTTCATTAATATAAACAAAAATAATATTAAAAGATCAATTACCTGGACGAGTCGAGACTAGCCAGCGTGCCCTGTATGAGGAAGGTCTTCCCCGTGCCGGTGGGCCCACCCACTATAACACCGTAGCCGGCCCTCAACATGTTCTGGGCGATAATCTGCACCCGAATGAACTCTACCGTCGGCACCAGGATCGTATGGAAGCCCAGACTGGTGAAGAATATAATAAAAATAAATTCCATACAATAACTCCGGCAGCTTAGTCCTCAATACCCAGGGGAGTAGGGATCGTTAGTATTGCGAACTACCAATACCATTGCTAGCAATACTATAAAGTCTATCTCTACGTAGTTCCCCCCTGGAAACTGGAAACATGCTCAATTCCAGGCGTATTTCATCACGGTGAGCTAACTGTAGGTCAGTTTCATTTTCACCTATCATCCCTCACCATTGCTTCGACAGCATATACCGTTAGCGCAGGCATTGCTACCATTCCATTATCATCAATTAAAAAAAGTCCTCAATACCCTGCCTTATGAGGAATCAGGCACCGAAGATCTGAGGCACAAGCCCAAAACAACGAGACCCTGAGTCAGTTAAAAAAAGATAATTTCCTAACTCTTGGGAAAACCTTCGTGAATGGGAATGGACAGTATGAAAGAAGGCATGATACCATAATCCTCAGACAACTCATAAAGGGATAGAACAGGAGTCACAGAGTATTGGCGACGTCCATGGTTCTGTCCACGTCTATAGGCGACGGTTATCACTTTTCGTCAGGTTTATTTCCTATTCTTAGTTGTATATTAAAAGCTATCCCAAAATATTTAGAGGCGGTGCTCACCTGGCGTTGAACCGCCAGTTGTCGGGCAGGCGGTCGTCCCAGGGCCGCAGCTGGCGGCGGCGCTCGTCCACGTAGTAGTCGTACACGGTGTCCTTCAGCGGGAACACGCCCTCGTGCTCGCGCACCCAGTTATCGAGCCGCCGCCGTGCCTCCTCCTCCAGCGACGAGCACACCGACCAGATCATACTGCCACACAATCAATTAAACTAACAGTCTGCTAACCCCTATAAATATTGTAAATCTTCATCAAAATTTTCGAGCCGATACGACATCATAACCTTCAAGACAACAGCATATTCCTTTTTAAAAAGCCGGCAGCACACTTGCAATGCTGGTGGTATTATGGGTGATCATGGGCGACGGTAGTCATTCACCATCAGGTGAGCTGCATACTCTTTTGCCTCCGTGTTGTAAAAAAAAGCACTTCCCCCTATCTATCGTTGGCAACACAAAATATAAGGTTTCTATATAAGTCAGAAACTGCTTATTACCTTTTAAACTTTTTACCATACTCTATCACTAAGGATCTTACACAAAATGCACTTTATTCATCCAATTTAGGTCAAAGAGACTCATATAATCTTGCCCAAATGCAATTTAAATTTCGCCCTACTACTGCTTGCAAAACGTTTATTAAACTCAAATCATCTTTATTAAAATAGACTTGTTTACAAGTACTTTTATATCGTCATTTTTTTTTATCTACCGCAGAGTTCGCATAGTTGTTATCTGCTGAGAAGAGCCCGCAAGAAACTCAACAGTTACTCTTTTAAATCTCTGTTAATTTTATGTGTATTTATTTCAATCTACTATGTATAAAATTACATGATAGTTAAGAAGCCCGTGCATGATCCACTAACATGCACGTTTGTCATTCAAGTAATCGTTTAGTGTGTAATTTTGGCTTTGTTTAATAACTTTTTTTTTAATAACACTTTTAAACTTATTAAAAGGCAATAACAGTTTTAAATTTATTAAATATCCCTCTATCTAGTGAGCTAACCCAGTACCTATTTAACGTGTAAATCTCCAGTCAAAGGTCGTTCTTTTCTGTCGGTCATCAGTTGCTATCTCTACATAATCGACCCATTAAGAAAATCGATGGGTATAAATAAATAAGCTGTTGAATACTCACGCGAACAGGAACCTCATCTTGGAGAAGCTTTCGTTGTCCTCCTCATCAGGTTGCGGGGGAGCGGGCGCGGGCCACTGCCCCAGCAGCCGGCACATGGACCGTACTCCAGTCAGCTCCTGGCCACGTACGCTCGCGCCCTCCGCCAGGTGAAGACGCTTCAGCTCCAGTACCGGCGTCAGGATGTTCAGGAAGTGGCGCCGGAGCTGACGGCCGATCGATTTGAACATTAGCATTTCAATATTAAATTTTCTACATCTTAAGTCTTGAATATAGTAAATAAAAATGTATTGAAAGAAAAATCTGTAAAATAAATTGGGCCATATCTTTTTTTTTTTTGCTGGGCGAAAATGAAATGTTAACCCCGCCTGTCTCCCATGAAGGGTGATCGATGAGAAACAATGGAACGCCATCCCGACGAATTCAATTCAAACAAACCTCTGGTTGGGTATATTCGCTAGCAATGGGATTCTCATTCATCAATCTTGTCAATAATACATTAAAAAAAATACATAAAAAAAAAGTTTACATTTATATATAAAGAGGTTACAGAGTTATAGAAATGTAATTTGGCTCTTCTTCAGAAGCAGAAACTGGTTTTCAATTAGCACCTTGTATTGACAAATCGACATGGATCTGATCCGCATTCTAGGGCAATCCCCTACCGACATCTCCATTCTTGAATATAGTAAATAAAAATATATTGGAAGAAAAATCAGTAAAATAAACTGGGCCATATCATAAATTCTCGTAAGTTTATAGTCGTAAGAAAGTCTACAGAAGGTGTGTATGTTTAGTAGAAGAAGAAAATAATAGGAATTATTATTTATGACAATAATGGTAACAACAGAAAAATGTTAACAGAACGAGACTTTATACAAAAGTCGTTTGCTTGGGCACCTCTATCCCATTCGTGTTTCTACCGTGAAGCAGTTGTGTTTTCATGGCTGTGTTTCGGTTTGAAGGGTGAGATATGACAGTGAATTTACTGTGTACAGAGGAATAACACCTGAGTCCTCAGGAATAGCAACACATGGAGGGTAACGCGGGCGAAACAGTATACTCTGTTATGTCCATGGTACTGCTCATGTCTATAGGCGACGGTTACCACTTTCCATCAGGTGGACCGTCAGCTTGTTTGACATTCTAAGTTGTATAAAAAAACTGCATATTGTCGTGAACAGTAAGCATTGGTAACTAACTTCGTATTTACATTATCCTTACAAATCCAAATAACATTTGAAAAATCAATCTTTTAAATAGTAAAAGTTGACATGAAAATCATAATGAAAAAACTACCCATACTAGCTGATGCCCCCGACTTCATCCGTGTGGTATTTGTTATTCCTGTTTAGTATGTATCGATGTATGTACCTACCTATTTATTGTCTGGGGATACTGGATCAAAATTAACAAATGACGTGTCGTTTTCCCTCTTTGTCTTAGGTCAAAATGACTTAAGTAGATTATGTACTAAGCTGTATAATTTATTATAGTTTTTTTACTATCCCACAGAAACTCTTTAATTGTCCATGATTAAAAGTATCTTAAATGTTGATCGGGGATGTAAGATACCCCCATGCAAAATTTCATTGAAATTGCCCCAACAGTTTCAGAGATTAGCCCCTACAAACAGACGAACAGACAGACAAACAAAAATTTTGAAAAAATCTGTATGTGTTTCACTTCTAACATCCCCCCGACTCGGTTTTTAGCTTTTTTTCCTATGTACAAACATTCGACCTCTACAGTTTTATCATATATATATAGATAATATCGTGAGTGGCTGACAGTCACTAACCATCTCTCTATACTCAGGGTCATCGACGGTATCCAGCCACGAGTTGACAAATGGCCACCATCCCCAATCCTTGTAGTCATTATACACCATTCCATTGCGAGATACGGTGGCTGGTGATGCTACAGCCAAGTCCAATGTCTCTATTAGCAGAGAAACCTATAAATATGACAAGAAAAGTTATTATCTAACGCTGCATCTTCAGTACATGATAAAGATTGAAAATGACTGAAGATCATGACCAGAAGACTCTAAACACCCAATACCAAATACCCAGTGGTGCACTCTTGTGCCCAGAAATTCAAGGCAGCTATTATTTTCAAATTATTCAAACTTTTTTTTCCAAAACAGACGTTTGCTCTAAGAATTGGAAGTTTGAATTCCTGGACTGGATTTTCCAACTGAGTTATTATCTCGCAATATATGAGTAAAACTATTAACATTTCGTCAGCAGTCTTTATTACCTGTGCAGGCATTGATATCCTCTCGCTGTTGACCAAAGTCAGCAGCTTGTTGTCATCCATGACAGAGTTGAGGTTCTCTATCCAAATGGCATCAACTGGGCCGTCGAATATAATCCATTTCTGATCAAGCGATTCATCTAGGAAGACGACAAATGAATGTACAGTACAAGAAAGAGAAGCTAAGACAGAAAATAGAGACCATAATAAAATGGCATTGTACCTTGACATGTGGTCCTCATAATGGACGATAGTACCCCATCTTTCCACTCTCCAGTGGCCAAATTGTATTCCCCATACAGCTCTCCTAAGGTAAGCGCTTTGGGATTCATGGGATACACCTGTACGTTTACGAACCCCGGTACCTTCTCCCTAGCTAAGCGACTGATGGTAGCTGCTAGCATTTTCCAGGATACGGACTTAGCGGTATTGGTATCACCCAGGAGAATGCTCGAATGACGAGAGTTCTGAAAGATAATCCGTGTATACTTGACTATTAATTAAGATATTTCAAAAGCAAAATCAGCAACTGTACCAGTAATTGTAACAAAATTAATAAGAGACAAAAATAATTGTTTTAATATTGTTCGTTGAATTTACTAGGTATATTCTTAAACCACTGTTAAAATCTAACCATTCTTTAGAGTTTTTCAATAAAAAAAAAAAAGACTATTTAACTACTGTACGTAACTCTTAGGCATAAAATTTTGAAAATCTTATGTGTTTATACAATGTATGCAGATCGCATGACTGCCTATTTTTATTTTTTTAAAGTAACATACAATTTACATGAAAAGATTTGCTGGAAGAAATCTCTTATTAGAGATAAGCTCGCCTTTGTACATTATGTTTTAAATGAATTGTGGCTAACATTATATTTTGTGTACAATAAAGAATAAAGATAGAATAAAGAAAATACTTTTTTTTATGCAACTTAGAATGGCAAACAAGCTGACGGCCCACCTGATGGAAAGTGGTAACCGTCGCCTATAGACATGAGCAGTACCATGGACATAACAGAGTATACTGTTTCGCCCATGATACCCCCCATGCGTTGCCATTCCTGAGGACTCAGATGTTATTCCTCTGAACCCAGTAAATTCACGCCATATCGCACCTTTCAAACCGAAACACAGCCATGCAAACACAACTGCTTCACGGTTGAAACACGATCTCTATCCTCAATGATATATTCGTGGTTATTGAATTTCACCTAAATATAGATGTTCGGTACCTTAGTTTCGTAGGTCTGTATGACTTTATGTAGGGCAGCCTTTACCGGCTGCAAGCCAACAAGTCTCATTTCAGCAGATATGGCGTTCTCGAGCATTTCATAGTCCAACGTGGGCACCTCCACTTCGGGAAAGATGTCTTGCATTATGCCGTCGAATAGTGGTACATCTTTGGCTGTGAGCCGGGCAACATTCATATCCCTCATCGCCAAGATCACCATCTGAGTCAAATAGTTCTCATTTACCCGACTACTAAAGTAGATATTTATGCCATCTTATTAATAATTAAAATCATTATAGAATCATTAAGATTTATATTTTCCAAAAGAGGGTTGACGTCCGGCAGACGGTCGGTCGTAAAACTATAAGCCAAATCTTTTTGTAAAATGGATAAAAAACATATTATGCCGACCCCAAATATTAATTGGGATAAGGGTAGGAAGATGACGATGATTAATAATTAAAATCAGGGAATACATCCTCCCACGCTTGAGCTTAAATAGTCACGTAAAGTGTAGTTTCAAAGAAATTTTCTCCCACGAACGCTCAGAATGTAGAATGAGCTCCCTACCGAGGTATTCCCTAAAGACTACAGTATGGGGTTCTTCAAAAAGGGTATATTAAGGTTTCTTCTGGGTCGGCAACGCGCATGTGATCCCTGGTGTTGGAGGCGCCCATAGGCTACAGTGACCGTTTACTATCAAACGGGCTCTATGCTTGTCTGCCACCTTTATACATATAATAAATGCAAAAGTTTGTAACGATGGATGAACGAATTTAAATGAAACTTGGTACACGAATAGTTTATAAAATATAACCTTCCGTAGTACATAGGGTATTTTATATACTGATACACGTGGATGTATAATAATATTGTATAAATTTACCTAGTATAAAAACTTGAATGCCAATAAAAAACCCTCTTTACCTCTTGTTCGGGCAAGTTCGGATACGCCCTTCTCTTCACGCCAGCATATCGTAGCAACGCCACCATAGACCTGAGGCCAAAGTCATAGTGGTCCTGCTTCGACAACTGTTGCATCGCCAGTTGATACAGTGTGAATACCTGGAAAGTGCTTTTGTTTTAAACGAATTTTCGTTTTTTCAGACCACTACCTATACTCCTCCTTGTAAGGTGAATCTCAGTGTTATCAAATTTATGGGCATCTTTTTTGTATAGGTACAGCTTCGTGACATTCTATGTAATGGCTTCTTCCAAAACATGTAGCACTAACAATTACCTATTTTTAAATAACCCAATCATAAATTTTCAAAACTCCGAAATATAAATACATACACGTCAGAAAAATTGCATTCTCTTTCTTTATAGGATTCGATACCGTAATGTCCAGAAATACCGACACCGAAATTTAAAGGTGCGGCTGATGTATTGAAAAAAAGGTTTTTTGTTGAAATTTATTAAAAATCTTTTAATATTTAGACTGTTTTCTCGTTCATAAAGGGATTAGCATTCACTTACCTTCTTAGCATTGATTTTATACGCTGTAAAGCCATCAGAAAAGAGTGTATTCTCAGCTATAATCAACGAGTCGGGCACACACATCGCGATTGGCCGAAACATTGACTTTAGATTATCGGGCAATTCAGTTCGACCAGCGTAGCTAAAATGATTAAAAATACAATATAGAAGTATGATGAACTAATGACCTGTATCTTCAAGCAAATTTGTTAAAGGGATAAGCAGAAAATAGAGTCATAGAAGACTTTTATTATTATCTGTTGCTACATTTACGATATCTAAGATATCTGGATCGATTTGTGTTAATTCTGTTTTTAATTGAGATAGTTTCAGTATTTTCCGAATGGTCTTATTTTGATAAGTCGGTCTTAAAAAAACATTTACAAAAATGTTTCAAATCAGTAACTTGTTGCTAATTTGTCAGCAGTCTCATACCCAGGATTCATAGTAATGAAGATGCCACAGTTGCTGTCGAGCTTGATTTCGCAACCTTCGAACACGAACTTCTTCTGGAAGTGCGAGAGGGCGAGCAGAACCGCGAGAATCTGCTGTGCTACCACCGAGAGCACTTCAATATTGATGCGATTGAACTCGTCGAAGCAGCCCCAACAACCGCTTTGGGCTATCCCTGATGATCATGACGAAAATGCTTCATAGCAAACTTCAAATATAGCGACGCTTTAAAAGAATTGCCGTATATAGGACTATTTTCCATAGGTAAAACCTGGCTCCTTAAAAGAGACTCAGGATATCTTTACCCATAGCTAATAGCTGAATTTTTGATCTTGGGATGAGCATTAGACAATTCTGGAATAGGCGCAGCCCACTCAAACCAAACCGGTCTTTCAAAATACCAAAAAGCTTTGTGATTTTTAATGACCGGGAATTTGTCTCTCTGTATGTTATCTTAAAAGTACCTATCCTATGCTTACATAGGACACATTTTAAAAACATTATCATAAAAAAACATTATCTATAGAAGCAAATAATTCGTAATTCAATACTGAGTCGGATCAATTTACAAAATAAGTCCTAAAATACAAGTGAAAATCTATGTATAAGAATAAAGCAATATTTATAGTCCATCAGAACAGTTAGTGACTACCAATTTTTTTGTCTCGGTCTTGCCAGTACCGGCTTTTGGGCTTCCTCCGCGGAAAAGATGCAAGCCGTCTGCGGTTATGTAACATCTACGTAAAAATTCAACCACTGCTAGCCTGTTCGGATCAAAGACTGTCTTGGTAATACAAAAATAAGTCAAAGAATCTATGATAATTTTATAAATAGAGTTTGTTAGTGAAAATTTTTCTATGTATATTTATATAAAAGAATAAAACTATATTTAAAACCTATATTCCCAAACATTCCTTACAAGAAGGAGAGAGAAATATACTATAAAACTTCTATATCTATGTACCTATCTAATTAGCTCACGTCTACCTACTACTCTTCATCAGAAAGAATTGACCTCTAACATAACATTACCTGTCTGTGAGTGGCGTGATCACGAGTCGTCCCGAGTTACCGATGTATTCGTACGTATATATGGAATTGGTGTTTGTTTGTCTGATGAAGCAATCCTCCTTCTCGCGATCCCAATAAAACTTTAGTTGGGAGAACCACTCGAAAGCGGTCACCGACATGCAACCTAAAGCAATACGTAAGTCATGTCATGTGTTAAAATTATTATGAACTAACCAATAATTATCTACAAACTACCGGATTGTTAGCTATTGAGTTTGCCAGTACCGGCTGGTCCCCTGAAACTATTATGGGCTCATCCTCCACGGAAAAGATGCTCCGCCGTCGTTAGCGCAGGCGGGGTTACCATTCCATTATCCCCCATTAAAAAAAAACTACCTATTGATATCAAAAAGTCCCTAACCAAATTTTCCTTCAAAAAGTCCCTTCGTGAACATTACTTCAATTTATCACAACAATGAAAATCCTCAATCTTTACTATTATATGGTTAGTTATGATTTACAAATTTATTAATTTAATATGTACTATGTATAGTTATTTATATATGTATTGTATGTGATTTATGTATGTATATAAGTATATTAGTCTATATGTTTGTATATATATAATATTTATATATTTTAAATTTTTTGTTTAAATCTATGCTCCGCCATTTAATCTCTCTGTTTAGCGTAACAGTTGACTGGTAGAGAATGCCATCAGGCATTAAGTCCGCCCTGTAGACATATTTTAATGTGTGCAAAAGTATAAGTAAAATAAACTGTCAAACATAGTCTTATTATATATCTACAAAAGACTGTCTTGACTGCTCTATCGAATAACTGAAGGGTTATATTGTACATTTATGTTTATAGGACCATTTAAAAGATTCTCATAAAAAAACTCAAAGAATCTATGATAATTTTATAAAGAGGTAGAGTTTGTTAGTTTGGCTGTTTTGCTGATCCGATTTTAAAATTTTTGCCCTATGAGAAAGGTATATTTATCCCAGAGTTAAAAGTAATTTTTGTCAAAACTATATGCAAAGTATATGTATTCCCAAACTAGATTCCTTACAAGATAGACAAAGAGAAAAATACTATAAAAGTTCTATATCTATGTACCTATCTAATTAGCTCACGTCTACCTACTACTCTTCATCAGAAAGAATTTACCTCTAACATAACATTACCTGTCTGTGAGTGGTTTCGTGATCACGTATGTTTTTGTCGAATTACGAGTTACGATGTATTCGTACGTATATATCTGTATGGAATTGGTGTTTGTTTGTCTGATGAAGCAATCCTCCTTCTCACGATCCCAATAAAACTTTAGTTGGGAGAACCACTCGAAAGTGGTCACCGACATGCAACCTAAAGCAATACGTAAGTAATATCATGTGTTAAAATTATTATGAACTAAACAATAATTATCTACAAACTACCTATTGATGGGGGGAAAAGGATTGTTAGCTATTGAGTTTGATAACCCCATTGCTAGCAATATACCTAATCGAATTAAAGAAGTTGCTGAGAAAAATACAGAACAATACGATAATAAACTAGCGTCTGCGTTTAATCCCCGAGGAGATGTAATTTTACAAAGGTTTTTTGTATTTATTTTATTATTTTTTTAATAAATTTATTGTAAATATAATATTGTAAAAAAATAGGCACTCTATTGTTGAATTTTCGTCAGACCAACTAATCATGTTCATTTTTTTATTCATCTAAAGATTTGATGGGCTTTACCAAACAACTGTTTCTTGCAAGCTTTGTTTTCATTCCAACATCTTATCACCAAAATCTCAGAAACATTAAAAGACTCTATGAAACCAGCGTCGTCCAAAACCAAAATGTCTGGACTGTCAGAGATAGAGACAAATTATTCTTTTATAAGCCCCTCGTCGTCTGCTAAAAATACAATAAATGCTGAGTTTAAAGACACCGATGATCATATAAAAAAAATTAGCGAGAGCTATATTTGTGATATCAAAAAGTCCTTTATGGATACAATTTTTCGAAAAATTTAAAATCCTTCAAAAAGCTTTAGCGACCTTAGATAAAATATATAGAGAAACGTTTTGAGTTAAATACTAAATGCTTGTAGTTACTTACACCTTATGCGATGGCTGGTCTAATTTAAGAAATGAAAATCCTTATATCAAATCTTTACTATTATATGGTTAGTTATGATTTACGATAATTTATTCGAATTAACAAAACTCAAATATCCACAATGCTGTGCACATATCCTTAACTTGTTGTGCCAAGATATTGTAAAGATTAATTTATGCAAGCCATAAATATAATATAAAAGGAGTCAACGATTAAGTTCCTTGTTGATAAAATCAAGGATTTAAAATGTACAAGATGTATACTTCGTTAAAAATTAAGATAGCTATATTAACAGTTAGAGAAGATGTGGTATATATATATAATATTTATATATTTTGGAACCAGTCAATATTTTTTCGTTTGCATCGCACATACATTACATTTAGAGATTAGCTAAGATACGTTTTGCATTAAATGATGACATTGAGCGAAGAAAGCAAACAGCAGATTCTAACATCAGTATCTTCAAGATAATCTCTCTGCAGCATATATTTAGCGTAACAGTACTCAAGAGGAAGAACTTAAGGGTAGAGTTTATCTACAATTTAAGCCAACACTTAAGTTTGTCAAATGTAATGGCAGATTTGGCGTGTTATAAAGCTAAAGAAAACTTTTGGGCCAGAGGATTTCCGCCCATTAGATAGCATTGACATATTTTAATGTGTACAAAAGTATAAATAAAATAAACTTCGTCAAACATAGTGATTTATTATATATACATATATTAATTTTTGCTTTTGAGCAAGTAAATGAACATAACAGTTTAGACGAAATGGATACAATTCATCGCTTGTAATAACTCTGAATCTGACAGTGATTGACTGTAGTTTTACATTTTACTTTAATCTCTTTCTTAATAAAATCAAAATCAAATTAAAAGTTTTTTATTCTGAAGGGTTAATATTGTCTATGTCAGTATAGTGGACGTCTTGAGCTGAGATACAAACAAAATCATAAACACCCAAAATTTGGGTGTTTATGGGTTTAAACCCAATAAACCCAAAACACCCGGTTTTTACCCACCAGACTTTAAACCCACCCAGGTGGATTGCCCATCTCTAGATACTTACAATAGAAAAACGAGGGAATTATTCATAATAAGGTCCAACGACACTTATCCAAAAGCACATATATACACTCTTGACAGGACCGTAGCTAGTTTAAAGTAGAGCAAAAAAACTTTTTGGTAGGGCAGAAGCCATAACTAAGTGACTTCAAAAAAGCGAATCGGCCTAATTTTCTTGGGGCCTTTCATTTTAAGGTAGCCGCATTGGGCATTTTAAGGTAAGTGTTGCTTCTCAATCAAGAACTTGATTGGTTTACATCAAGAAAAAAAAATCTGGAATCAAGTAAAGTTCATTGAAACTAAGAAAGTTTACTTGATCCAAGAATTCTTTTTCTTTATGCAAAATAATAAAATTTTTCAAAATTACTTTCTTGGGTCAAATTATTATTTTTTTATATGTGCATGAAAGAGTCATAAGTGTCTATATTTTTTGTTAATTTGTATATATATATATATATATATTCTTTATTGAGCTTGTAAAAAAGATACAGTGATTAGTCTAACAACTTGTAAATTAGGTAATAAATTTAGCAGATAAATGAAAGAGTGTCTATATTTTTATATTATTTTATATATATATATATATATATATATATATATATATATATATATATATATATATATATATATATATATATATCTTTATTTATACATACAAAATAATCTATTTATACATGTTGTGAGTAAGGCTGGATTTATCTCTGACATAGATCTCTTCCAGTCAACCCAGTACAGTACGAAAGCATTTCGTTAACGGGCAGCTGATGTGCTACAACTATTAATACATAAACAAATATACAGTTAAATAAAATATTACATAAATACATACATTGTTTGTATTAACATACAAATCTTTTAGATATCATTAATCTTAATAAAAGTAGGTAGGGGCCGCCCTAGACGGACGTATGTCGACCAAATAGGCGACGTGCTGAAGAAGGGCCAAATTAAAAGTACCCGTAACCGGCGAGCGTGTATGACAAGATTGATGAATGTGGAAGAAGCGAAAGAGGTTTGTTTGAATCGAAGCATTTGGCGTTCCATTGTTTCTGCCTACCCTAATAGGAGACAGGCGTAACAGATATGTATGTATGTATGTATGTATCTTAATAAAATCTATCTTTACTAAGGAAGTTTTTGTAACCCGCCAAGGGGTCGCAACCCACACGTTGTAAAACACTGCATGAGTGAATAATTACTCTTACCCATCTTATACATTCTATCCACCGTGTCCCTCGAGTGTATCTCAATGACGCAGAGCGCGTTCACTTTGCACCGCAAAATCTTAGTGATCTCCTTCCTCGACATCATTTGCAACGTGGACAAGATCTGGTTCTGCTTTTTGCGTAGCTTCTTCATTGGCTTCTTCTCTTTCATTATCTCACAACGGCACAGTGTACGCGTGCAGTCAGATGTCCATTGTATCTAAATTTGGTCATTGGTTTCTAACGAAAATTCTGATAACTATCTAAAAGATTAAAGTACTGCGATTTTTTGGTTTCAGTACACGAATAATATCTGACGAATGCTGGAAATTAGTATGCACACAAGCTTTAGTAACTAATTCTAGACTAATTAAGTTCTTTAATTATATACATAGATTGAGTGTCTCCATAGAAATACTTTGAGAAAAATGGGTCAACCCTTTCATACAATTTTGCATGATAAATAGTTTTAAGTGATTCCTTTATAACTTCTATATTTATTTTGTCTTGCAATTTCTGCATCTTTTTTTATGCGTAAACACTCATTTTATTTACTAAATAATACGTCAAGATATATTTTATGCGTAAGTATATAGAACACTTAAAAAAATAACGATTCAGCTAAATTGACAATTAGCTGACAAAAAGTTGACCCGTTTTTTATTTATATAATCTAAGCTGATGTTTAATTGAGAATCGAATCGACCTCATTATAACATGCATCACAACAGTTTAACTTTCGCTGACCAATACAATTTCACCTGATTTTAGTAATGACATGGTCCGAGAAGTTAAACTAATCCACCAATTTTGACCTAGGAAGCTCCCATAAGTTATTTCTTTGCCATATAATACCATCGTGTGATCCTGGCAAAGATGGACCAACCGTTCCTTTCCCGTAGGTATCGTAAGGGGCGACTAAAGAAAAAAAAAGATCAAGGGATGCGAAGCAGCGTCCCTCTTAAAACATAACCAAAGCCTAACTGTGATTGCCAATCCGCCTGCTAAGCGTGGTAACTACTAGCAACATCTCCTATGTTCAGCAGTGGAATTAGAGGCAGATATGATGATGATGATGATGATGATGATGATGTCACAAGCCTGAGAGTACGACGGCAGCGGCCCCAAACACCCACCTTGCTGCAAGTGATGCCAAGTTGTCCTGGCCAATCGTTAATCCACTGCTCTCTCTGATAACGGCATTTCCTCAACGCCGCGCGGGTAAGGATCAATTGCTGAAATCACAGATAACAATACTAGGCACTTTTTTAATGGGTGATAATGGAATGGTAACCCTGCCTGCACTATCGGTACATTGACAGTACACCAGTGAGTGATGATAAGTGAGGATGAAGCAGGTCAGTTAGCCCATCGTAAAGAAATCAACAAGAATTAACCACGATGGTTTCCAGGGGAAACCGCGTGGAAGTGGACCTGATAGGGTATATTGCTAGCAATGGGGTTTTTTTTTTGGTGGGTGAAAATGATATGGTAACTCCGCCTGCGCTAACGGGATACGCTGGCGGAGCACCAGTGAAGGATGATAGATGAGAATGAAAACAGGCCAGTTAGCCCATCATAATGAATTCATCAGGAATTATCCATGATAGTTTCCAGGGAGAACCGCAAGGTGGTTGACCTGGTTGGGTATATTGCTAGCAATGGGATTCTCAGTCTCCATTACTAACAATCCCTTTGCCCCCTGATAATTCATATCACCTTTAATAACAATTCTCACCTCCCGCAATACGACTCTCATAGTGTGTTCCAGGCCAAGCAGCCACACCTCAGCCGGTCCGTCTAGCACCAGATTGTGCTTCCATTCAATACATTCTCCATCTTCGGATATCATTGCTTTTGCTACGGGGAGCCCTAGAGCATTCTTCGAGTGAAATTAAGACTTCGTTATTATAATAAAATTTTAATACTCGTTCAAAAGTTAATCTGAACAGATTATATCTACATATTTTTTCTTTTTTTTTAACAGGAGGTAATGAAATGGTAACCCCGCCCGCGCTATCGGTGTACCTTACTGGCAGAGCACTAGCGAGAGATGATATGTAGATAGAATGAAGCAGGTCAATTAGCCCATCGTGACGAATTCAACAAGAATTATTCACGATGGTTTCCAGGGGAACCGGGAATAGGGCATATTGCTAGCTATGGGGCTGTTAAACTCCATTGTTAACAATCCCTTTCACCCCGATTATACCTATATTTTAAACTACGCCGTATACATATTTTTTCTCTTTACAACAACGGATTACAAAAAAGTCAGCGATGGCATTCTATTTTATACAGGTAGCTTTTGTATTGTTACAATATAATAACTATTGTATTGTATTAAAAAATATATATACAAATTATATGGAGTTTAGAAAGCTATAGCGTGGATTTACAGGATACAGGGGAATAACACCAGAGTCCTCAGGAACGGCAACGCATGGGGGTATCATGGGCGAAACAGTATATTCTGTTATGTCCATGGTACTGCTCATGTGTATAGGCAACGGTTACCACTTCCCATCAGGTGGGTCGTCAGCTTGTTTGTCATTCTAAGTTGCATAAAAAATATATATAGCATAGACTGATACAATAGTAATATTGACATAACATTGTTTCTAAATAACACCGGTGCAAAGCCTAGGCGGGTCACTAGTTTATAATAAAAAACACACAAAAATAATAAAACAAGATTTACTATTTAAGTGAACAATCCTCATTACAAAATTGCGTTTCACAGAAATTGTAAAATATAATGACAGTAAAAGAAAAATAACTTGAATTATAGAATAGAATAGGGTACAGAGAAATAACACCCGAGTCCTCAGGAATGGCAACGCATGTGGGGTATCATGGGCGAAACAGTATACTCTATTATGTCCACAGTACTGCTTATGTCTATAGGCGACGGTTACCACTTTCCATCAGGTGGGTCGTCAGCTTGTTTGCCATTCTAAGTAGTATAAAAAAAAATGCACTGATTTGAAATGGATAAAATTAACAAAATTCATATATTTAAATGAAACATATAATATATAACAATATTTATTTCTTCTCATTCCTTCTTGTAAAGTTTTGTAATATTATTTTTTTATAAAAAAGCTGGTTGGTTATAATTAACTGTAATGCAAGATTCCAAATGGAAAAATATTTTTATCAACCTAATAATTTTTTAACACAAATAATAAATTAAAGTCCTACACAGCAATCATATCACATATTGAATTTTTATAAGTAATTAACTATCCTAGTATTCTTTTGCAGTATAATCGTCTTCATTTATCCACCGCTTGGTTTGGGGATCTATTTTGAACAAGAACTTCTCTGGTAGAGTCAGCAGGACCCTCATGAAGGCTTTCTTTTCCACTTCAGTGCGACACGTGCAGGCCTTGTGGAAGTAATCTTCAAGTAATGATTTTGCTTTCGCTGTGGGGTGATACATCAGCAAAATCACCATAGCCTAAAATTAAAGTTGAAATTTTATAAAATAAGTATTTAAAATGACAAATGTTTATAAAATAACATTGTACCATATTTTATATTATATTTATTCGCTTGCCATGTAGTACAAATTATATATTATAATAAGTAAAAGGGAGACTTTGTATAAAAATCGATTGCTTGGGAACCTCTGTCCCATTCGTGTTTCTACCATGAAGCAGTTGTGTTTGCATGGCTGTGTTTCGGTTTAAAGGGTGGGATATGGCGTGAATTTACAGGGTACAGAGAAATAACACCCGTGTCCTCAGGAATGGCAACGCATGGGGGGTATCATGGGCGAAACAGTATACTCTGTTATGTCCATTGTATTGCTCATATGTATAGGCGACGGTTACCACTTTCCATCAGGAGGGCCGTCAGCTTGTTTGCCATTCTAAGTTGTATAAAAAAAAGTAAGCACATAAGACATGTGACATCCCATAGGGGCACCACACTTTTGATCACAGTTAAAATCACATAGTATTACTTATTTTTATTTATAATTGTTATATATCAAATAAGGAATAACACAAACTAATCATGGTTTTTTTATTGTGAATGGCATATTACAACTGATGATAGGTTATTTGTAAGTATCCTATATAATAATAGCTTTTTCCAAAAAAAAGTTATAACAGCGAGGATGGTTCTAGAAAAACACTGACACATTGAATTATTGATATACAACAATAATATTATAAATATTTAATTCCATTGCTGAGAAAACAACATTTATTTCACCTAATTATATTATAAAATTTAATTAAAAAATATATAAAAATATAAGAACTAAAACTCTTATATAAACTATGAACACTTTTTCCAATTGCACAAACCTGTTGTTCCTTTATACATATATAGCATTAATAAAAAAAAATTACTATATACATGCAAATTTAATCCTCTACCCAAAGGGTGTGTGGAAGAGATTGTTTAGCAATAAGGAGGCCTTTCATATTACTTCCTATTAAAATTTACTGTATTTATTATTTTTAATTGGTGCAATAATGTGGAAATAAATTAATAAATTTTATTCCTACGGACTTACCCTTAGATAATTATTAATAGTATCCTGCATTGTTCCTATAGCTGGGCGATAATGGTGCCATATTGGATATTTCTTCAGTAAATACAGCAATTTGTTCCAATTATGTGAATAGATGGCTCTATGTATTGCAAAATGAAACATGTCATTGGAAGGCATTTGCATTCTGTGCCGTCTTTGACTAATTATGTTGCTTTGCATTTTGAGAAGGTTCCTTCTGCATAAAAAGTACTCACGTTCAAGTGGATTATCCAATATATCGCACACTTTGTTCTGTTAAATAAAAATATTGTATTATAAGCTTGAAATGGTTTTCTTAATTACTACTGTGTTTTTTCTTTCTAAAGGGAGAACATGAAATGGTAACTTCACCTGCACTATCGGTAGGTATATGCTAGAGAGGAGCCAGTGAAGGATGACAGGTAAAAATAAAGGTAGGTCATCTGGCCCATAGCAACGTACTACTACAGCTGTAAACAAGCATATAGCCCGTCTGAAGGTGGTAAACGGGTTAAGCATAGCTTATCAATGTATATATTAAGATAGGAATTGTTAGTAATAGACTTTAAAAATTCCATTGCTAGCAACCCTATAAAACACCACGTGGTTCTCTTCTTGTAGAATTCATCACAATAGGCTGACTTTGTTTCATCCTCACTTATCATCGCGCAGGTAGGGTTACTACTTCCATTCTCAGTCATAAAAAAAAACACGAGGGTTGTGTAAGGTTAGAATAATAAAGTACCAATAACATTTTTACGTCAGGGTAACTAGTAACAACTGAACTAACCAATATAATAAAGAGAGAAACTATAGGTATTTTTAAGTACTTACCATCGTACTTCTTGGAATAAAATAGCATTTAGAAATGACCTCTTCAGTCATTATGATTTTAAATTGCTGACACTCGGTAATTAATATATTGAACGTTTATTTAACGTTTAGACGTAAAGGCGGAAATTTAAAAAAAAAAATACAGATTTCGTAATAACGATTAATTGTTTGTTTATTTATATAAAAATTGAACACAAAAGTCAAAATAGAAAAAGTAATTGGGGTTCGATTGACAGTTGACCACAGATTAAAAGAGACTTGGCTAATGACAACATATTGTCAATCAATCACCTGATAAAACTGACAACAACAAGTGCTATCTTAATCTATGACAACAGACAATTCTGAATTGCCAGACTAATCTATGTAAAACTACTGAAAATATTTTTATTTTTACAAGATTTGAATTGTGTATTGTGTGTGTAATGTTTAAGTTTTCTAAAAGTAGATTAATTATGCATCTCGAAGTTTTTCTTGGTAAAGCCAGGTTCAATATGCCTTTAATGTCATTGGTGTCGTTTCCAACTTTTACAATAATTTTAGCAAAAGCTTCTATCTAATCATATCCTAAAAAAAAAGAATAACACCACCAAAAATAATCGACATGAGCAGATTTTATTAAAGGTTTAAGTTAAAGTTACAAGGGCAATATTGAAAAAAGTATTTTTGGTAAAATTACAAATAAAATAAATCACGTACAAAATTTAAATCGTCATTTTCGATTCTGAAATCACCAGAACTTCCAGATTCCACATGTTGTTTGGGAAACACTTTTGATTATTTGATTTTTATTCTTTTATTTACTCATAAAATGAGTTGTACTAAATTTATATAAAATATATTAATATAAATTTAGTACAATTCATTTAAAAAAATAACACTGCTCTCGGGATATAGTTTGGTTTTAATTACATATAAATTAAAACCGCATATATGATCCAAATTTAACATTTCATGCTAAACAATGGATTGACTTCTAAGTATCTATATTCTACGTTTCCAAAACATTAAAAGTTACAACCTTATAACCGACAAAAAGATTTTTGCGTTTTTTAGTTTCATGACTTTACCTAGAAACAGTCGGTATATATATGGTGTGTTAAGTATCTTAATTAAAAATTTAAGAATACGTTACTTACCTTATCAATTCTTATTTTGTTAACATTGTCGAACAGTTTCTTTAGATGAACTTGTATTAATTGTGGTTTTTTAGAATTGCCAAGAATTTCTAAAAGATCATCATTTGATATAAAATAAAACCTTGGGAACAATTGTCGTTTAGTTTCTAGATACTTCTCCAGTGCTCTTAATATTCCATCAAGATTATCAACCATTTTATTAAGTTTATTGAAAACGTATGGTGCAGGTTTGTACAAACAAGCTTCTATAGCATCCTTGCCAGCATTCATACTGTTAATTAAGAAGTAAAGTCAGCAGTAATATCAAGAAGGTAGTAAGAGACGCTACTCTACATTAATGGATCGAAAAGTCCGAAATAAAAATTATTATTATTATAAATGAGGACGTGGATTCTAATTATAGTTAATATAAATGTGTGATGTGTGTGATTATGTAAAATTTACAAAAAAAAATTGTCAGTATAAAATTTTACAATTTACAATTAATTTGTTACTGGGACTAAAATACCTAAGCAGCTACTTTTCGAAAATTTTCCTTCTGATTACTAATACTCTGTTTTTGGGTCATCGTTATTGTTCAATTTGAAACATACTAAAGATGGATTATAATTATAAATGTATAACAATTATTTACTTGCTAGTTATTTCAGTCCAATCAGCAGTGAGATTATCAAATATTTGCACTTCACTTGGCAATTGTTTTCTAATATCTTCTCCACTGAAGATGCTTTCCAAATAAAGATACCTTCGTTGTACTTGTAAAGCAATCTATTTTAATAGAAAGGAAAATTATTAATTAGTTACGGTAGTATAAATAACCGATTCTATATCTAAAAAATTAAAGTTTAATATAGCTACAAATACAATAGAATACGTGATACCTTTTTTTCCTGTGGGTATCGTAACAGGCGGCTAAGGAAGGGCGAGGGATAGGCAGCAGCATTCTTTTAAAACATCTCCAAAGTCTAACTGCGGTTGCCAAGCGTGGCAATTTTTAGCAAAACCCTCTAAGGAGGAGGCTTATATTTAGCAGTAGGCAATTAAAGGCTAGTACGCTGATGATAGCTACAAACCTCAATACATTCTGCAATATATCCTAACGACTTTTCCCAATAATCTACTTCTTTTATGAAGGGTTCCACATATTTAGTAGACTTCATCGATGATAATTGAACTTGATGATCTTCCAAGAACTATACAAATTTTATAAATGTTATTTTAATTAAGTGTCTCAATGACTTATTATAAAAATAGGATGAAAAGAGAGTAATAAGTATTATAATTAGAATTAAAAGTATGCTATATAAGGGCATCAGTAAAGTACTTAAATAAAAATATCAATTAATTTATCTGCGTCGGTGTAAGAGATTTAAAAGTATTATTGCAATGATGTTGCCGAAGAGCACAATGTCGGGAAAAGCTTTAAATACGAGTTAATCCTTTATTGATATAAGTACTGGAAACGCAAGTTAGTCGAACATTTTATACTAAAGCGAACCTGCATAACATCTTCAACATTTTTTATTCTATACATCTCTCCTTTATGATGTTGCATTTCATATGTAGTATTCTTCCAAACTTCTCTAATAGTTTTAAGGCCATTTTCAATATTCAATTCCATAGTCGCAGCGTTTGATATTTCTGCAATATCTTCAGCGTAAGCTTGAAAATTTAGGCGCATTATTAGCTCTAGTTTGAAGTCTTCAGAATTTTGATCGAATTCTCTGTACATGCATAAGAAAGAAAACGGGCAATGAAATTAAAGATTTGTTTTAAAATTCCTAAATTTATTTTTAAAATAATAAGTAGGAATTTATTGATTTATTAATAAAAAAATCATTTGAGACTAACACCCCCATAAGTGTCTTAATCCTGTGCCAATGACGTTCTCTCATACATGGGTTTTTCAAGTCTCCAATCAATGGAAGGGTTCGGCAAAACGCATCAACCTTAACTCTGGTTATATCAATAATTTCCCAACCTTTATCTTTGAGCTGACGTGAAAGGCGATTGAAGTTCCTAAAAAAATTAATTTAATATTCATAATTGCTTAAGAATTTTTATTTGATTCATAAGATAAAATTGTATAAATATGCTCATGACTAAAAATTCTAATGAAGTAATCGGAGATATTTATCGACTGTTGGCCGTTACAGTGAACCAACATTGTAGTGTATTTATTTATTTATTTACTTTAATGAACAGAAAAGTTATGTACATATGGTACTTAAGACCGGACGATGTCCCTTACCAGTCAACCATTGGGCAAACTAAGAAATAAGTAGACGCTGCATTATTGAATTGAGGAAATATAAAAATTAATATCTAATATATTGTAAACATATAATTATTAATAATAATATATTAAACAAATATATACATACATAAATAAACACAACTGTATTAGTGGCGCAAATAAAACAATTTATGACTCAAACAGAATAACTAGCAAGGATAAGTTTAAAGGAAAGGGAAAACAGTGTGATTAGAGAGAAGTGTGGACTGAAAGACGATGTAGTGACAAAAATCGAAAAAGGAATGTTGCGTTGGTTTGGTCATTTGGAGAGGATGGATGAAAGAAGAATTACGAAAGAGATTTATCGAGCAAGAATGAATGGAGATGTCGGTAAGACGGACGTATGTCGACCAAATAGGCGACGTGCTGAAGAAGGGCCAAATTATAAACCCGTAACGACGAGCGTGTATGACAAGATTGATGAATGTGGAAGAAGCGAAAGAGGTTTGTTTGAATCGAAGCATTTGGCGTTCCATTGTTTCTGCCTACCCTAATGGGAGACAGGCGTGACAGATATGTATGTATGTATGTATGAAAGGGAAAAAACATAAATAAAAGGGAATGAAGTTTATAAATCGGCTTTTATAAATGACCAAAAAGTCTGACATAAAAATAATTATTATAAAGAAATAAAACATTTTGTAATTTTACGCGCACACGTGAAGCCGCGGATAAAAGTTTTAAATAAAAATATTTATTTACCGGAATAAAAACATAACGTTTTCCTCCATTTCATCAGTTTCCATCTCCCAGAATGTCTGGGTTTTATATTTCTCCCAGGACTCTTCCCATTGAAACACTAGGCCCCATACTTCTTCCAATTTCTCCAACTCCTTCTCCATTTTTTGAAGATCCAGATTCACTGGAGTCCTTTGGAGATGAGTATCAAGCATTAATGTAAATAACGTACTATAATTAACAACTCAGATATATGTATATAAGAATTCATAGGTATTCTGAACTAGTACATTATTATGTATATTGACTAAGATTCCATTCACTCTAAAATACATATAGATAAGTTACAGTAATAATTACGTTAAATTAAATACAGCTAGTCCATCTCGAATTTGTTGCTCTTGAGCTCGTAGTGCATTAAGTTGTTGTCTGAAAGCTTTGAGTTGAGACATAGCATCTTTACCACTTATATCCGAGCTACAAGGAGCAGTTCTATAAAAATCTTCGCAAAATTCTTTTGCAGCTTCTTTAAATACCTGATAATTATTTATTATAGAATTGGAAACTTAATATATTAATTAGAATAGGTTAGAAAAAAAAAATACAAAATACCTCCGCCTGTTCCAGAAGTTCAGTTTTAAATTTGTCTTTATTCATTTCTAAAGCTTTCTTAGCTTCTTCTAAAACAGTTAAATATTCTGCCCAAATTATAGGAATATTTTCATGACGTGTCACCATATCCGAACTTAGCTCCACTTCAAATTTTGCTACAATACAAATCAGTTAAAATTTATATTATTAGATTATCAATACAACATTGGATGTACTTCATAAACTAATGCTAAAGTATTTTAAATACAAGTAAAATTACCAAGCGTTATCATTTGGTCTGAGATTGGTGGAAAAGTTTTTTCAAATCGACTAACGTCGGACACTAAGCGTTCGTAAGTTGATATTGCAGTTGCAAGTTCTTTTAAATCTGCAGGCATCTGTAATAAAGCAAAAAAATATTAAATTTCATTTAACAATTCTTCAATAAACGTAAATAATTACTTCAAAAATACCTTCATGGCCTCCTCGCTGTTTTTTTCCACATAATAATAAACATTGTCAATGTCTTCTTCTGTAATCTTGCGGAGTAATTCTCCTAGTTTAACTTGCCATTGTAAGCAATGCGCAATAATTGACTTCTTCAGTTTGCTTGAATTTAGAGTTATAAAATGAATCTATAAAATATAAAAAGTGCTTTGATTAATTTTGGATGACCACATAACAATATGCATCTTAAGTGTTTATATTATAAAAATAGACAAACATAAATAAAGTTGATGGTGTAACCTGATTGATTGTTTCTTGAATTTGAACAGTATTCGCTAAGTTACTGTAATTAATAATTAAAGCGTCGAAATCAGCTGCTATATGCTTTTCTTTACGATATTGTTCCAAGAATTCGTTTTTATTTACTTTCCAAATGTGAGAATATGGATCCCACATTCGTATGTGATCATTCACAAGATTAATGTTGAATTCAATTTCTGAAATTAATCAAAATTAACACAGAATTAATATAAAATATTCCCTATTACCATTATATCAGTTATTAAATGTCTACTGTTGAACCTAGGTGTTCCCAATGGAGTGCCATAAGGCACGCTCTAGTACAGCCACCTGTATCCACACGATTCCCTCAAATGCATTTGAGGTTGTCACTCTATTTAATGACGAGTTGTCCTACACTATGTTTACTTTTACAGGCTCGTCACTCAAGAATCGTTTTTTCATCGATTGTAAGTTTCTAAGTAGTCTATTGTAACTAACTCAAGAATAAAAAGCATAACATAAAAAAATATATATAATACCAGTTTAGACACTAAGATTAATATAAAAAATAGCTGAAGATTCTTTCGTAAAGTATCTTCCAAAAATCAGGGAAAAGCCATTATTATAAAATTTCTTTTAAAATATTTACAATAACAACCACGTAGTATTTACCAGCGTCAATCAAAGATTGCAACTTATTACAATCTGGATCAATTTGTATAGCTTCGTAAAATCTCTTCAGTCCTGCCGACGGTAAGGCGAATTTCTCGTAAAGTCTTGGTATAGTACTAGTAATGTGAACAATTTCTTCAAGAATTGTATTAAAGGTGTCTCGTATCTCATGTGGTGTTGGCACGAATATTATTGTTTTATCACTTAAATACAGGTTCATTTTGATTAGTGGAGATGGTGCCATTGTTCCTAAAAATAATAATTATTGAATAATTTCTTATTTTTTTTATACGAGAATAAAAATAATATTTTAATTTTGATTTAATACTGTATTACAATATTATGATCTGATGTGATGTGTAACATGTCCTTGGTAGCCTTTGTTACAGACTTTTTCACATAGTTACACTTTTTTTTAATGAGTGAAAATGGAATAGTAATGGCCTACGCTAACTTGATACGCTGGCGGAGCACCAGTGAGGGGTGATCGATGAGAATGAAAACAGGCCAGTTAGCCCATCATAATAAATTCATAAGAAATTAACCATGAGAGTTTCCAGGAAAATCCGTGAGGAGGTCGATCTGGCTGGGTATATAACTAACAATCCCTTTCCTCCCTATATATTTATTAATATTAAAATTATAACTATTCAATCACTGTAATAGGAATATCAAATTTATAAAAGTGTATATAATTTAATAGCTTCCTCAGTTAGAGGCCCACCTGGGACTCATATGGGAACTACAGTTAAGTTTTGTAACTTACTTTTTTTAGTAAAGATTATAGATTATAGCTTGTTGTGTACTGATGTGCATAAGATGAAACAGGTATTAATTCAATGTATAAACATACCATCACCGTGAACACACTTGTACATATTCTGCATAGTGGCTTTGATAGCTAATCTTAATGCATCTTCTAAGAGACGATCAAATCTTCTTATGTATTTGACCCAATGTTCAGCCATCTGTCGAATTCAATATTATAAGAGATAAGGATAAATATTTCTAAGATTACAAAACAACACACGCAGTGAAGTAAAGTGGAAAATGTGATTTACACAGCGTTAGCACTGCGCCGTACCAAGTATTTCTACCACATACTGCTCCATATATTTATTACCTACCCCTAATTTAAGTTTTGTAAAGAAATTGTAATGTGCAAAATATTTATATTTTATTGATTTATTTATTCACAAAATAAATATACAAATATGCCTAAAAGTGATTATACGAGTACCACTGGACATAATATCTAATGGTATAATTACTCTTAAGTGTCTGGTCCCAAACAAAGTAGACTATCGAGTAGTTACTATATAATTTGATAGAAATAATTAATTGAAATTTCAATTTTTATTCCACAAGCGGAACTTCTGACAAAATAGTGGTGTTCAATCTTTGAATGTTAACAGTCACATATATACTAATGGTAGCAGATTTAAAAAAAAATTTAAACAGTGAAATGGACTTCCGCAAGATAACACCTTATATATCTAAATTTGTTTCTGTTATAAATTGTTATGTTGACAACATATATCCAGGCAAATAAATATTTGTATTATGCAGAAATTAAAACTAAAATCATGGTACGGTGAGACTGGCTTTACTGGAACTGATATACCATAAAAATACCTGAGTAATATAAGTTTCAAATCCTTCATATACAATAACGAGATACGTTATTATTTCCTTATACATATCTAGAATTTTATCAGCAGCTTCAATTTCCATGGTACGAATATTTTCTCGAAGTACATTTATTTCAAATATGTTATATATGTCAAATTCTATAAGCGGCGTGTCACATATTTTTTCCATTATTTTAACTAGATTAACATTACAGTTTTTATAAGTTGTCAAAAAATCTTGAAGCTGTAAAATAAATACTCGATATTAGTAAAATTTTGTATGATAAAATATAGTGTAGAGCGATTCAGTTCAAGAATTCAGGAATAATATTACTTGACAGGTATTAATAATTATAGTATAATCAGGGCTGTGCCTGGGTATATGGCCGCCTGCGTGCCAGTCTGTATGGCCGCCCCCAGGATAACATTAAAAAAAACTACTTTAATTTTTAATGTTTATTATTATACACAGGGCATCAAACCGGGAAAAAAATCAATCGGTCAATTGAAAAAACTATTTCGGCTCGTCGCTCGTGCAATGTTCGAAAAAATTCGGATTCGCTGCATGACTAGGTATATAAATACTACAACGACCTAATCAGTTTTTATACATTTCTTATTTCTGAGAAACTCTTTTTAGATAGATTAGATTAGAGAAACTGTTTTTACTTCGTATCTTAATGAAAACAAACCGATTGTATTTTTGCCCAGTAAACAACTTGTAACGATTTATCTTGATATATATTGTTGATATATCTTGCGACGTCCAGTTTTGCGGTCATCTGGAGGAGAAGGCTAAGATAGCTTCCAAAAAGTTAGGAGTGCTCAATAGGGTGAGACGATATTTCATGCCAGAACACCGCCTGAAATTATATAAAGCCCAAGTCAGGCCGCATATGGAATACTGTTCTCATATGTGGGCAGGAGCGCCACAGTACCAACTCCTTCCGTTAGACCGCATTCAAAGTCGGGCGGCTCGAATTATCGATAGTCAACGCCATATATACTGTCCGACTTAAAACCCATTGAAACTGCGCAGAGATGTTGCGTCTCTGTGCATCTTCTACCGAATTTATCATAGTGTTCTGAGGAATTGTTCGGATTGATACCTGCTGCTGATTTTCACCACCGTACAACCCGCCACAAACTAAAGTTTCATCCCAATCATCTGGACGAGTGGCGGTCTTCCACCGTGCGTTTTTCAAGGCACTTTCTTCCACGCACAACCATTCTTTGGAATCAACTTCCAGCAGCAGTATTTCCGAACCGATACGACAACATAACCTTCAAGAAAAGAGTATATTCCTTTTTAAAAGGCCGGCAGCACACCTGCAATGCCGCTGGTGTTGTGGGTGATCATGGGCGGCGGTAGTCACTTACCATCAGGTGAGCCGCATGCTCGTTTGCCCCCTGTGTTGTCAAAAAAAAAAAAAAAAAAACGATTTGGCCGCCTCTTAATTTCGGCCGCCTGCGTGCGGTGCACGCAATGAACGCCCGTCAGGCACGGCCCTGAGTATAATTAATATTTTAGTTTAGTTTATCTGTCTCTGCCTCTAACAGAACAGAAACATTGTACAGTATTTAATCTTAGACGTATTAGTGTGTTATGAGAAACCGGATAATGAAGATCTTGAGTCATAAATCTTTAAATTCGAATTTATTTGTAAAGGTAGTTTCTTAAATTTATGACTTCGTAATTTCATGTAAAGCAATATTATAGCCTATCGCTACGTTGCGATGGTCATGCAATTGTCATAAACAGATGTATTCATTCATCTATTATCGCTTATTCAGTGTTGAGGGTATGATTGTGGCAATGTTTGTATTTAAATTATAATATTATAACAAAATTACATATATTACAATTAAGTTAAAATACTAACTTCCCCGATTTGCGTTACGCAATCAGCAATATAAGAATCAGACATTGTGGAAGTCCAAGTTAATTTGGTAATTCCCGGTTGAACTTTTTTCTCACATGCCTGCAAAATAAATAAATGTTGTTAAGAAAAATATAATAAAAAAATATTTTTAAATCTGTGTATAACGAACAAATCTTTAGTAAAAATCTGTCTTCAAAAATATAATTCCTAATAAAAACAAAAATAAAATTAGTAAGCTTTAAAAGCTATAAAATTAAAAATAGAACAATATACGTTTTTTAAAATGTCTCATATTAAAAAGTACAATGCTTTTCTTAATAATTGTACGGAATTTTATAATTTCAAAGCAAAGTTTTTCATACATAAATACTAAATTTCTACTAAAATAGTAATTTTTATTAATCTATAGATTAAGGATAATGGGTCCCTGCTGTCACATTAAAGTACTTGACAGTACATAAATTCATTAATGTCATGTTTCCACAAAGAAGAAAAAAGTGTCATGTAAAATGTCAGCACTGTCACTCTATTCAAATTTTGTCTGAAGCAAGTGAATATGTATTCATTTTAAAGACTAGGCAGCATGGTCTCCGACCTTAGCCTGTTCCACAACGGAACAAACGTACTAAAAAAAAAAAAAAAAAGCAAGTGAATAAAAGAAATAAAGTTTGAAAATAAAAAACAATTTGAAACGCGGCAAAACTATTTATTCTTAAACTAAATATAAATGACATCTAAACACAATGTCTACTATGAACTTGGGCGACCCAGAACTGGAATTGATCGATCCTACTCCGAATGTACATATATTATTTTTACAATTCGACAAATTGTTTTTCAGTACAAAACTATCTAATAGAGTTGTGGTCAGGTGGAGCAAGAGGATGTATTCTTGTGCTGGTATATGCTCGTAAGTACAGTTGACACAAAAGAATCAAATCTATTCTCCTACTAATACACTATAAATTTGTAAAGATGTTTGCTATTTGGGTCATACTGAAATGGCACAACAGATTTGATGCCCCCCTCCCCCCCGGAGGGGGGATTGTTAGTAATGAGATTTAACAGCCCCATTGCTAGCAATACACCCTATCAGGTCAACCTCCACGCGGTTCCCCTGGAAGCCATAGCCATTTTAATTCAATTGATTACTATGAGCCAACTGACCTGCCTTCATCTTCACCTGTCACCCTTTACTATTACTCCTCCAGTGTATATCATAGCGCAGACAGGGTTAGCATACCATTTTCACCCATAAAAAAAAAAACTGATGGGAATTTAGTGAATAACAGAGTAATTTGACCATATTTGATACAGCTAATAATGGTAGAAATAGTGGAGATTTATCTACATATCAATTTATTTTTTATTTAGTTATGTTTAATTGATAAATCAAGTACACAAATTTTGCTAGGTGTGTGTTCTCTTTTAATGATCTATCTGGTTCTAGAGTAAGGAACGTGGGTTAAGCAAACCCCTGAGAGTGGCAGTATTTAACCAGTATCTCCTTGACAACTACAGTGTCTCTTTTCTTTTTCTTAAATAAGTTCTTCATTCTTTTTTTACCAACTTTACTCCCAATGCCAAAGCAGGCAGCTGATCAAAAACTTTGTGTAATATAAATAAAATTATATTATGCTGACCATCAAATAATTGGGATAAGGAAGAAGGGAACACTAATAAAGTTATTAAATTAATTAGAAAAAAACTACAAACTAGTTCTGAAGTCATAAATAATTTGTAGCTTATTAATTTGATGACAATGTAATGGTAATTCTGCCTGAGCTAATGGTATACACTGACAAGGCACCAGTGAGGGATGATAGATGAGAATGAAAAGGTAGAACAGTTAGCCTATTGTGATGACACCTGGAATTCAGCATGATGGTTTCCAAGAGGGACCATGTGGAGGTCAACCTGCCAGGGTACATTGCTAACAATGAGACTGGTAGTTGTGGACTAATAGTCCCTTCCCTCCCCAATAATATGTAGTTAAGTTAACCAGTTTGTAATTTCATGTTGCTTAAAAAAAAGATTTTTTAAGCAACATGACATTAGGTTTTACAGAGATCTGATATTTATATAAATTAAAAGATATATATATATATACAAAGAGGTAATTTTTGATATATTTGTTTAAATGTGTGTTATAGATATGAAGGAAGAGGGGGGCTCTGTGATATAGCACTTAGTGAACCACTGCTCAAGCTGCGTAGTCGTAAAGATCTCATCGAGACACTCCTCCATGAGATGATACATGCATATCTCTTCATCACATGCCAAGACCGGGAGAGGGATGGCCACGGTCCCAACTTCCAGGCTCATATGTACAGAATTAATAGATCTGCTGGTTTGAATATAACTATCTATCATGACTTCCATGATGAGGTAAGAATAATAAATAAAGAATTGAAATTACATTTACTAATATTGTTGTATGAATACTGTTGTATTTAGTGATGGCATAGGATATGCAATTGGCAAATAAAACAATAGCAGAGTGTCGATAATGTAGTAGCAAGTGAAAGAGTGTCACCTACCTTGGCATCTCACAGGTTTGCCACATTAAAATTTGATGAGATGTAATTAAATAACATGTTGCCTAAAATAATAAATATTGATGATATTTTCTCTTCACATTTGAACATTTATACAAAGATTGGAATAAAATTTTCATGTAAAATATTCAAGTAATTAAAGCAGCAAATATTTTTCAGGTAAAATTGTACCTAACACATTGGTGGAGATGTAATGGTCCATGTCAAACTAGGAAACCATATTTTGGTGTTGTTCGTCGTTCATGCAACAGTGCTCCAGGTCCTAAAGATTATTGGTGGTCAACACACCAAAGAACGTGTGGTGGCACATTTATTAAAATCAAGGAACCTGAAAAAAAGAAAAAAGCCTCTTCAAAAACAACTGCACCTAAAATAAAGGCTGATATTACAAAATATATTAATAATAACAATAAATTAATTGATAAAAATATTAGAACAATAAACAATATTTCAAAGGATGACCGAAAACCTCTTACGCCAATAATAAAAAACACTAAAACAATTTCCACTACCTCCGTTAAAAGTAATAGCAAAAATACAGTTGTTGTAACCAAAGGTGTTACATTTAGCCCTCAAAATAGCCCAAAGAAGACACATATTCCATTTAGTGGTACTGGTCAAACTATTGCTGGCAGTAGAAAACGGACTAAGTCAGTTGATGTAGTGGAGACTGTAAGAGATATTTGGGCGAAAAAATTCTTTCCTGGGAACACAAACAGCCCGCCTGATTCCCCAAAAGGAAAACAATTGATTCATAATAATTCAGTATCTGGTACAAGTAATTTAGTGAAGCCAAGTAAAAATAAATCTAATTCAAATATTGATTCTCCTCCAGTGAAAGTGAAGAGAATTGATAATTACTTTAAAAATACAGCAACTTCTGTATTGAAAGATGTATATGGACAAGACTTCAAAGTATGTCAAACAGATCATAATAAAAAGATTGTAGCAGTACCTGTAAAAACCGATTTGGTAGCGTGTCCTGTATGTAAAGAAAAAGTAGTTAGTGATCTAATAAATAGGCATTTAGATGAATGTTTAAATAAGGAAGTAATAGAGCAGTTAAGTCAAGATGACCAAAGTGCTGTTGTTCAACCAATACAATCTAGTCAATCTATTGAGAAAAACTATCCAGTTAAACCCATAAAAATTGAAGACACTAAAAAATACGAAAATGTTTATCCAAAACGTAATATTTCCATTGATTTAACGAATATAGAAATTGAAAATACTCAAATTAAAAAAGAACTTTCTCAAGATTCAGGTCAAGTCGACTCTGTATCATTCGACCCAGTTGATGTTAAAGTAAAATCGATTGTCAAAAAGATAATGTTTGATAAACAAATTAGGAAATCTGATAATTTTATAGTCCCTGTGGAGAAGACAAAAGAAGTAGATACCGCATTTGTACCATCATTCCCGGACGATGTCGCGACAGAGACAATAATTCCATCTGTGAAGATTGAACCGGGCACTAGTAGGGATATTGTTAGAGAATCAACTAGGCAAAAATGTCCTTGTTGTGGATTGGAAATTGAGAAAGAAATAGGAGAGCATCTTGAAGATTGTATTTCATTTTTCAACAACAACACGACTATTCCTATTGAAGGCGCCTCCACTAGTTTCGCTAACAACACTATTATAATTGATGATGATGAAGATGATATATTTGATGATACAATGACTATGAATGCTACCGGGACCAAAACACCTTGCCCGTGCTGTCTTGAGATGATTGAAACGGCAGATATGAATGCACATTTGGATGAATGTTTAAGTTAAAAAATAATTAATTTCAAGTTTGATTTATCTATGAATTTTAGGTTGCCTAATTAGTTGTTTATGCCAAGAATTTATCAATCGTTATTAATTATTAATTATTCCAATTATGTTATTATTTCTCTATGACCTTATATACTTAATGAAAATAATGTGATATTAGAATAAACATTTTTTTATAATGTTTGTGTATCAATCTGTATAATGACGTAACAGTACAGTTTTTTTTTTATGAATAATAATGAAATGGTAACTCCTGCCTAACCGCCTGCGCTAACGGGATACCCTGGTGGGACACCAGTGAGGGATGATAGGTTAGAATGAAAATGAAAGGGCAGGTCAGTTAGCCCATCGTGATGAACGCACCTGAAATTCGGCACGTTGGTTTCCAGGAGGGACCACGTGGAGGTCGACTTGACAGGGTATATTGGTAACAATGGGACTGGTAGTCTGCATTACTAGCAATCCCTTCCCCTCGGTAACAGTACAGTTACATCACTGCATATTATAAAACAAAGTCCTCTACCGCGTCTGTCTGTTAGCGTTAGGGTCCGAAAGTTTAGATAGTGTATGAATGTAAATTAATATTATGTATAACGAGGAAAGACGATAAATTTTTTGTTTGTTACGATTTAACTTAAAAACTACGGAACCAATTTTACCATAAGCTACATCTCTTCGGAGTAACATTTTCTGTAAAAAATCCGGGGCTGGTTGATAGTATTTTATAAAAGTTTTATCTATAGGAAAAAATGGTATTTGTTGATAAGCGTAAGTGCGTCATTATAAATTACAATAGCTGGCAATTTTTTAAATCGATAACGGTTTGTCGGATCAATAAGTTTTAAATATGAGGTGATCTAGTTGCTTACCGCTGTCAGAGGCTTGAAAAGCAGCCGCTCTTCATCAGACAAAGAATCCAATATTTTATTGTATCCCTTCACCACAGCTAGTACACTTTCATAAACATAGAATACTGTCTTGCTTTTCATATATACCTAAAGAAATAAATATGTATTAAGTCAAGTGACGCCGGTAAATTATATCTTCGTTTTTAATAAGTATATATTACCTGGAAAGCATGAAGAGGCAAGTCCATTTCCAAATTCTCCCAATGAGCAGCCTCTTTGCACAATTCCAAAATATTTCTAAAAACAAAATTTATTCTTGTATATAAAATTCTCGTGTCGCGGTGTTTGTTACCAAATTCCTCCAAAACGGTTTTACCGATTTTTATGAAATTTTGTGTGCATATCGGGTAGGTCTGAGAATCGGCCAACATCTATTTTTCATACCCCTCAATGATAAAGGTGACCCACACCTAAATATGATTTTTTTACTTTTTGGACAATTTTTTTATTTTTATTTTATTATGATTAAGGATTGAAAAATACATACAAATTCAAATTTTCACGTTTTTATGATCAACCCCTGTTTTTTAATCACGATTTTTATATACCGCAATAAGGTTGCAAGATGGCAATCCAGTATTATAATTGTAGTACGATATATTTTCATGTATAGTTCTCGAAATAATGTACATGGTAAAACAACGTTTGCCGAGTCAGCTAGTAAAACTATATAAAAAATTGATCACAAAGACAAAGACCTACCGCATATGCTTAGGATATTTGGTTTTTTTTATACTATTATGATATGGTGGCAAACAAGCTGATTGTAAATGGGGTTACCGCAGTCTATAGACAACGCGCGCCTACCCTTAGCTCTGAAACTCGATTGACCTCTCATGGGCCTGACAATGTGGCATTTACAGCCTTCACAATGAGCGACATGGCGCCTGAACCGCAATTGCGTTACATCATTACCGCAGCTTACCCCGACTTAAGACTACGATTTCCATGGTGAGGATTTGAAGAATAAGTGCAGCTCCCTTCCCCATCTCAACTGCTCACCTGTGTAGAAACGGACTCCCCTACCTTATACTCCCATTTTGAAGAATCCACGCTGGAGTTTCTACGGAAAGCCACGGCAGGAAGATCGGAAGGATATTTTGACAAAATTAGCATTCGTGTAGCTGACTTGCATACAATTTTAGTTATTTTATAATCATTGGACTAAAATGTACTAATAGGTGAGGTTAAAACGAAGTTTGTCCGTGGACAAGTAATCTTTTATTAAGAGCATTTTCAAGAAATTAATACTGTTATCTAGTACGGGTAGCTAATAAACAACCTCAAGGTAGTATGATTTATTTAAAAATAAATCTATCAACTTAGAAACCTACTTCCCGTTATCACGCAAGTGGTTGATGATAAATCTATCGATAATACGAGAGCAAAGAGACGGCAACATTCAGTGTCTCGGTTTCTTTTAATGTGCGATAACGAAAACGTATCTATAAATACACATATGTATTTGTCAATTGTCTAAACGAATATACTAATAGCAAACTAAACTGTAATGTATTCAAAAGATATGTTTACGCTATCATCAAGTGTAAAATAGAACGAGTACGCCGCACTATAACTGTTAAATTCCTAGCTTTGACTTCCACTAGGCTTTGCCCAGTGTGGGGTCATAGTTATATTGTACTACAGGCTAAATTTGTTTAAGGAAAAAATAAAGTTATTATTAGAAAGCAATATCTTATTAATGAATACATTTACGCTACTAAATGAGAGAGAGAGAATGAAAAATAAGGAATAACATTTCTCAGGTAGCGTTAAAGTAATTATTTCACCATCACCAAAGCTGTTAATTGTTCATTGTTAAACATAGCCTTTCCCATAGGAGAAGTTTTGACAGTGGCTGTCACGCTTGGCAGACGGGTTGACAACCGCAGTTAGGCTTTTAGTGACGTTTTAAGAAGGACGCTGGTGCCTATTCCTCGACCATTTAGTTCCCTTACTCGCCTCTTACAACACCCATGGGAAACAAAGGTGTGGTCTATTCTATGTCGGAATCATACAGCAAGATTCATTCAAGTTAGACCTAAATTCAACGATACTCTAATTTACTTACACGTCAATATTACACTCAAGTAAACCAGGGTTTTCTACGCTCTTCCGCATCAGGGTTTTATTCAGGCCCGCTCCACATTTTTCATCGAAATTGTGCTGGCAATAACAGAAATAGGCTCTCGAAAAATTTTGGTTATGATTATAGTTTAAGGTTTTGTTTTACAAAAGGACAGACTTTAATCGTTATAAATTTTGTGTGAGACCAAAAAATATGAAGTTTAAAACCTCAAATAGATATTTTAATAATAACTTATTATAGAAATTATCATCATCATCATAGCAGCCTTTAACTGTCCACTGCTGAACATAAGCCTCTCCTTATGGAGTTTTGCCAGTAGTTGCCACGCTTGGCAGACGGATTGGCAACTGCAGTTAGGCTTTGGAGATGTTTTAAGAGGTACGCTGCTACATCCCTCGCCCTTCCTTAGTTGCCTCTTACGACACACACGGGAAAGGAAGGGGCGGCCTATTCTATACCGGGACCATAAGGCCAATAGAAATTATACAAACTGGGGGGAAAGGGATTGTTAGCAATGGAGTTTGATAGCCCCATTGCTAGCAATATGCCTTATTAGGTCGACCTCTACGTGGTTCCCCCTGGAAACCATCGTGAACAATTCTTGTTGAATTCGTCACGATGAGCTAACTGACCTACTTCATCCTCACCTGTCGTCCTTCACTGGTGCCCCGCCGGTGTATACCGATAGCACGGGTGGGGTTACCATTCCATCATCATCCATAAAAAAAAAATTATACAAACTGAAAAAAGTCAGTACCGTCCATGATATGAAGAGTTCTCTAACAGCGACATCGATGGCCCCCACGAGTCTGTTGACATGCATGATTACATCCTCGGAATTGCTGCAAGGCATTAGCCATACAGATGCGTCAGTCATCACCTAAAAAATGATTATTTAAATGCCCACGTAATACTCAGAGAGAGGGTATCCAGAATGGGAAGAAATCCCATTGCTAGCAATATACCCAACCAGGTCGACCTCCTCGCGGTTCTCCCTGGAAACTATCATGGTTTATTCTTGATGGATTCATCATGATTGGCTAACTGGCCTCTTTTCATCTTCATCGATCACCCTTCACTGGTGCCCCGCCAGCGTGTCCCATTAGCGCAGGCGGGGTTATCATTCCATTATCATCCATCAAAAAAAATACTCAGAGAGGAAACAATACAATGTTGTAAGCAAGATGTCAAGTATGAATGTGGATTTTTTATGCAACTTAAAATGGCAAATAAGCTGACGGCCCACCTGATGGAAAGTGGTAACCGTCGCCTATAGACATGAGCAGTACCATGGACATAACAGAGTATACTGTTTCGCCCATGATACCGCCCATGTGTTGCCATTCCTGAGGACTCAGGTGTTATTCCTCTGTACCCAGTAAATTCACGCCATATCCCACCCTTCAAACCGAAACACAGCCATGCAAACACAACTACTTCACGGTAGAAACACGAATGGGACAGAGGTACCCAAGCAATCGACTTTTATACAAAGTCTCCCACTGCTGAACATAGGCCTCCGTCATAGATTGAGAGGTTTTGCCGGCAGTTACCACGCTAGGCAGCCGGGTTGGTAACCGCAGTTAGGCTTTGGTGATGTTTTAAGTGGGACGCTGCTGCCCATCCCCAAAAAGATATAGGAAAACGATAGTAAGGTAATTTTTTTTTAACATAGACGCTAGGTATGCTGTTTTAATTGAAATATCATTGATTCTATCCACTTTAAACAAATTGCAAATAAATATATACTGATAGATACATTTTCATAAGAAAGAATAAGTTGCCAGACGTTGCTGTTTCTCAGGCATGTAGTAGCAAAAACGTATCTATCGACATATTCATTTGCCACTCGTCTACGAGTGTTTTATTAAATTGATGACAATGGAATGATAACCCCACCTGCGTTAATGGTATTCACTAGGGGCACCAGTGACGGATGATAGGTGAGGATGAAAGCAAGCCAGTTAGTCCATCGTGATGGAATTCAGCATGATGGTTTGACCAGGTGGAGGTCGACCTGGTTAGGTATATTGCTAGTAATGGAGGCCTTAGTCTCCATTACTAATAATCCTTTCGCCCTCATCTACAAGTATTGCCTTACCTTCTTCAAGTAAAGAAGTCGATTCTTCCTCATTCGCTGAACAATAGCCCTGCCGGCGAAGGCGGGAAGGTCAGCGGGGTGCTGACTGCGAGTTGACACCATGTCCTTCTTTGCCTCTTGCACTTCTTCACTGAACATTGCCCATACCTAAATAGAAAACATAGAAAACAAACATGCTAACACCTAATATATAATAAAATAAAAATATATAATCAATCAAGGGCTTTGGCCGCCAGATGATGTGTGGGCGGGCGAGGGCTTCGGGGCGTACCCCATTACCCCGGCTTCTACTCCGGACGCGACAACCACCGGGTCGCTGGATTTGCAGCCGGCATACACTGTTGGCCTGTGTATGCCGGCGTGGTGAATAAATAAATAAATAAATGTTTTCAATAAACAAAAATATTAAGTAGTATAGTAGTTAAGTATTTAGTAGGTTTCAGATTTAGATATTATTATATATTCCTTTTTGTTGCCTGGTGTTTATAAAACACGCTTGTTATATATATATATATATTTATTAATTATATTAATTTAAGTGAAAATGTCGTCTTTTGACTTGTGGTGAGATAATACTCACCAATATTTATTATATACATTTATCAACTTTATAATATATGTCAAATTTTATAATATAATTAAATTTTAAAAACAAGCAGACAAACATTTTGTTATATATATATATATATATATATATATATATATATATATATATATATATATATATATAACATGGCGCTTGGTCAGGTTCAATCGCATAAGATGCGCGCGATTGCGCGCGCATCTTGCGATAATAAGTTTAATAAATATTCATACGTATTGTTAATATTTTAATCTCTATAATTTTTTGAAAGGAACAATAAAGACTTTTCGTTCATGTATTCATGCTTGTGTTTGGAAGAGGGTCTGAAAAAACTTAAAGTAACGGTAGGGATCATAAATCTTTAAAGTTATAGCTGTTACTTCATTAGAAAATATTCACATTACATAGAGCTTTACTTATAATAAAAAAATAATATCACTTTTTCTTAGGCAAAGCAATTAACTGTTATTTCTTAGTATTATATTTTTTTCAAAATTTTAAATATTATTCTTTAACTTCATTTTTATATATATATATAAATTTTGTCAGAAATATATATATATATATATATATATATATATATATATATATATATATATATATATATCGTCTATCAATGCCTTTTTACCTCGGCAGTTTTTCTTTTAAAGATACGCTTCAAATTTTTCCTTTTCGAATAATTATTCAACGAATACAAAGCAACCACGGCTTCTTCCACGTGATTAACACCTTCAAACACTGTCTCTACAAGATTTTCTATTATTATCTGTAATTCAAAAACCACAAAGAAAATAATAATTAATATTTTTCTTTTTGATTTTGGATCCTTTTAAATTCCTCAATTTCTTATTTTACCTCGATATCTTTAATAACAGTCCTGAATTGCAATATGTCATCGTACCACGACGGTGCTTGAACGTCGAGGATAGAGTAGGACACCCGTTTAACATTATTCAGTGCATCTTGGAACATATGCTCTATCTGATCGCACTTAGCTTCGAATTTATCACCGTGAGCGCCACCAAACATGGGCCTGTTGATGTTTTCCATTTCATCGATTCTAAAATGACAAGATCCAATCAGAGATTATCAAATGATTTTTACAATTTTCAAGAACAAAATTTCAATTTATAATAACTTGCAAATGAGATCCCGGTTTCGATTCTCGGTCAGGCCAATTTAGATTGGTCTGGATACCTCCAGATTTTTGGTGTCTGGTTTCACTTAACTTCGATCTATTCAAAGACTAAGCGACTCATGTCATTGTGTAGCACTTATTGACAAGATCGAAGAGTTACATTAGATAGCCTAGGTTCAAATCCTGTTCTGGCGTGAATCTTACACAAAACCGAAGTATCCTACCTTCCAAATATAATCATGCAATTACACACATCCAACATATCGAAGCATCTTTGCACAAACGAGTCGATATAATTGAAAATCGATCCCGTATCTAGCTCCCAACTATTAGGTTTCATTTCGTTATGAGCTTCCGCCATCGTATCGTATATTTCCCTATATTTCTTGCAACAATCAATGCATTTACTAAACTCTCCAAGGGCTTTTTTTGTCGCGCCACCAAATAATTCATCAAGATTTATATACGTTCTGCAGAGAATGATGATTTGATTGCTTAGAGCTTTGAAAAGGTTAGTGATACGTGTCTCTGAGTTGTAGTAAGGAGATTCCATCCAGATAAATCTAAATAGGTTGATAATTTGGGGAATATGCTTAGAGATCTCGTCAGGGTCTACGACGCACTCCAATATGGCGCACGGTTGTTTGATAACTTGAAGGTATTCTATGTTGGAGGTAGCTTCGTTTATCTTCTGGACGATCTCTTCGCATAGAGACTGAAACTGGTGGATAAACGTAGAGTGTGTAGTTACTAGGATTTTCGTGATATGTTTAACCGCAGGGTTTTTCAGTTGATGACGTAGAGAACTGAGATTCTCATCTGTAAACAGTTTTTTTTTACCAATAGAAAAGTTTTAAATAATTTTAAGTAGTCATAATCATCATCATCATATCAGCTGTTAATTATCCACTGATGTACATGGGCTTCACCCATAAAGGGGGTTTGCACATTATTACTATTGATACATAGAATATTCAATGATAAAATATTTTAAAAGAACGCCATGGCATTAAAAATCTGCGTTCATAATAATTATGTATAAGCATATGTGGTTAATATGTCTTTTATGCAACTAAAAATGGCAAATAAGTTGACGGGTCACCTGATGAAAAGCCGTAACTGTCGCTTATAGACATGAATAATATCCTGGACATAACAGAGTTTGAGTTTCTGTACCCAGTAAATTCACCAGAGATACTCAAGCAAACGACTTTTGTACAAAGTCTCCCTCCGGTAAAATATAATATCCAATCTTATATAAATATAAAATCTTTATTAAATTCAATTTAAATTATCTACAACTTACGTCTGTACACCCAGAAGTCATATTCATCGCTCGGACACAGAAGTTCCTTCTGCGAAGCGACGAATGCTTGGTCCTCTATACAGGACTTGATCTGATGTGTCCAGTACACCACGACTCCTTCTAACCTTTTAACTAGTTCGCGGTCAGCACTGGCCGCCTCAAAAGACAATTGTTGGCCTTCTCGAGGTATGTACAGGACAGTAAGACCAAGCATTTTGTAGTACATGTCAGTGAGTTTTGCAAGAAATGTGTGTATGTGGGAGCAGAATTCACTTTTTACACCTGAAAGGAAATAAGTTTGGTGATATTGTGTAACAGAGGAGTGAAAGTACTGCATAATTTCTTAATTCTCAGGATTGACAATGCGTGAAGGGTGCAAAATAGGCTTTGCTAATCACATTTCTTATGCATTATGGGCACAAGTTTAAAAGATGATAGTTTGCCACGGTGGATATGGCGTGGTATGCAGTTTTATTTCGATTTTTTCTCGTCTAGCATTGATATTATGTTTTATTTTATTCATCTTTTAGATCATCCTTGTACTCTATTACAATTAAATGTATCAGAACCCAGGGTCGGACTGGCTGGAAGGACCCGGGTGGCTGACCACAAGCACGGGGTCTGAGACCAGATGATGTACAACAGTGTAGTATAGTTGCATCAGTTGGTAGCGGCACCGTAAGCCTCGTAAAACAGGCCCATGAGGAGCCCACGCAGGCTAGAGTCCGGCTGGCAAATGCCACCTTGACTATATGGCCAGCCCGACGCTGTCAGAACCTTCTACCTATTATAAAATAAATTGTACTCACTGTCAGGCCACGTGTTTATAGCGAAGAAATACGGCGCGTACACGTACTCCAAAATCTGTATCATGTTCGCTTCTACAGAGTCTACAAATGTTCCAAATACTATGTCATCATGGAAGCTTTCCGCTTTAAACACAAAATCGGGTTGTCGCAAGAAGTAAGTCAGGTCGAAGACTGGCGATAGTGGTATATCGGACGTTGCTTTTAGCTTGTCGCCTTTGAAGTACACGCAGAGGATAAGAGCTCGTGGCTCTAAAAACCACTCTTCAATAGCCTGTTTTAAAAAATACATTAAATTAATATGTTAATGTTTATTATTTTCCGACGAACTTACGCTTATTATGAGATATAGTAACTATCGAGTAATTTTTAATTGAAGGTATCTACTTATTAATTTGTTAATGGTCTCATACATGTTTCACATCATCGGTCCAGTCTTCGTCGCGTAAATCGTAGAGGGTGGTCATCCTCATCACGTACGATACCAGCTTCTCCAACTCATCGGGAGGGTATGTGGGCTTGACGGGGAGCTCGGCGAGTTCCCGCTCCAGCTGCGCCAGGCGTTCGCGCTCTTCAAGAGTTGGGAAAAATTTGAATATGGGTATTGACTAATCTAACATTAACCCGGAGGGGGAAAAGAGATTGTTAGTAATGGAGACTGAGAATCCCATTGCTAGCAATATACCCAACCAGGTCGACCTCCTCGCGGTTCCCCCTGGAAACTATCATGGCTGATGAATTCATCATGATGGGCTAACTGTCCTGTTTTCATTCTCATCTATCACCCTTCACTGGTGCTCCGCCAGCGTATCCCGTTAGCGCAGGCGGGGTTATCATACCATTTTCACCCATCAAAAAAAAACCCTCTGAGCGGGCATCCCGCGATTTCCGCCTGCAGTATTTACTAGTTTAATTTTACGCATCCCGCCATTTCGACGCGCTCGTTTTTTTATGTTTATTACATCAATAATGTTATCCTTTGTACAAAAATCGATTGCTTGGGTACCCCTGTCCCATTCGTGTTTCTACCGTGAAGCAGTTGTGTTTGCATGGCTGTGTTTCGGTTTGAAGTGTGGGATATGGCGTGAATTTACAGGGTACAGAGGAATAACATCTGAGTCTTCAGGAATGGCAACGCATGGGGGTATCGTGAGCGAATCAGTATACTCTGTTATGTCCATGGTACTGCTCATGTCTATAGGCGACGGTTACCACTTTCCATCAGGTGGGCCGTCAGCTTGTTTGCCATTCTAAGTTGTATAAAAAAAATTTATATTGTTTCCCAGAATCTCGCTAGATGGCTAAATACTCATACTGCTATTATTTGTCGAAGCAAAATATTTTATTGTTGTGAAAAAAAAATACGCGGTCAGAGTATTAGAAGGTCAAAAATGAGATTATACGAAAAGTATGTAAAAATCTTTATTCGGATTATGTTACGTTGATTGCAGACGGTTAACGTTATTCGTTTACCATCAGGCGGGCCGTATGCTTGTTTCTGTAGCATAAAACGTAATTGTTTAAGTAAGTAATAAAGTACCGTATAGAATATATATTAAGTACATATCTACTTAAATAATTTTTTTTATGCAACTTACAATGGCAAACAAGCTGACGGCCCACCTGATGGAAAGTGGTAACCGTCGCCAATAGACATGAACAGTACCATGAACATAATAGAGTATACTGGTTCGTCCATGATACTGCCTTATTCGTAAACAATAATTATTTACGTAAAAAAAATATATGTTAATACACTTTAAGTAAAAAAAAATATTGTATTATTTTTTAAATGTATTTTTTTTTTGTTTATTTAAATAACTGTATTGACCAAATAGAAACTAAGACTGTTAAGATTTCTGTAATAAGACTGATCGGTCTTATTTAAAACTTACGATAACTAATCAATAAATAATGAATGAATGAATGAATAAGTATACTTTATTTGCATTATACAATATAGGAAATAAGCAAGACAATTTACAAACACAACGATACAATTGTATAAGTACAGTAAGGCGGTCTTATTGCTAAGAGCAATCTTTTCAAGACACCTTTAGGGTAACGGACTAATTGTTGTACAAGTAGGTATGATAGTTTTGTATAATTAAGAAAGTTAACAGCGTAAAACATTAAGGAAAATAATCTTAAGGCTTTGAAGATATTTTGCTAATTTTTACCTCTTTCTTCTTCCGAATCATAACTCAAGTCGTCGCTCCATGCCACTTTAACTCTCTTTTTAACTGTTTCCGCCATATTAACTGTGCTACCAATTAACACTTAATTAATAACTAAATAAGTCCTATGTTATTATAAATTCTTGAATGCTAAACGTAACTATTAGAATTACAATCAATTCAATCGTTTCTAGGCAATAAATAAAAGAATAACAATAGATTTCAAATTTCCCGCCACTTTTAATACTTATTAAAACTTATTTTATTTCTCCAAATGTAAGCTGCCAGTATTATATACAGGAAATAGTCTTTAAATAGTTGGAATAATTCAATAAAGAGTATTAAATCATTGTTAAAGTGGAAAAATATTTACACCAAAGAAATATGTATGTGCTACAAACATTCCTCAATGATATAACGTTACTATGGTTACCGGGGGCATTGCCCTCCAACAACCGACATCAATTTATTAGCTATTTGAAAAAAAAAAGAAAGAAAAATTTTTATTCAAGTAAATCTTGATTTAAGTAAATAAATAATTAGATTAAATAATTTTTTATAAGTAATTTTTTTTCATTACTGGGCGGTATTTCGTTATTTGGAACGCAAGTTCAGCCAAGAAGAACGAGTAATAAACTCAGCTGTTGCTTTTTTCAAAAATGTTTACTTATATAAATAATGAATTTGTATGAACACAAACTACTAAGTAGTGTCAGATCATAAAAAAAAAATTATTATTCATAAATTATAATTGTTTATAATCTTCCTTTTTAGAAGACCGGCAGCACATCTGCAATGCTGTTGGTGTTGTGGGTGATCATGGGCGGCGGTAGTCACTTACCATCAGGTTATGGAATGAGCTCCCTGCCGAGGTTTTCCCAAGAGACTACAGCATGGGGTTCTTCAAAAGGGGGGTAAAGAGGTTTCTTCAGGGTCGGCAACGCGCGCGTAATACCTCTGGTATTGCAGGCGTTCATAGGCTACAGTAACTGCTTACCATCAGGCGGGCCATGTGCTTGTTTGCCACCTCAGTGGTATAAAAAAAAGATGAGCCGCACGCTCGTTTGCCCGCTGTGTTGTAAAAAAAATCTAGACATAAAACTGAATTATTAAAAATATAGGTATAGGTATAGGTAACCTATTTTTATTAGTTCAGTTTAAAATAAATTCAATAGACAATTTACAGCATTATGAATAATGTCATGAAACTGTCATGAGCCACCGTTATATTGTTTCGAAAAATAAAAAAATAATTTAGTCGGAAATTATGTTGCTTATAGAATATAGTTGAATTGTAAGTATAGTTTTTTTTTTTTTTAAATAAATAATTTCAATCCCGTACAGTTCAGTAGAAATATAAAAAAATATATTTTAAGTATTTTTTTTATGTAAGTTAGAATGGCAAACAAGCTGACGGCCCACCTGATTGAAAATGGTAATCGTCGTCAGACATGAACAGTACCATGGACATAACAGAGTATGCTGTTTCGTCCATGATATCCCCATGTGTTGTCATTCCTGAAGACTAAGGTGTTATGCCTCTGTACCCTGTAAATTCACGCCATATCCCACCCTTCAAACCAAAACACAGCCATGCAAATACAACTGCTTCACGGTTGAAACACAAATGGGACAGAGGTACCCAAGCAACGTTGTTAGCAACGTTGTCGGAAGTCATTAGTAACAATCCCTTTTCTCCGGCTGATATGGTGCGGTTTGGTATGTACAGGGAAATACAGAACCGATCTATCGTAGAACAAGCTAAGCTAGTATGGTTGCACAAAATGTCGACCGATGGCGTGGGGCGTGGTCACACTCAGCAAGGACTGCAGGCAGCAGCTGGCCGGCGTGCTGCGCGCGCTGCTGATCGCGCAATTGGTCGTGTCACTCTGTATGGTCATATTCTGTTATAATACCTCGTTGAAGGTGATGTCTCTACTCGAGCATATTCATAAGGTATGCCGTCTTCAAATGACTTTTTGTGAATGGGTGAAAATAGAATGGTAACTCCGTTTGGCCGTGTGATCCCGGCATAGAATGGGCCACCTCTTTTTCCCGTAAGAGGCGACTAAGGAAGGGCGAGAGATGGGCATAAGCGTTCCTCTTAAAACGTCTTTAAAGCCTAACTGCGTTTGCCAATTCGTCTGCCAAGCGTGACACCTACTGGCGAAACCTCCTAAGGGGGAGGCTTATGTTCAGCAGTGAATGATTAAACACTGATATGATGATGAACTCCGCCTGCGCTATCGGTATGCGCTGATTGGGCACTAGAGAAAGATGATCGGTAACGATGACAGCAGGTCAGTTGGCCCATCGTGACGAACTGTATGAATTCTTTACTATTTTTTTTTAAAACACAGGTGGCAAACGAGCATGCGGCTCACCTGGTGGTAAGTGACTACCGCCGCCCATGATCACCCACAACACTAATTGCAGGTGTGTTGCCGGCCTTTTAAAAAGGAATATGCTCTTTTCTTGAAGGTTATGTTGTCGTATCGGTTCGAAAATGGACTACTGACCTGTTTCATTCTCATTTATCATCACTCACTGGTGCCCCGCCAGCATATACCGTTAGCGCGACGGGGTAACTACTCCACTGTCATCCATTAAAAAAAACATAAATCATACAATAATGTGCATACGTTTTAGCTGACAGTGTACCTCCTATACGGTTTGATCCTATTACAAGCATACGCCATGAAGCTTCACTACACGAGTGGTCTCCGTCTCATCACGCTTCTCTTACAAACTCCGTACTGGCCCCGAGCTAGTACGGTCAGCAGGATATGGCTCGCCAGTGGCACAATGGTGGCTGCTAATGGACTTTTGGTATATGCAGCTTGCAGAGGCACGATGAAGGTACATAGTCTTAAGCTTAAATGTAATACTACTGTGATACCTTTAATGTGTTTTTATATGCGATTTTTATTCGCTCCTTAGAAGTTACAAAGAATGGCTACAATCATCATTATTATCATTTCTGCCATTATCCGTCCACTGATTTTTTTAATGGATGATAATAGAATTCTAACCCCGCCTGCGCTACAGATATACACTGACGGGGCACCAGTGAGGGAGGATAGATGAGTATGAAAGCAGGTTTGTTAGCCCGTCATGACGAATGCAATAAGTATTAATCACAATGGTTTCCAAGGAGAACCGCGTGGAGGTAGACCTCATAAGGCTTGTTTAGTGGGACCATTAATCCTTATTGCTAACTAACCCTTTCCCTCCATCTGCCCACTGCTGATCAGAGACCTCCTCCATAAACTGCTATAAGGATATAGCAGTTCTTCTTCTGCTCCTCCATAGACTGCGATCCTGAGCCACCTGCATCCACTGACACGGCGTGCAATGCAAATTGTTTCAATAAATGCCACTAATCAATAACTGCCTAGCTTTCAAGCTAAGATGTGTTATAAGAAACAAGGCAATTAATATTGGAAGCCACAACCCAGAATACTCAGATCTTAATAGTCATTAAAGTTCGTTTTCTGAATTGGAGGCTGCTTCTTTTATAATTGGTGGTGGAATGGTGGGATATGGCGTGAATTTACAGGGTACAGAGGAATAAACACCTGAGTCCTCACAAATGGCAACGCATGGCAGGTATCATGGGCGAAACAGTATACTCTGTTATGTCCACGGTACTTCTCATGTCTATAGGCAACGGTTACCACTTTCCATCAGGTGGGCCATCAGCTTATTTACCATTCCAAGTTGAACAAAAAAAGAAAGATATTTCGCATGTAACCAGTACATTGGTTTGGCTAATAATAGTTTGTTTTTTGCATAGTTACAACTACTTTGTCCTTTACCCCATACACATAACTAATCTCGTCATAAACTGTCCATTGCTGAACATAGACTTCCATCTCATGTCTATAGGCGACGGTTATATCCTTTCATCAGGTGGGTCGTCAACTTGTTTACCATTTTAAGTTCATAAAAAAAACCTTTAAATTGTCATTACTTCCAATAATTATACTATTATTCACAGGCGCTGATGAAAGAACTGTCATCATCACTACGTATCGGCATCTCACAGTACCTCACAGAACCAATGTGGAAGCGTCTGATGGATACGATGCAGGTAATATGTATAAAAGAATTTCTACATAATGATATTGTAGAGACCTAAAATCTCGGTATTGTGATCTTCGTGCACGCTATTTTTCGAAACCACTCAATAGATTTAATGAATTATTGTAAAAATAAATGATTTTTTTTCTTGTCATGAATAAATGTTGCCAGTAGATGGCGGTAGGAAGTTAAACGAACTGAACTGTTGGCAGAACTAACGTACTGAACTGTCGTCAGAACTGTCGACTGCTGAATATAGGTCTCGCCCATAAGGGTGGTTCTGCCAGTCGTTGCCACGCTTAGTATTCGGGTTGACAAACAAAGTTAGGATTTGATGATGTTTTAAGTAGGATGCTGCTGCCTATCCCTCGACCATGGAGTCCTTTAGTCGCCTCTTACGATACCCAGGCGAGAGGATGGGGTTTATAAGTATTATAAAATTTATTATAATAGTTATTTTGGATTCCACAGGTGGAGTTGAATTGTTGTGGTGCCGACAAGCCTGGCGACTGGCACGAGATACCTTGGCTTAACATGGACTTCTTTAATGAAGATTCTGATTTGATTATGAGGCACGTAGTTAGTTGGCTGTATTTGTAAAATAATTATGGTCACGGGGATAAAATTTGACACAATTTGCATGCCTTTAGATAAGGCGAAATGTGTAGCTCAGTTACCATTTAAGACCTTTGTACCACATTTCGAGCAAATAATATTATTATTATTAAAAATCACGATCGAAACATGATTGTGATGCAGGTACCCAAGTAAACAACTTTTGTACAGACTCCCTTTAGTTCACGAACTTTGTGTATAAGTTAAAAATAACTTGTCATTACACCTATATATTGTTAATTTTTTGGCATTAACTTCTACCAAATTACATTCAAATTTCTTCAGTCATTTAATGTCATGACATATTTTCTAGCCTTTATGGAACTTTGCAGAATAGCGGGCTCCGATGGCAAGGTGCTCCCGCCGGTTACACCGTACTCCTGTTGCACTTCGCGCGTGCTGGCTGCCTGCTACCATGACCCTCTGCAGCAGGTTTATCTTGCCTTTCTTTAATTATGCTTCTTTTTTAGGGAAGATGAGAATATACTGGGGTATTTAAGACTTAAGCGTACCTACATGATAAAATATTAGGAATAAACATGAAGTTTTATTTCAATATTATGGTTTAATCCATTGTAAATGATTTTGGATATAAAGGAATTGAATGAATGATTATGGATATTATATTTATATATAATACAGTATATAACTGGATTATGCCATGTCGTATACACTTGGAGATTTGCATATTAAGCTGCCCATATGACGTAGATGTTGAAGATTGGGACTATTATTCACGCCGTTTCCTCATAAGATCTAGAGTGCGATCAGATAGTTTTTGGGTTCTTTTTGAGTATTGGGTCTTGAAAATTTTGCTCCCACTGCTTGGACAGTTTCCACTAGCTTATCGTTGTTATCGTCCGCTGTTTAATTGTTTACCAGGCACTGAATGCGTACTGAATGCGACAATTCGAGTTGAAAACTCTCGGGGTTTTCGATAAGGGCGTACGAAGGTTGGAGCATAGATTTCATCAGACGAAACCGTTTCAGTTTAATTATTCAGGTTCAATGTACTCGTACCACATTCGATGATCACATCCGGAGATCACTTATTGATAACTTGATTAGCTTTTAAAGAAATTGTATTAAAACAAAATACTAAGGAATTGTTCGGATTGATACCTGCTGCTGATTTTCACCACCGTATAACCTGCCATAAACTAAAATATCATCCCAACCATATGGACGAGTGGCGGTCTTCCACCGTGCGTTTTTCAAGGCACTTTCTTCCACATACAACCACTATTTGGAATTAATTTCCAGCAGCGGTATTTCCGAACCAATACGATATATACGATATCATAATCTTCAATAAAAGAGCATATTCCTTTTTAAAAGACCGGCAGCACACCTGCAATGATGTTGGTGTTGTGGGTGATCATGGGCGGCTATAATCATTTACCATCAAGTGACAAGCTCGTTTGCCCCCTGTGTTGTAAAAAAAAATAGAGGATCAGTAAAGATAATATGGCGCTGATCAGGCGGCGGGCGTGGACGGCGAGGCGGCGCTGGCGGCGGCGTCGCAGGCGGCTCGCGGCTGCGTGGACGCTGTACGCGCGCCGCTCGCCCGAGCGTTGCTCGCGCTGCACTGCTTCAACATGCTCGTCTGCCTGCTGCAGGTACACTACTACACTGTCACTACTCGACAAACGACATCAAAGATCCGAGATCTTAGATATCGTTCGAGCTTGTTCCAAGGGTTTGGGATTGTTAGTATTAGGAACTGGCAGCTCTAATGCTTGCAACATTTCTTGTCTTCGATGGGTAATAATTAAATGGCATTAAATTAAATGGTGGTCTCCTCTTAAAATAATCGCGCTTAATCCCAGGTGAATTTATTACTATGAGCTAACTGATCTGCCTTTTCATCTTCATATATTTACCCTTTGCTGGCACCCCGCCAGCGTATGCCGAAAGCACAGGCTCAGTAATTATTCCATTTTCACTTATTAAAAAAAATTACCACGGTTTATTTTCGGTGAATTCATTACAACGCGACAGGCCGGTATATTTAACGTTATACCATTTGCCATATCTATGTTAGATCCTCCACGTGGTCCCTTCTGGAAACTAGTGTTTAATTTGTCGTGAGTCGCTATTATAGGCCAACTGGTCTGATGTGTTTACCTATTATTCCTCCTTGATATCCCGCTAGCATCACGATGGTCCAACTGACCTGGTGTACCGCTTCAACCGGAACTCACCATTTTTATACATTAAAAAGTTTTGTTCCTAAGTTTATTCTACAAAAAAATCCAATTTTCAGAAAAACAATATAGGAAAAGAAGAGTATAAGAACACCAGAAGACGTGCCCAAAATTAGTTGCTTTGGGCGTTTCTGTTCCATTCGTGTTTCTATCTTAAAAGATTTATACTTGCATAGCTTTCTTTCGGTTATAACGATGGGATATAGGCTGGCAGTAGAATTGCGGGGGGGGGGGGAAGGGATTGTTAGTAACGGTGAGGTTAGCCCCTATTGCTACCAATATACCCTATCAGGTCGACCTCCACGCGGTTCCTCCTGGAAACCATTCATCTTTGAATTCGTCATGATGGGCGCACTGACTTACCTTTTCATCCTCACCAATCATCGCTCACTGGTGCTCCGCCAATGTATACCGGTAGCGCGGGCGGGGTACCATTCCATTGTCATTCATTAAAAAAAAAAAGGAGAATTTCGGATCTTACCTTCAACATTCTCATTTGCTAAATTAACAGAATATGTCTTACCAAAAAGCCGAGAGATATAATAATGATTTAAACGAGGAGTGGTCGGTGTGGTGCAGGTGCTGATATTGTGGCTGACGCTGCTACTGCGCAGCAGTGCGCGGGCGGCTGTGATGCGCGGCGCGTGCGCCGGCGCCGGTGCTGTGCGCCTGTTGCCCACCCGGCCCTGCGGGCGGCAAGTAGTAGTAACAAATACCTTTCATTAGGGATTAGGTATTGCTCCTATTGCCAGTAATATATTCTCTATCAAGTTGCCCTCTATGCGGTTTTCTCTAGAAACTATCGTGATTAAATCCTAATAAATTCTCCATGATGGGCCAACTAACCTGTGTCAGTGAATGAGAGCCCATTTTTTATACCAAGAAGGTGATAAACAAACATATTGCCTGACTGATACTAAACGGTCACTGTAGTCCATGGACGCCTGGAGCACTACGAGTATCATGTGCATGTTGTCGACCCTGAATAAAATCTTATTAGGTAAATCCTTATTGAAGAACCCCATACTGTAGTTTTTAGGGAAAACTTCGACAGGGAACTCATTCCACAGTCTGAGAGTTTGCGGGACAAAATTCCTTTCAAACTGTACTGTACGTAACCATTTTGGTATTTTTTCACTGTGCATTTGTGTCTATTGCTGTTTGTGTGCTGTAAGTAATGCAAATAAATTACTTATCTATCTATATTTTACCGAGACCCCGTCAGCATATACCAATAACGCAGGCGAGATTGCCATTAATGATTTATGATGATTTAATACGGAACCCTAGAAACAAAACTAGATAACTACGTGACAGTATGATATTGCCGCTGATGCCTCTGAATAACAAATATTGACTCAAGTGACAATTGCGTATTGTTTGTACGCATTATTTCTGGTATCGTCTACATTCGACTTGACCTTGATTTACAAACCCAGTGAATTACAATAATACAATTTCAAAGAACAAAGGACTGTATTTGTGTCACATGATTTTTAAATTAAATTTTTTTATTCAACTTAGAATGGTAAACAAGCTGATGGCCCCTTTGATGGAAAGTGATAACCGTCGCTTAAAGACATGAGCAGTAGGTACCATGGATATAACAGAGTATACTGTTTCGCCCATGATACTCCCTATGCGTTGCCAATCCTGAGGACTCAGGTGTTTTTTTAATGGGTGATAATTGAGTGGTAACCCCACCCACGCCATCGGTATACACCGGCGGGGTACCAATGATGAGTGATAAGTGACGATGAAGCAGGTCAGTTAGCCCATCGTGACGAATTTCACAAGAATTGTTCACGATGGTTTCAGGGGGAACCACGTCGAGGTGTGGCTAGCAATGGGGCTGTCAAACTCCATTGCTAACAATCCTTTTCATCCCGAGGACTCAGGTGTTATTCCTCTGTACCCTATAAATTCACTGCCATATCCCACCCTCTAAATCGAAATACTCGTACAGCCATGCAAACACAACTACTTGGGGGTATAATGAATTGTTAAAAATGAGGATTAGTAGCCCCATTGTTAGCAATACACTCCGTCAGGTCCACACATCGTCAGGACCTCCACATGGTCCCCCCTAGAAACCATCGTGCCGAATTCCAGGTGTATTCGCCACGATGGGCTAACTGACCTGCCCTTTCATTCTCACCTAGTATCCCTCACAGGTGCTCCGCCAGCTTTAACCGTTAGCGCAGATGGGGTTACAGTTTCATTATCATCCATTAAGAAAACGGTCTTGGGCACATTTTGAAATTGTAGCAAAAAATTGTTTGAAATTGCAGCAGAGCCGCTCGGTTCCGTGCAAGGCGTGCAGTAGCAGCGTGTGCAGCGCAGCGCTGCAGCGACGGCGTGGACCGTTCCATTCCGCTCGACGACACCACACCAGCTATCCCTGCCTCTCTTGAACATCGGTGATATCACTTTTTACAAAATTTCATTTTAACCATGTATCATGTCATATATCCTTCATCTAAGTATCTCTAAGGGCGAGAAGGGATTGTTAGTAGTGCGGACTACCTGTCCCATTGCTAGCAATATTATAGGTTAGGTCGACCTCCACGTGGTGCCGCTTAGAAATCATCGTGCTGAATTCCAGGTATATTCATCACGATGGGCTAGCTGACCTACGTTTTAATTTTCACCTATCATTCCTCACTGGTGCTCTGCCAGCGTATACCGTTAGCGCAGGCGGGGTAACCATTCCATTGTCATTAGTTTAATCTCCACAGGAGACAATACCATTCCATTGTCATCCATTAAAAAGTCTCCCCCACTTTAAAGTTGTATATTTATTTCTTAACTTGCTTTTACCGGCGACCTCGTCCATGTGGCCAGGATAAGAAGTAGCCTATGGCCTTCTCCAATCTCCATACCATATGTTACATGTTTACCAAATTTCATACTGGTCAAGCCGTGAAATCGCTCAAGAGGTTACAAACAAACTTATTTTCATATTTATAAAATTGGTAAAAAAAATTCATATTTTATTTTCCAGGCGAATGTTGAAGAAGCAAAGTGTAAATATTTGTATATATGTAGTATCTATTAATACGTGTCTAATAAAACATAGTTTTTATCAATGCAATGTTTATTTGACTTTATTATAAACAGTCCTTACTATCTAATATTTAAGTAACAATGCGAATGTGAATCGAAAGCCGTCTCGTTATGATTTGTGCGGCGCCATATTTTTAATACACAGATATAATTTATGTATATATATATATATATATATAAATAATAATAAATACACTCTATAATATGTATAAATATTTCGTTTGATTAGTTGGCGCGTATCGTTTCGCGATGCGTCCGCCGCCGCTAACAAACTGTCCCACAATCCAATCGGCCGACACATAACAAATATACAAAAACTCTATTTACACGCGGCGGCGGGCGGCCGCGGCATAGCACCATTCAAAATTGGAATGTCACATGGTACGCGCGCTCGGACACCGCGTTTTGCACTAAAAGCAGTGGCGAGAGCGCATGCGCTAATATCAAAAGCGGCCATTTTCTTTTTTTTTTTCTTTCTAAATTCGAAACTGCAGTTGCCACCGATAAAGAACGATTGGTCATAGACACGTTTTATCGGTGAAAACTGTTGTTTTACGTCAGCCCAGAGGGGAGGCTGGCTTTTTTTGTGCTCGCTTGATGTGATGCGCGTCGTTCACTTTCGCTTTCGGGATCAGAGCGGTGGGGGTCCCTCGGGGTATCGCAGGACCGGTTCCAGGGCCAGGCCGGGGGAGCGGCAGTCAGAGTGGGCGTGGGGGGCGAGGGCGGCGGCACCCAACAGCAGCAGCAGTAGCGCCTGGAACGGAATCGACGCCTTCGCCACCCGGCATACGAAGCGGAGACCCCTTTGGAGTCTATTCAAGTCTTGGTCTTCTGTCTCGTCACTTATAATCACGCTGCGGGACAAAGATGGGATCACATTAATTTCGTCTATTTTCATAAAGATCTTTGAATGTCTACACGTTTTAGATCTCAGCTCTTTTGGCAAATGTATCCACTTATAGATATGTTTACGCTACCGCACGCATGTGAAAGAACGAGACGCCTAATGGAAAACGTTGCTATTTCGTTCCATCTTACGGGTGCAATAGCGTACATGTATTTTGAATAAATAAATTAATATTTTCGACACGATACACGCAAGATCTAAAAAATGTAGACGTAATCGACAGAGACAGAACAAGATAAAAAAGGATAGAATATTTTCGTAGACATTATAAGATTATAAATAAAATTAATTGAAAACGAAAAATAGATATTAAAAAATATTAGGCAGTTGAAATAAATTTATATAAATAAATAAATTTTTATTTAACAACCACTATTTTGATGTTATGCAAAAGAAGAGGTGTTAGGCGGCCAAACTACGACTACATAAAGACCAATTTACAGATTTTCCGTTATACCGTTGTTATATATATATATATATATATATATATATATATATATATATATATATATATATATATATATATATTATTTTTCACAAAATTATATACTCTATTCCCATTAACTACTGCAATAAGACCGCCTTACTGTACTTATACAGTAAGGCGGCCTATGTATAGCCTCTGAATCTAGAATTTTGAAATTTTGCAGATAGGTTCATTGTACAGCGTAGGTGAACAATAAGAGAACTTTGAATATTCAACCCCTAAAGGGGTAAAATAGGGTTTAAAAAATTTGTATGGAATTTCGTCAGTTTAGAAGTTGTACACATATAATTTTAAGCATGAAATTGAATACCACACGTGAGCGAAGCCGCGGGCATAAACTAGTATATAATATAAATCGTCTAATACAAGGTGCTAATTGAAAACCAGCGTTTCTGCTTCTGCAGGAACTTTAAGCTGAATTTACATTTCTATAACTCTGATTTCAACTACTCTTTATATATAAATGTATTTTTTTTTATGTATTTTTTTTTTAATGTTGTCATTATTGGGGGGAAAGGGATTGTCAGTAATGGAGACTGAGAATCCCATTGCTAGCAATATACCCAACCAGGTCGACCTCCTCGCGGTTCTCCCTGGAAACTATCATAGTTAATTCCTGATGAATTCATCATGATGGGCTAACTGGCCTGTTTTCATTCTCATCTATCACCCTTCACTGGTGCCCCGCCAGCGTATCCTGTTAGGGCAGGCGGGGTTACCATTCCATTTTCACCCATAAAAAAACAAAAAAATGTTGTCATTATTTGCAATCTAAGTATATGTAATTGTTGTAAATAATTGAAATAAATTTTCAATCATTCATTCATAACACTAGTGTTGTCCAACGGTATCGATACTGTAAATTGGTTTCCTAATAACAAGCGTGTATACTCACTCATTCTCGTCGAGGGGCGGCAGGCTCGAAGTGGATATCTGTTCCTCTTCCTCCTCCAATAGCTACGAGAGGACAAAGATACGTCAAAATACGGTGCGAAGCGACTACAGTGGTATTATGGGTCTCTATGGTCGATGTGCAAACATTCACCTAAAGGTGACGACTGACCTAATATTTTAACGTAATGTAACGTTCACATTGAGCGTGCTACGCGTTTTTTTCACTACAATACTTTTTTTGGCTTGGTTATTATCTTAACAAAACTGACATCTCTTAGTAAATATATTGATTGTAATTAATTTTTTTATCACTATTTATAGCCTATGTTGTCCCAGTCTTGGACTATCTCAAGTTATTAGTATAAAATATACTAACATAGTAACATGTCAAGATAGATTTGACTCTAAGAAAATGTATTTTTCAATAAATAATGTTATTCAGCGATTTAACACTTACACTATGGTGTACAAAGTCTATATATACAAAAAGCCATGAAAGTAAAAAATATTGTATACAAAAAGTTTTCCCTTAATTATCTCGTTTAATTTAAATAAATATTAACATTTACAATAAGTATGTAATTTATCGTTTCACTATTCACGACTATTTATTTTGATTAAACCCACTCAGCTCAGTTCGATTACTTTACATTAAATGTTACATTACATTCAATAGATATAGGTCAGGCGCCAGCTTTACCAGAACGAAAGTAACGTTTGCATTTCGACACACAATAAGGGCACAACTAAAATAATTATTAATAAATTATCAAGTTTATTATGTTATTGGGATGACAGGTACATAATATTTCACTAGTACTGCTAAATAAATTCGACAAAGCTTGCTCGGTGATCTCTGTTTATCTGTGCTCTGTGATAGGGAAGCAGTGGATGATACTGCAACTTAGAAATTACATAGTACTCATACAGTGTCACAAATATTAAACCAACGACTAGAATTATACTAAATCACGATCAGGCCATGTGATCCCGGCATAGAATAGGCCACCCCTTCCTTTCCTGTGGGTGTCGTAAGAGACGACTAAGGGTAGGCGAGGAATGGGCAGCAGCGTTCCTCTTAAAACATCTCTAAAGCCTAACTGCGGTTGCCAATCCGCCTGCCAAGCGTGGCAACTACTGGCAAAACCCCCCAAAGGGGAGGCTTATGTTCAGCAGTGGACAGTTAAAGGCTGATATGATGTATCACGATTCAGACAATTGGTTTGAACAAAGACCTATTTTAAACGCATTTAAATAAAATACAGTAATTGGGTCCTATTCTGAATTACGAGTAGGTAAATTAAATAATAATTATATAATTAATAGAAAGAAATTTAAAAATAAACATGATGGGGGTAGTCAGAGTAGTTCGTTAATTATCGTCGTGACCTTGTTATGACCTAATATTTAATTTGATATCATAAAATCTAAAAAAGTTGCTAAAATATTACATAAGTAGGTATTTGAGTGAATCTGTAAGTTACAATTACAGAACTAACATTTGTGCAAAGGAAAAAATATGCATCATTTGCGCAAATATGAGTTTACGCAAATCTTTCTATCACTTGTGTGGGGTAGAGTGTCGACTAAGATTCTTGTTCTTAGTGTTGGATTGTGTTTTATGGGGCGGTGATCGCATCGGAAGTAATAGATTTTATTTAATCTATGGTAGTAAGGTGAGTGAATAAGGGTCCGTCCATACCTGCGGTGCGGCGGCGGCGGCGACGGCAGCCAGCGCTGACGGTCGCGCTGAGCCGCGCGGTTGCCGCGCGAGCGCCGCGCCCAGTTTCAGCGCGTAAACACCTGACAGCTTGCGCAGGGATTGAAGTCGTAGTCTCAATTCGCCGAGACTAGAACGAATATAAAATTATATTAAATTTCTTATTTCTAGGATGAAAATTCGTATATATGTATTGGTTTAATGTGTAATTTACATTGAAATTATAATTTTTAAATAATTAACGTAAACTACATTAATATTGATTGGATTTATTTTTTAATTTATCTAAATAATGTATTGGAATCTATTATATTAATTATTGTCACTTAACATTATAATTCGAATAATGATATTTAAGTGGTGTTTTTCTTTATTAAGAAATAATTGTTAAAACCGTCTAATTTAAATAGAAATATAAATATTATAAAAGAAAAATCAATATAAATATATTTCATCAATATAAGAAAAATAAGGCCTGAATCATCATCTAGTTTAAGTTGGAACAAAGATGTCTATCTATCAGTCTTTTTTTATAACACAGGGGGCAAATTAGCATGCGGCACACTTGATGGTAAGTGACTATCGCCGCCCATGATCACCTATAAAACCAAAGGCATTGCAGGTGTGCTGCCGGCCTTTTAAAAACGAATATGTTCTTTTCTTGAAGGTTATGATATCGTATCAGATCGCAAATATTGCGGCTGGATGTTGATTTGAAAGAGTGGTTGTGCGTGGAAGAAAATGCTTTAAAAACGCACGGTAATCTAATCACAAGACTTATAGCTGAGCGAGTATATGTGTGTGTGTGTGTGTGCGTGCGTATGAAGGCGAGTAGTCACCGGCGGCAGATGTCGTCGGCGTGCGCGGGCGCGTCGCCGGCGCGCAGCAGCTGCGCGGCGTCGTGCAGCGCGAGCACGCGCGGCTCGGCGCGCGCCAGCTCGTCGCGCAGCTCGCTGAAGCGGCGGAAGTCGTGCTGCAGCTCGTCGGCCGGCCGCGCCAGCCGCAGCGGCTCGCGCGCGCGCACGCCGCGCTCCGCCTCCGCCAGCTGCGCCACCAGCTCCACCACTACGGAATTATAAATACAAATTAAATTAATACCTTAGGAGATATAAACAAATAAAAAAAAGTGTCGTCGTAATCCGACCGGGCCATGCGGGCGCTCCGTAACCCCGCACCTTGCGTCCGAACCGGGGGAGGGGGGTCCGAAAGTTTAGGTAGTGTATCAATATAAATTAATATTTTGTATAACGAGGAAAGATGATTGATTTTTTGTTTGTTACGATTTAACTTAAAAACTACGCAACCAATTTTACCGAAAGATACATCTCCTCGGTGTAAAATAGGTTATTTTATATTTTGTGTAAAGATCTTGTGTGAAGTTGGGGCGTGCTGCTAGTAAATATTAAAAATCAAGTCTTTTGTCGGTATCCATACTTAAGTATTGTCTAGATTATCCTATTTCTATTCTTAAATTATTGAATAAGAAATTAAATTGTAGAATCTATTAGATACAAGTATAATCTTTTTCAATCTACTGAAACAAAACGAAGAAGTAAGAACATCGTATGTTTGTAGTGAATATATTATTAATAAAGTGGCTCTCATTCACCGATGTCGTGGAACTGCTGGTTGTGCACGAGCGCGCGCTGCAGCGCGTGTTGCGCGGTGGCGGCGCGTGCGCAGGCGCGGTCCCAGCGCGCGTTGGCGGCGCCGAGCCGCGCGCGCACGCGCTCCGCGTCCGCTGCGTCGCGCGCGTGCGCCGCCACGTGGCTGCCCACCACATTCAGCGACACCACTATCGACTTGTGCGAGTCCAGGTCTAATAGGAACTCGCGGTGGTCCTGCAGGTCGACATTCCAGTAGTTTAAAATTTTGTTCACCCAAAAAGTTGACATACGTCTTGACAATTAATAGAAATCTAATACGATAAGAACTCCTTCGATAAAAAAATAATGTTAAGAGAAATACCGCGTATATATACACAAAAAATAAAATACGTTCCAGTTGAGAGCATTCTCCTTTTTAATTGGGTTGAACAGGAGTCAAAATAACTTAGACAGTCTTCATCTAGATAGCAGCTGTCTTCGTGAATTAGATTTAGAACAGGGTACCGTAATATCAGACTAGCATACGGTCTATGTAACAAATGTAAAACAAAATATATTTTGCTTTATAATAAATTAAAGTAATTTTTTACCTGAATAGCATCTTCCAAAGCATCGTACTGTTCGGGAGGATCAGTTCTGGCTGCTTCTGTCGCTTCGGCGTATTGCAACCATTGTTCCAATCTCCAAAGATCGTTGTCCAATTGTTTCCAGTTACGTTCAGAGCAGAGTGGGCATGTGAGTCGACCGCTCTCGCTGTTAGAGCAAGTAGTTACGCATAAGTCATTTAAATTAGGCGATTAGATAGATAGATTAGTATTCCAAACGAGATAGCCAATTTAGTATTAGTTGTGATATGTCACACTGAATGTATTTGGTAAATTTTAATGAATTTTGATAAAACACCACAAACTGTAAGTTCATTTGAAAATCTTTTTTTTTTAAATACGTAATAAACAAACATTCAAAAAATTGGTTAGCCTGAAATTATTTGAGACAACCAATGAACTGTGGCTTCATGTAAAATTTCTAGAACGATTCCTGTATATTTAGGTGCTAGAGTTAGAAATGGCGTGATGTGGGTAGTAAAATAAAAAAATCAATAAGTGCAAATTTTATAGTTTGAAGCGTCTAATATTATAGTGATAAAAATCCTACAGTAGAGCAATCTCGTTTGAAAGACTAATATTAATTGAAAGAATTTAATATATTTCATTTGAACTACTAAGTTGAAAGTTTAAATTAAATGCTTAATTAAATAAATATATGTATTAAGCTTACTATAATTACAAAATGCTGTGCAAATAACATGTAATAAGAAAATAAAAATTACAAATAAAGTGTAATAGTGCACTAACTACACAACATATCATGCGAAGACATCGCTCATCCGCTCTTACAATGTTTTTATTACGCTTTATACTAATTTGCACAAATTAATATGCAAATATATTATTTTGTGCAAATTGCGCAGATAAACGAATTTATAAAGTCCCAAGCTTTAATAGATCGCAATAATAAAATTGGATCATTGTAATACTAATAGCGGAGTAACGCCAATTAATATAATTAGGAAGCATGTACTCACTGTTCGCACGTGAGCGCGTATGATGCGGAGTGGGGCAACCTAGAGGACCAGAAAACGCAAGTGTTTAGAGCATGCCAGGTTAGGAAGCTGTTAACACTCCAGTTGTTTTTCTGTAGATGCATTATTTTAGCCCTTTTTTGCTATCACATAAAGAAAAGTTTGGTAAATACTGTAAAGTCAAACGTGGTGTGTGGAATATGTCAGTGTTGATAGATTTAAAGAACAAACAAACAGTCAAGTGCTTCAAGGATTAAGAAATTAAGATACATGGATAATAAGTATTATATTTTTATCTCAATATAGTAGAAAAAAAAACATTGTAGGTGTTTTAATATTTTTTAGGTTTATTTTTAAATCATCATTCATTTAAGAAACTGTATTAGATATTTACACTATCTTGACCTGTTCTATTAATGCACTGTTCATAACAGCTTTAACAAGCCCTTCACCAAAATGCAATCAGTGCTAGTGCTACCATAAAACATTTAACGGGTTATTCAAACCAATGATATTATATCGTTTCACATCGAAATACAAAGGTTATGGGCTATTAATTGTAACAACAACACTAAAGAAGGAACAAAGGCTCTCAGTTGCATCAAATCAATTATCATTGGTCAGAAAAGAACCTTGGAAATTGAATTCCGTAATACATATTTTGTAACTAACCTTAGGTTGTTGATCTGCAACTCGCGTTTTTTCGCTTGAGCTAACAGATCTTCATATCTCAGAGACAGAGATTCCACTTCCTTTAGCATAGCTTCATCTTCTGTAGCATCACATTCAGTTAGGAGAAGTTCTGATAAATGTTTAGCAAGTTCCAAAGTTTGTCCAGGTTTTGCGCCAGCTTTGGCGATTTCTTTAGCAGCTGTTGCTAGTTGGTCACTACTTGCGTTCTCTATAGGTTGTTGTAGCAGGGCTGTTCGAAGTGCTTCTAGTGATTCTGATGTTTCTTTAACAGCGGAAGCGAGTTCAACTCGGTAAGTTTCTTTGGATGTTAATGTATCTACCTGAAGAGCAGCATCCCATTTGAGAGTGTCCACCTATAAAATAGTTGTGATAAAAACCTCAGGTAACATTTAGTAACAATATATGTAAATATAATGTAATAAATTTATCCATACCTGAACTGCAGTATCGACGTCTCCTACCACTTCTGCTCGAGCGACATCAAGACGAGTCCTAACGTCTGCATAAAGCGCGCGATATTCTGCCACCATATCTGGGACGCCTGACACTGAAGATACTGATGTTGACAAACGATTAGCATCATCCACGAACGTTTCGCACTCTTTGAGGTCTTGTTCAACACCCTATTAATATATTAAATCATATTAGAATACATATTTTGTAGCAATTAAACATAAACTATTTTTTTTAAACTACTTACTTCTAATTCTTTAAGAGTAGATCCTTTATCGAGTGGTGTTGGTGCGAGATGTAAAGCCCTTGTCAGTCTCACATCGGCTTCAGCCAATGCAACTACTGCTTTGCCGTGTGCAGCGACGAATTGTCTGTGAACATCAGCACCTGCTGCGTCCACTCGTACTCTTAATTGTTGCCAACGTCGAATTGCAGCACGTAATCTTGCGACGTCGTCTGCCCCTTCACCGCGAAGCTCTATTCCTCTTGAAGATGCTACTCTGCTATAAGCATCTTCAAGTCGTTTAATATCCTTTTCTAAAGCATCCAAGTCTTTGATTACTGATTTTGCTACACTTTCATCATCAGGATCACCGCGTTGTTTTCTACTTTCAATTTTTTCAACTCTTTTTTCGATAGAATCTAGTTTCTTTTCTACTTTGGGTAATAATGAATTAGATAATTCAGCAGATTTGCGAATTTCTTTAAGAGCATTCTTGCGATGTTCCGACATGTCACAAATGTTTTTCCATTTCTTTTCTATAATATCTACTCCGGTGCGTAAATTTCTTAAATCAAAGTTTCCTTTAACAATATCAGGGTCATTGAAAATTAATTCGCAGTGATTGAGCGCTTGTCCTACATCTTCACTTTCGTTTTCTATACTTTTTTGAATCTCATCACGGTCTCTAAACTTTTCATCTACTGCTTTGGATGTGAATTGTTCTAGAATTACTTGTGCAGATAATTTTGATTCAATAGTATGTAATTTTAGTCGGATTTCTGTAAGCCGTTCTTCAAGTTTTGATATTGTGTCAAGTAACTCATTGATCTTTGCAATTCTACTTCGTCCCGTATCTTGTAGTTTCTGCCAGCGTTCTTGTACATCTTTAAGCTGTTTAGATGTATTTTTGCTGTATGATTTCTCATCTTTTTTAGAAAGGTCTACAAGAATAGTACCAGTTTCAACAAGCCACTCAAATTCGCGTTCTTTTAATGTTGTCTCCGCTTGAATATCTGAGCTTATTCTTCTAATTAAGTCATGGGGATCAAGAGCTCCCCTCTCAGTGTTTTGATTGGACGTTTCAAGTCGTGACTCTAGTGATGTTATCCATTCAGTAAATCGTAATAAACGTGAATCAAATATTGTGTATACTTCTAAACGTTCTTGTAATCGGTGAATGATAATAGATAGTTGATGTTCCAAATCCGCTCGTTGTTGTCGCAGTTGCCATATTCTTTGGTTAACAATGCGAATATCTTGAGGACTTAGACATTCTTTGAGTTGTTCTTGAATCACACTTAGTGCTTCTATTTGTGTTTCAGTCTTTTCGATCTTTGTCTTCAAATCCGTGTATTTGTTTACAGCCTTTTTCAATTGCGGTCGTGATAGCCGTTCGTCATCAGAGTATGAATTAATTTCGTCTTGTGTTTTTGAGAACAGTTTAAGGAGGTCACTTGTTAAAGATTCATATTCACCGATTAGACCAAGTATTCGAGTTAAAAAGTCTCGCCATGTGTCAAGACTAGCTTGCAAATTATCGATTCTCTTTACTATACCAGCGTATTCGATTCTTACCGATGCTCCATACGCTTCTTCAGTGAATTCGAGCACTTTCTTGAGATATGTTAGCAGTTTTTCTGATTGTTTCCTTCCTTCAGGTACTTTGTCATTGAGATTCTGTATTTTACTTAATGTTTTATTTATTGTCTTTATGTGGACGTATCTGAGCTGAAGTTTCTCTTTTTCTCGTTCCATCTCTTTAAGCCATCGCAACAATTCAGTATTGAGTTCTCTGTAGTCATCCCATGCAGCTATTCTAGAGCAGACCACATCGTGCCTTTCGACTATTCTCGCCAAGGTTTCATTGTGCAGGTTAGTCATTATGTCAAACTTGTCCACTAGTTCCTTATTCTTTAGATCCTTATTTTCGTTCATGAGAACAGACCTTTGTGACGTCAGTAGGTTTTTGTGTACTCTACATAAACGCCGATGTTCAGTCAAATTTTCGTAATCTGCTGGAACAGACCCAGATAAGAATGATTGTAAGTCTATTAAATATTCGTTCCACAGTTTAAGAGCCGTTGCAGCATCTCCTGAACGGACAAGTGCGGTTGAAAGTCGATGGTAGTGAAGGAAAGTATCTCTGAACATAGCTTGCCATAATTCTAATATCCTAACAATGGAGTGTTCATCAGATATGTCGCGGTCAATCTCAGGTAACTCTTCCTTGCCCGGCGCGATGTCTGCCTCACTCTTTCCCAGAGCAATTAAGTTCTCTCGAAGAGCTATTAATTTGTCTTCGACGATTTCACCATCTTCGTGTAATGGAGCCAAGTCCTGAAATGATGTGATAATTATAATTTTACCATTTTAATAATATAATATACGAAGTTCAACAAACAAACGAGACAGTTACATTCTATGAAGAAGTATTGAGCGTTTTGCAAATGATAGTAAAATTTATGCAACGGATGTAATCGTAAGTGTGTCGCTCCCGATGAGAGGTGACTGGAGGACAATCAATAAATATCAGACCGTTAACCTCATTGTTATGATAATGATTGTTGATTCCTTTCCACATATACGTGCACTGGTTTATAGTAACTTCCCAGCGAGCATGTAATACAAAATATGGCTTATATATGAATGCAAAAATTTAATTTTGAAATATGCAGTATGTACTGTCATATTGAACGGTCTGTACTTCCAAGTAGAAGCCAATTTTTAGGAACATCGGCCAAAGAAACTGTGTACAAAAGTTGTTTGCTTCTCGATCTCTGTTCCATCTATATTTGTTTTGTGAAATAGCTGTGTTTGCATGGCTGTGTTTTGGTTTGAAGAGTGGTACATGGTGCGATTATAGGCCTCGAAGCCAGAATAGCTTTAGGAATGGTAACGTAATGTTTATTGGTGAGGTATATTAAAAGCATCACAATCTATTTTGTAATATCCATAGTGTTCTTTATGCCCTTAGGCGACGATTAGTTACCACATTCATTCAGGAGAGTCGACTGTTTGTTTGTTATTCTAAGTATAAAAATAATCTATATATACAATAATTTTATTACAACTCACATTTCTCATATCGCATAATTTCTCCTTGGCCTGTAGTGCTTTAGCCCTTGCTAGTTGCCTGGCTTCTCCGAGGTCCGCCAACACTTGGACAGCCCCAGCTACCAGCTGCATCCTCCTGGCGAGTGCATCTGCGTCTGCTTGCAATGCCCTCGAGCCCGTTTCGGTGGCCACGCGTGCAGCCAAAGACCGGAGTTCCGCTACTCTGGCTTCTTGTTCTAGGCATGCCTAGTTAAAAAAAATTTAGTGATAAGTTTCTTATTGGTTTAGATAAGGCATTTATTGGAGTCTCGCGGATTGGATAAAACAGATATCTTGGTTAAGATGTTTAGATATTTTGGATAAGATGTTAAGTTGAGATGATCTATATACTTCATTGGTCTAATTTTGGCTCCAAACAGCATATGTTCAGATTTAAAGCTGAGTTATGGTACTTTGTAAAATATTGGGATTCAAAATTTGCCACAAGAATTTAAGATTTTCTAATGATACCTCTGGTAGGTGTGGTAACCGTTTACCACAAAGCATAATGAATACTTAATTGTTATTAGTTGTGTTAGTTTATATGTATTTATAACATTAAAATTACATTTTAAAAAATAAAACTGACGCTACATTTTCAATAAAATATATTTATTATATATAGATTGATGAATGTGGAAGAAGCGAAAGAGGTTTGTTTGAATCGAAGCATTTGGTGTTCCATTGTTTCTGCCTACACTAATGGGAGATAGGCGTGACAGATATGTATGTATGTATGTATATTTATTATTGTTTAAAAAATAATAAAATTAATATATGTAAGTTCAGAATTGGCCAAGATATAGAAAAAAAAAAACATATATATTGAGCATATGACGTAATATGAGGGAAAAACAATAAACTGAGTTGTGACCATTTTATGTTACTATGGCACACGCATGAAGGAAGAAAACTGTTACTTGTTTTATATATTTTGCTTTTTTGTATATATATATATATATACACATACATACATAATACATAATACGTGTTTCAAATGTGAAGCAGTTGTGTTTGTCCAACTGTGTTTTAGTTTGAAGGGTGGGATATGGCAGTGAATTTACAGGTTACAGAGGAAAAACACCTGATTCCTTAGGGATAGCAACGCATGGAGGGTATCATGAACGAAACAGTATACTCTGTTATGTCCATGGTACTGCACATGTATATAGGCGACGATTACCACTTTCCATTAGGTGGGCTGTCAGCTTGTTATGATTAATTATTATTTATATAAAATTAAATAAAAAAAACTCCTTATTGAAGTCAAATAAAATAAAATCCAGAGCAAAACGATAGAGTAAATATTTAAATGTTATATTTTTTCACAATGCTCATTGACAATGACGTTTCATTATCGCGTAATATGTTATTGATTTTAAGAAAATGGACTTTATAACTTAATTACCCTTGACCATGAGGTTAATCTTGAAACCAACGATAAAATAAACAAAATTAATATAAAGAACTCTGTTAAGAATTGTCATTTACGGTAATATTTTGAGCAGATTTCCATTTTGAATTGATTACTGCGCAGTTAAAATGACGATCTCTATCGAAACAGTCTCAGTAAAATGTTCAATAAAAGTATGGGGCAATTCAAAATTAAATAGTTAATATTTATTGTAACTATAATTATTAATCTATCAACTATTAAACTAAATCGTAAGCTATTTTAACGTTTACCTATTTTAACATTAATACACTGACTAGCTATTTTTGAAAGTTTCCAAAAAAAAAAAAAGAGGCCCTCAATTTTATTCTTTTTTTTATAATTGTTATCTCATTAGCGTTTGGCGTGAATTTACTGGGTACAGAGGAATAACACCTGAGTCCTCAGGAATGGCAACGCAGTGGGGGGTATCATGGGCGAAACAGTATACTCTGTTATGTCCATGGTACTGCTCATGTCTATAGGCGACGGTTACCACTTTCCATCAGGTGGGCCGTCAGCTTGTATGCCATTCTAAGTTGTATAAAAAAAAAAACACCGTCATTTGTAAACTGATTTGGATAGAAATTTCATCAAAATCGACACAGAACTTTGTTCATTAAATCAAAACAACGACGACCCTTTTGCTACGATTGCCATATTTTTTTCTATCATTTAAATTTGTTAATATTCATAATCGAAATCAACAAACATACTACAACAGTAAACTCATTAAATTTGCATTAACGAATTATAATATAAATATCGATTAGAATTGTTGAATCGATCGAATATCGTGGTATTCGATCGATTCGACAATTGTTGAGCAGTGTCGTTAGAGATTGGAAACGTTTAGAGATTGGAAACGTTTAGAGATTGCATCTTGCATCGGATATGTTACAAATAGACCGTGCGATTCTCGGAGGCTAGAAGAGTATGCGTAAACAGATTATGTTCATGTGTGAACTAATGAATGGGGAAGGAGACGACAAATATTTTATAACCAACTTCAATAAGTAGAACGTTTTAAGTGTACGCATTTTTATGAGTGTTTTTTTATATAGATAGATACTCTTTATTATTTCCTCCATAAGATTTACCAGAGCGAGACTTTGTACAAAAGTCGTTTGCTTAGGTACCTCTGTCCTATTCGTGTTTCAACCGTGAAGCAGTTGTGTTTGCATAGCTGTGTTTCGGTTTGAAGGGTGGGATATGGCGTGTATTTACAGGGTACAGAGGAATAACACCTGAGTCGTCAGGAATGGCAACACATGGGAGTAACATGAGCGAAACAGTGTACTCTGTTATGCCTATGCTACTGCTTATGTCTAGAGGCGACGGTTACCACTTTCCATCAGGTGGGCCGTCAGCTTGTTTGCCATTCTAAGTTGTATAAAAAAAACATTACAATAGTAATATTATTATAGATACAAACAATTACAAGAAATGATCACAGTGAGAAAACAATGGGCGATCGTATCGCTAAAAGCGATCTCTCCTTACGGTGACCTTAATTATCTATTAATTATATCTAATTTATCTATCTATTTTTCATTATAAGACGGAGAAAAACAAATTGGAAACCTTATCCTTATTTTAAATAGGTTCAAAATGCAAATATTGGTCAATATATTGAATCATTCACCTTAGGTCATTGCATCGTGACTCTGATGTCTAGGTACAAGGAAAATAAATTTAAGATGTGTGCGTCAAGATGGAAAGTAAACAAGTAATTGGTGTCAATCGTTGGGTAGGTATTTACATAGGCATTTATTGATGACAATACAACATACATACATACTTACATACACGTTATGTATAACGGCTAGAGTAAGATTACCGTTCATTGAAAAAGTATTGGAAATATCATGTATGTTTTTATGCAACTCAAAATGGCAAACAAGCTGACGGCCCACCTGATGATAAGTGATAACCATCGTCTATAGACATGAGCAGTATAATGGATATAACAGAGTGTATTGTTTCGACCATGATACCTTCCATGCGTTGCCATCCCTGAGGACTCAGGTGTTAATACTCTGTACCCTGTAAATTTACTGCCATATCTCAGGACAGAAGTGCCCTAGCAAACGACTTTTGTACAAAGTCTTCCTCTGGTAAATTTAGGTTAGGATTATTTTTTTAATCGTAAATATTTAATAAAACATAAGTAATATGTATAAGTCGCGTAATAATATGTAGTCAACAATACCTAATAATAGAACATGAACAATAGTAACATTAAAAAAAAAAATAAAAAAAAAAACAACCAGAAAACTTTGTATTCATTTGGCGCGTAAAATGAATTAGGAAGGCACGTGTACGTGTCACCTTATTTATTACCAACGATTTCTCCTTCAAAATATTTAAACAGGCGAATTCATAGACTGATTTACGTACAAATTGTGTATTTACATAAACAAATCTTATCAGCATACTTGATTTTAGTTCAAGGTTTTATCAATATTTATCAGTTACGTTGTGATAAAATTTTAAAAAGATCATCTTCCTTACCCAGTTTTGAGTGATAAATGGGTGTCTGACATGTGACAGATATGTTTGCATGGTTTAACAATATACTGTACACGGTTTATAATATTTTTATAATATAATTGTTTATAATTCTAATGTTTTAATGTTTGTCAAACACAAGGCATGCTGTGGTCGCCTATAAATGTAAGAACAGTTAGATTTAGTCTACCAGTGTATTGTACTAAAATGTTTAGCTGTACCTTATGTTGGTAATGTTTGGTATGGAAGGTAAATAAATAATTACTCCTCTCCATCCAAAGGTTGCCTGGAAGAGATCGCTCTTAGCGATAAGGCCGCCCATTGTTTTCTCACTGTGATCATTTCTTGTAATTGTTTATATTTATAATAAGTTTACTGTTGTAACCTTTTGGAGGAAATAATAAAGAGTATCTATCTATTTATCTATCTATACACGAATTTATAAATTAATATTTTGCTTAGCAAAAAAACGATTCAAAATCATGTACGGGATTAACATTTGTGTAAAACCTATCGATTGTAAATGTTTTTTATCGAAGTCGGTTGATAGGCACATACAATTACTCTCTTATTCATAAAAAATACAACCTTTTACAAACCTATTTTAACTATTGGAGTGTTTTGTCATAGTCTTGCAAATTGGCAATGTAGCATAAAAGAAAAGGACAAAACAATAGCAAAAATAGGTGTTATTATATGTTTTTATGAATAGTATGAAGTTAACAATTCAAATGTATTTTTTTAAGCTTGTAACAAATTAAATTTCCATTTTATAAACCGATTTATAAAATTTTCCTTTTTTATTTCATAGAAATTTTATTAAAATCGAATGAGTAAATTAGATTTTAAACCGAAAGAGTTAGTTTTACTACAATTGAAGTTAAAGATTTTTTTGGTATAAAATGTTAAATTATTTCATGTTGAGTACCCGATCATGTCGTCATATTTGATAATTCAAGATAGGGAAATGATAAGAAGAAGCAGTGTATAAGCATGATACGGGCTATGAGATTGAACGATTAAAATACTAAAATTTCATATATAAACAAATATATATATATAAATAACAAATACGCTTACACATATATAAAATATACTATATTATACACGAAATTGAGAATAATATAAAGCACTTACTGCTCGGATAAAGTAAAAAAGTGAGCATGAACGTTTTTTTTTTTTTTGAAAGACGGTTTAGTCGGTAGTCTCTTAATGGTATCAGATATATTAGTATATATATATGTACATATATGTATGTATACAA